GTCTGGTTCAAGGAAGGAACAACCAGAAAACCCTGTTCAGAAAACCTCAGAATCCAGCAGGACTTATACAGCTTCAGCAGCTCTTTCATATAGGGGCCTGATGGACCTAATACAAGACCTTTCAGATGGTTTTGTCAGACGCTTGCAGCAGCATTGTGGACAACTTCTGGGTGGTTCAAACATGAATGAGGTTTTAAAATTAACAATGGAAGATGTGTTATTGCAAAGTTAAGCATAAGAGGTCCGGTTTAATGTCGGCTGCAGCTGTATGACTGTGAGTCAAGCTGCAGGTCTTTGTCTGTAGAATAACCCCATACTTCAGTTATGTCTAATTGAAACATACAGTAAAACATGACTGTTCGTTTCCTCTGTCTCATTACCTTGTCTCCAAGGTTCTCCCCATTCTGCACTACTATCCACCTGCACATTCTAACGAGGTGATCACAGTGCTCACATACCCGTCTGTGATCACATCGCATGCCTGCCCCATGTGTACACTTTCCTCTCTTTGTTAGCCCACGGCCTCACACTCACATGGAGGCCTGGGTTGCTTCCTGCAGCCGAAAGCAGGGAGATGTGTTTCTAATTATAGACCTGATGCAGGGTTAAGCACTCTCTTTGCAGGCCACCACAGCCACCAGGATTTATGGTACCTAGGTCCACACTCCGGCCTCTGAATCTCACCAGAGACGCAAAACTGTTCACTTTTTGCAGCAATAAATCAGAGAAGTATTGCCGGTAGCTGCCAGTCTGCAGCGAACCGAGAGTGTTGTATCCTGCAAGAGGTCAGAAAACAAATTTACTCCTAGCACTTCCGTGAGATAAATGTTTATCTTTATTGCCTTCATCCTTCTGGGTTCCTAAATATGGACTTAATCTTTGGCAATCCATCCTGTATAATACTACTTAAAGCCTTTTTGCTCCATGTCATGTAAAAGTCAAACATAGACTGAAAGAGAAAAATGAGGAATGCAACCAGCAGGTTCAGAGTTTTGAAATCTCATTTGGCACAGTTATGATTTGAGGGAAGTCATGATAAGCAAGTGGAAGTGGGGAAACAAGTAGCTTAGCTTAACATAGAGAAAGCAGCATGAGGGGAAATAAACTTTAATCTCTTCTTAGTTTTTCCAACGTGCAAGTGGAAATGTAGAAGTAGCATGTGCAAAGAGAGGGAAAAGATATTTTTGGTTAGCTAGGTGCGGTAGCCAACTATGGAAGAATCTTTTTCCATTTCTGTTGCAATACAAATTATAAAACTGAGATGTTTAAGGTTTATAAATTAACAAAAAAAAATCGGTCATCATATTTTTAGTCTTACAAACCGATAAGTCTTATGGAAAGAAAATACTCAATAAACCGTCAAAATTCAGCACATTTTATTTCACAGAGTTTAAAGAGATATTCCGGCAAAACACCACTCTATAGCCACAAATAATGCTCAGAACAACATCTAACTTTATCAACAGTACATAGGGTCCCAGCCATAGTACTAGCCACCAAACATCTTTTTAGCTTTGCCTAATTTCTTTAGCAAAGAGACTAAAGACAACTCACCATGGACCTCAGGCCAGTCCATCACAGACTGCTGTGGGTGACGCAGCTCAAGTGAGAACATTTATGATCATTTCTTCATGGAAATGTGATCAGACTGAGACGCTAAGGCAGAAGAACTACCGCGCCTGCAGTGTAAAATGATTAATATGGTGTTTATTACTTCATGGAAATTATAAAGAAAAGAGCATTATTCGTGGCTAAAGAGTGGCGTTTTGGTTGAGGTTTGTTTATGGCTCCTAAGACCGCTGTGTACTGCAATTGTGCAGTCATTACTAAAGTTGGTATAACTAGAGAAGCAAACAGTCAGCAACATACATTTCTCGAGGTGTTGTCTAACTCGGTGTTACAATGTGTTTGACCATGACTTAATTTTAGTGCAGCCAAAATGCATTGCACAAGATGACATCTGTCATTTTTGTTTATTTACATAGAACATTAGGACAGAACATACTATATGACACAATGGTAAAGATATGAATATGTCCTTTAACCAATATTCAATCTGATGACTTTGAATCATATGGTGAACAACACATGTACGTCTTCTTAATTCAGAGTAAGACAAGGCTGCTGTTTTGTTGTTTCTAATCTAAATGCTGAACTAATTTAAAAGACACAAATTAAGAGCGAATGTGTCCTTACCTTTAGCTTTCAGCTGTTAAGCTAACAACATCCTAAATTCTCAGTAATTCCTGAAACTATTTAATTTATACTAACTTCTAATGTGTCTGATGAAAATTGCTTGGACATTTTTAATGTGTTGCATATAACAGATATTTTTTACATTGAGCATAGGTGTAGATTAAAAAAGGCTTTTACTTACTGCACCATCATTTTAATCCTTTTTGTCTGTATTAGCTAACAATGACATTAGCTGTATAGTTTAACAATTATTGACTTAGACATGTATAAAATTAAATACTTCTTCTTTTTCCTTGTTATAGATCATTTATAAAGGTCAAGCACAACAAAAATGTCACTGAACTGAAAACAAACATACATCACAGGAAGGCAGCTACTCTGTTGTTGCCACTATGACAAATAGTCCCGAAGAAATCACTTAAACACACACAATCTAAAATATGAACCAAGCCAAAATGAACCCAGCTCTGGATTATTTTAGCCTGAGTCCTTTGATTACTGAAAACAAGAGGAAATCCTTCAGAGACAGGAAGGTTTCCCTTTTGTGCAATAAAGATCTAAAAAAATTGTGCCAAAAACAATCAGGAATGTTGTAAACAACAAAAGGGAACAAAGTACCCGCATGACGAATGTGTTATTACTCGGACCTGGCATAGACGGACAGTTGGTCACAGCAGCGTCATGTAAGCCCCAGGGAGCTATAGCCTCAGTTTAGCACTGATACAGAGTGACACAAACATGATGCTATCACAGTAACATCGAGATAAAGACCTCTAGGGTGAACACAAGTGGCCAGGCATGCTTAAGAGTATTACACATCAGTTTTAAAAAGCTACATACACCTTCCTATATATTGTTAAGGGCTAATGATTCAGGGAAAAGCAGCCAAAATCCTAATAAACACAGGAAATCGTATTGAATATAAAAGCAAAATCCCTCCGGAAATAATGGAGACGAGGTCAATGCAATATTGTTGATCATAGGAAGCTCGTTTCGGTTATTAACAATGACAAAAACAAACAGAGGTGGGTCTGTGTGGCCAGCCGTTTTGTAGCAGGACAGCAACAAGTAGAAGTGGGGTTTTCCTACCGCGGAGCAGGGCCCTCCAGGGCCCTTCAATACATGAAAGAAGCCCTCAAAGCTGCCAGAATCCCTTTCAATTCACGGAGGTTTTGCAAAGGAAAAATATTCAATCTAGGACCTTTGTTCCTTTGTTCGTGTTCTTAAGTGTTCTTTTAGGAGCGAAAAGGTGAACTGAGGGTGTTCTTTATCTGGGGTGGGACAGCCATTGCACAACAACATGTAGTTTAATCCCTCTTTACACTGAATTTTAGGTTGAGCAGATGTAGGCTTACATAGACAAACACATGAACAGTGAAGCTAACAGCACATGACAATCAATCTTTATTTGTATAGTACTTTTCATACAATATAATGTAGCACAACAGGCTTTACAAACAAAATGAATACTACAGAAAGAAAGACTACCTGACTCTAGCTCATCCCATCCCTATCCCCTCATCACCATCCTGCGATCCAAACACAAAAGTGGTAAGTCTTAAAGTGCATTGACTAGAAAAGAGCTATTGGAGCTGAAAATCCATTCACTAAGTCCATTCAGTAAAAGCTGGAATATGCGCACTGAGGAAACACCATATTACAATTCTAATGACAATAACATGGAAATGCTACAGCCTCTGTGTATTGTCAGCTCGTGCCAAAGCAGGATGTGTTTTTGTCTTTGAATCCATGGCATTAAACTCGAGGCGCAATTGAAGCAAAGAATACATCTTTGTAGCTTAAATAAAGATGATGAGGGTCATTGGTGGTTATAGATGACAGTAGCTTTTTTGGGAGTGTTGGGGGTATACTTAAAGTTCAAGCATAATAATATTCATTTACTGACCAAGAAAGCAAGCTGGCAGGTAGATACTGAAAACATGACATTTAAGTATAAATATAAGACATAAACCTGCAGGGTTACCAGCACTCTTGACAGTTGCTACATTAAACCATGTAGTCATGGTACACATTGTGAGCCTTATTAAACGGAGTTTAGTGCCTCCTGGTGGTCTAAACAAAGTATGACGACACAGTGGGCCACTAACTCGGAAAATAAAACTTCATGCTACTCTGTCAATGCAAAAAAAGTTAGATTTAAGTGGCTTTACATATATCAAGATACCACATGGGCCTACATTTACCAGCCATCCCATCCCATGAACACCAGGGCAAATTGATGCAACCCAGTACAAAAGCTGTACAATAAATCCTGCTTTTATGAAGCTCCTATATTTTCCTACAGTTGTATTTTGCCCTTATGTTTGTTCATGAACTAGACAAAAATACACGAAATACCTTTTAATATAACGCAGCAACGCCACCACCAGTCTTCAGTTATATAAAATACAAAAATCAGAAATACTGACAATGAAGTTCCCTGAAAGCAGAATGTATATCATAACTATTTAAAGGTTTTCATTAGATTACCCAAGTAATAATGTGGCAGTTTGGTGCTCAGAGGCTGATGAACCTATAACAGAAATGACATCAAAAGGTCTGATTTTATTCCCCACACTATTTTACTTTTTTTTTTATTTTTTTTATTAATATTACCTTTTTTGCCACTTCTTTACTCCTCGAATGTCGCAGACTTCATTTCCCATAATGCTTCACTTAGAACAACAACAACAACACGTGCTCCTAAACAAGGTCCGCCTTTTTTCATATGATGCGAAGTTTGATTGGTTCAAAAACTTAGAGCTGAACAAATCAGCGTGTCCCTTCTCAAAAAGATGAACTCTGATTGGTTTGCTGTCATAGTAAACGCGCCGCCCGCTGTTCCTTCTGCAGTTCTGCTGAGGGTTATGCAGGCAGAGTTCTAACAAGGTAAACCTTTTTCCTTACATGAAACAAACTTATGGTAATAAAAGGAAGTACTCGTTTGTTTTTAACGCGGGTGAAGGAGGATATTTTGAAGTCTACATGAAGTCAGGAGGCTTGTTATGTCGCTGTTGCTGTTTGCATAATACCAAAAACGTGCGGTGGCAGTTTTGTAACTGTCCGCCTGAGTGTCATCTCATTGCCGCCTTGTTTATGTCTCACTGTTTTTCTAATAAAGGAAGAGTTAAATCTGAAGAAATGTAACCGAAGTAATATTGTTGTTGTCATGTATAATGCTTCTGAACAGCTCAAACAAAATAGACATGCACCATAAGTTTGTGACATTTTATAAGGTCATGTGGGATTTTAGGTTTTCAGTAACAAGCTATGCGGACGTGAACCTTTGATTTCCATGAGAATGTAAAATAAAATGGATTCATCCTGTGTGTCTTGTACTGGTGATGAATTATGATTGCTGTTTTGATGTTGAAATTACCATCTTCTCAATTTATAGGCCAACCTGTAGTGACTGCACTGTGAGAAAGCCTGCAAGATGGGAACCAGGGTGTTTGAAAAGCCCATGTCCAACAGTGTATCAAACGGAGGGGCGAGGATTATTGTGGAAGATGATGATGAAATTCTCAGGTATGAAGATGAACTCTATTTATTCAGCTGTTGTATTTGTCACTGTAGGGACAACAAAATGTACTCAGTTCTGATGGCTCTCTCTCTTTCTCCCTTCAAGTCCCACCGACCTGTCTGAGATGTTAGCTGAGGGGACCAAAGAGTCTCATGACAGAGCTGAGAACTGCCAGTTTGTCAAAGATTTCCTCAGAGGTCGCATTAAAAGGGAACTTTTTAAGGTTATTATGCATATAATAAGCTAGTTCTGACTTAAGCCACTCTCAGTGAATATAGTTATACTTAAAAAAACTAACTCCACTTTGTCATGATGCCACAAATGTGATCAGACGGAGGAGTTTCATAACCATAACATAGCGGCAATATTTTTCCTGGGCAAACCTTTTTTACTTGCCAGTCTTCAATGTCATATTACAAATTACAGCTTCAGTTTTGTTTGTGTTTGTCCCACCTCCTCTGTTTCTGCGTCTTCTTCTAGTTGGGCACAGCAGCTCTGTACTTTGTCTACTCTGCCATGGAGGAGGAGACGGAGAAGAACCAAGACCATCCTCTCATTGCACCAATCTTTTTCCCCACGGAGCTGCACCGGCGTGAGGCCTTGGCCCGAGACCTTGAGTATTTCTATGGTGAAGATTGGGAGGGTCAGGTCAGCTGAAAATTAACAGACACTGCATGCCAGACTCAAAGAAAACTAGACTTAAACTGTTGAATTGATCATCCAGTGGCCAGGAATTTAGCTAACTCAGTGACTATAAGTTTTGTTTGGCTTTAATAGTCTCTTTTTACTCACAGATCAGCCTTTCTGCAGGAACCAAGCCTTATGTGGACCGAATCCATGAGGTTGGAGCACAGGACCCTGTGCTGCTGGTTGCCCACTCCTACACCCGCTACATGGGTGACCTTTCAGGTGGACAAATCCTCAAGAAAGTAGCTCAGAGGGCACTGAAGCTCCCCCACACAGGAGAGGGTATCAACTTCTATCAGTTTGAGGGAATCCACAGTCACAAAGGCTTCAAGCAGCTTTACAGAAGCAGGATGAACGAGCTGGAGTTGGACGCTGAGACCAAACAGAGGATTGTGGATGAATCAAACCGGGCTTTTGGCTTTAATATGATGGTAAGAATTTTTAGAAGACAGCTCTTTTACAAAAATCACCATAAATTAGGTGTAGCACTGCAGAAAAGGTGCAAAGGTTATTTGGAGGAGGGAATAAAAATTTAAGCTATAAACTGTTTTATTTTTAAAACAGGTGTTCACAGAGCTTGAGGAGATAGGAAAAACCATCAAAGAAGAAGTCAAAGATGCAGGTTTTGGACACAGCCATGCAGAGATCATGGAGGGAGGTGATATCAACAAGTGTCCCTACTATGCAGCAAAGATGGGTAAGACTGTGGGTCTGAAAGTAGCAGAAGTTTCGGTAACACTTCATTGACGCCTATCTCTTTAACGCATTGTAAATATATTTATAATACTTTAAAATCACTTGATAGCACTGTATAACTATAGTTATAAACACTTATAAATGATCATAATGCTTTATAGCAATAATCAACACATTATAAAGCATCTTACCATGACTTACAAGGTCAGTTATTATAATGTGCTATAACTGATAACAACAGTTGCATTGCATTATCTATGTGGGCATTGTCAGTGAGTTGTTAACAGTTATAACACATTATAATACCTGACCTCGTAAGTCATGATAAAATGCTTTATAATGTGTTATGATTATTGCTATAAAACATTATGATCATTTATGAATGTTAATAACTATAGTTATACAGTGCTATAATGTGATTATAATGGATTATACATATTGTATTGTCTTGACTTACTTGCGACTAGAAATCAATAAACCTACAAGCCAAGACATGGCTGAAACCGGCTAAACATCGGTCTGTTCCAATAATAATCCACAGTGAGTTTTATTTACACCACACCAAAAAGTTCCAAATGCACAATTGCATGAAAAGATACAGGTTCACACAGATTCGTCCTCGACAAGTGCACGAAACCCAAATTGACGGTTAAAAACTTGTATGCTCTCACCTGTGACAAAACACACACACCAGCCTCTAATCAGTGCTATATAGGTTAAAGAGACACGAAACACTTCTGCCTCAGATGCATGGGAGCCACCTACTGGGAAAACATCAAAATTGTATGAACCCAGAATCGATATACTGCATGAAAAATTTAAAATACACAAATATGGCACTTAACCATATAAATCGGCTCCAACACATGTATTTATAATGCGTTATAGAGATAGGCGTCGAATAAAGTGTTACCGAAATTTCTATTTATTCAAAAAGATAAAGTGCAGAGAGAAACAGTCTCACAGTTATAAACAGTTATAAAGACACCTCTGTTATCGCCACTTGCAGTGTAACATGTGAAACAGCTTGAAGATGTCTGAGTGTAAACATGCTGTGCTTTATTATTTTGATTTTTATCTTTTGCTTAGAGGTTGTATGCATGTATGAACTCTAAACAATTTGAGAAATAAGAATTTCTCCTTGAAGGTTCATTTGAAACTTCAAGTCCTAACACAGTTACACTTTTACACACCCACCTCTCCTTATTCAAGAGTTAATTTAAGAGATAGAACTCAATGGTAAGCTTGATCTGTGCACCTTTAATACAGCATGTGCTGAGTGTAATACCCTTGAGCTACACTGAAGAGTATCAATTTGTAAAAATGTTTGTTAGTGATTACTGTCTCTCTGTTTTCTCTTCATCTCTCACCTACTTCATCTCTTCCTCTCCACAGCTGCCAGTGGGAATCCCACCCACTTATGTCAGTTAGCCATGATGCTCCTCAAACATCCGCCCTGTCAGGTGGCTCTGGCTGCCTGGGTTGCCTTCCTGGCTGGTTTCACCGCCTGGTACCTTTTTTAGCTCGGTCTTTGTAGCAAAGGACTCTGTAACATCATGCCAAGTTCAATCCTTTTCACTCCAACTCTTTTAGTCTTTTAATATTGTATAATTTATAGAGTTAAATGGAGAGTCAACAGAGACTTATGGAAGCTTTGATACAGCTACTGCAAAATGCAAAACATTTTCAAAGGAAATAAAGTATTCTCTGCAAAGAAGCCATCTAAATTTATATGCATTTCTCTGCCATAACAGTTGAATGTATATTATACTGCAGATATACTAATGTACAGATATGTGTCCCTGTGTTATTTGTTTTTAAGTTGTTCTTGACTCTAAATAAATGAGTTGAGTAAAGTCTGTAAAAATGGCTCAAATCTCTCCAAAACTACTTTCAACTTTCATCCACCTTAATTTTACAGACATGTATTTTGCTGTTTGTAAAAGGGAACCCTATTTTATTAAAAATAAATACATTTAACACCAGGGTGAATGTAATGCAGTTCCCACCCACTGTTACTGTAATGCAGTAGGAGTGGGCAACCAGCAGCACAGGGTCTTGTAGCTCTAGAAAAGTGCTTTCCAAACCCACAGAGATACCCACTGGAGGTTTAGGTGTTGTACTAAGAGATAACCCACTGAGCAATTTTTGGTCTAAAAGAGATCTAATAGACGTCTAAATGTAGCCTAGATGACTGGTCTAAAATCAGTCTAAAAATGAATGTTTTTTAGATGTCTAAATTTAGACCAAGTTTGGACTAAATCTAAATCTGGGATATATCTATACATACCCTGTATATTGCTCATTGGCTATCATAATTATTTTTCTTAAGTACTTGGAGATCAGTTATGCAACTCGCAGTTGCTTTTTGAAATAAATAGTTATCGAATAATGGGTTAAAGTTCAACGTCAATTCCATCTACAAAATATACAGAATCTAGACTGTTGAAATCTAAAAAAAAAAAAAAACGAGGCGTCTAATAGCCGTCTGTTGCTCAGTAGGAAGCCACTTATGTCATCGAAACTAGAACCTCAGATAACAGATAACTCAGCACACGCAAAACCCTTTACATACTATACATAAAACAGATGAAGTGTGGTGTTAATTTTCTTTAATATGAAGGCATCTGCATTTTTCTTGCCCTTTATCTGATGAATGAAGTTAAAAGGATTGACACAACATTTTAATTGTAAATAAGGGGCCTCAATATCAACCTGTTAAGAGTAAAAGCTTAACAGGTTATTGAGGAGAGTGTTGCAACATGTTAGAGAGCATAAACTGAGAGAGGGACAACAGGAACTTGACTAAAAAGATGAGTGATAGAACAGACTGATAAATCGTTGGGGATGTGGTCTGTGAAACATATAGAAGGGGACAGATGACAGCAATCAAGGCAGAAAGGTTGCAGGGCGGACAAGATGACAGACTATATGGGCATGAAAACCATCCTGACTGCAGCCATGTTGCTGTTGAGCTCCGGTAGGTCTGTTTGAAGAGGGGAACTAAGTAGGCTGTTTAAGTTCAAGCTTCTTTAAACTGAAATATGATGGTTGTTGATACTTCTGTATTACAGTAGGGTTAAAACAACTCAAACACCAGGGTGGGGTCCAGGCTTTGGTGGTTTAGTAAATGATACATAGTGTTATATGTGTGCCAGTAGATGTATGTGCAAATACAAACCTTAAACTACCTTGAGTAGCAGTGATTTTAAGCCTTGATTAAGAAATGTTGCCTCGATAAGGAGCTTGTGTTCAAAGTCACATGTTAATGAACATACAAGGTTGTCTTTCATGTTTATATGTCATCAGTTAAATACTTGGGTAAAAGTTGATAGAGGATAATGCTCTGTTGTGCATTTCACAGGGCGAATGTAGCTTTAATATAACTCAGACTGCAGAACATCTAAATATCATTCTCATTATGAGTTATCCATGTTTTCTTTTTCTTTTTTAAAATTAAACTCTAAATGCAAATAGTTTAAACATCTTCCATCATGCAGACTTATCTGTAGCCGGGGCAGATCATGACTTTTTGATTGGGGTGAACTTTACGAACTCCACAAATCCTACTCACTGAAACTCATGACATCAAAGTGCAAAAAAGATGGTTTAGTAAGTCACACAGCAGAGTGCAAGGTTAAAATCTTCACTTAAATCTTTGAGGACTTTAAGACATCAGGGCTGTCCAACCTTTCAATTCTTTTAACCATAATTGGTTCTGGGTTTCAAAAAGTAATTGCAATTATTTTGAAAATGCATTTATTTTGAAGTTTAGAACTTCAAATGTACAAATTGGTTAGCAACTCTTTTCAGTGTATTGATTTGGGAATCAAATGATTGCAATAAAGTTCACTTAATGATCTTGGCTTTTAGATTGAATATTATTGTGCTGTGTTGTAGTGCTGCACTACTGCACAAGTGCGGCCTGGAGTTAAAACACAGCGGTAGGAGACAGCTTTGATGTGCTTATCCTGTAAAGTGCAGTATTTAAGTATCTTTTTAAAACTCCTCTCAGGAACTCTCTGTTTGTTCCAACTTTAGTGCCCCCTGTGGACAAAGCAGCCTTTGCTTATCTTGTCCTCTTGTCCATCCTTAAGTTTACCAGAAAGCTTCATTGACGGTTAAATGCGTAATTTATGGCGAGTATCTTATATGGGAAATGTAAAACCAGGACTGTCTATTCAGCTGCGAGGCTGACACCGACCCACTCGCACTAGTTTTAAGCATACAAAAGTTATACAAAAGTCAATACAAAAGTTATCAATCAGCTCGCTTTTCTTGTGTGCTTTTGGATATCATGAAAAAGGCATCAACATCTATTTCAGAGATGTGGGAAAAAAAACACTCCCCACAGGAACTTTAATGAGGTGTCAATGCAGACAGCCAGAGAAACGTCAAAAATAATCATTTTTAGTAAAAACAAAAAGAGGTGTGTCAGACTGAAGTCAAAGAAAAAAAAAAAAAAACTACCAGCCAGCCTGTTGCAACACAGCCTTTATCTGAACAGAGTCATTTATGAAGAGCCTTAACGTGTTTTCTCAGTATTAGATTCAGTGCATTTTGATCTTTTGACCTTTCCTTCCTCAGGACTCCAGGCTGAAGAGGATCATTCAACAGGTAACTGGGGAGAGCTAAAAACCACACAGTAACAAGGTTTTGGTTTTTGTTAAAAAATAGAATAAATCTCCCTGCGGCAGTAAAACCTTCTTGTTTCTGTTCAGAGTCTGGTAACATCAGGCTGAGAGGAGGTGCCAGCCGCTGTGCTGGTGGACTGGAAATGAAATTCAACAATGAATGGAAATCAGTGGATGACCCAAAGTTTGGCTGGAACTTGAGGACAGCAGCTGCAGTGTGCGAAGAGTTGAAATGTGGATCTGCTTTATCAGCAAAAGTTCAACAAAGTTTCACGAGGAGACTTGTGTGGAAAATAGAGGCATCCAGTTTTCAGTCTGGATTTGCACTGGGACACAATGTATCAATGAAGGCTCAGTATTCAGCCTCCAGCTTGGAGATCATCTGCACAGGTAAAATTACTGGTCACAATAATATCATAATACAGTGGTTATTCTTAAATCAGCAAGAACTATATTTGTTGGTTCTAATTTATCTAATTTTGCCCCCGTCCACAAAATGTTTTATTTTTAGAACGTGTATTGTAATCTGGTCACAGAAAATATAACATTTTCAATCAGATATACAGAATTCTGAATATGAGTAAATAAGTAAATCTGTGGTCTTAACTATTCTTACAGCTGTAGTCTCACACACAGCGCTCTCTTCTCCCTCTGCAGAGTCTGTCAGGCTGGTGAATGGGAGCAGTCTGTGTTCAGGCAGACTGGAGGTAAGACCTCAGCAGTCTTGGTCCTCGGTCTGTAAAGATGGATTTGACCAGCGGGGAGCCGAGGTTGTCTGTAGAGAGATCAGCTGTGGGGCTCTCTTGAACACACGGTCAGAGCTCCATGCAAGTGATAATACTCCAGTGTGGAGGAAAGAGTTGAAATGCAGAGGGGACGAGTCAACACTGCTGGACTGTGACAACCTGGAGTCCAAAAGAGAAAACTGCATACCTGTTAGACTCACCTGCTCTGGTAAGAAAAAAACAGTTAGAGCTTTGGTCATGCAACTGTGAATTTTTACATTTCCCTTTTCTTACCACTTTTAGGACTTCTTATCCGTATTAAAATAAAGGCTGATGTCCATTTCTGAACAAACAAAACTTAAATACATGACTGTCACCATTGTATCCAGCAGCTATTATTGAGTTTCAATCAGATCACACAGACAAATAACCCATAAGAGTCTGTGACAGAAAAGATTAAAATCCCGGTCGGTCTACAGAAATATAAAAAATAAACATTATTACTGCTCTGTGCTGCGGTACAAACATGGTGGTGCAAGATTGTGGGAGGGGACGCCCTCCTCTTAAGATATAAGAGGCTCATTTTAAGAGGGCAAAGAGAAAACAATTGTGGTATTTAGTTGGTTACACACTTGCATGTTCAAGAATATGACATACTAAGGCTACACAATATTACCAGCATGATACTGGTACCAGCAGATAATGGCAGATAGCGTAAGGCAATAAATGTACTCTTTGATTTCATGAATTACTTCAGTAAACATGACAAATAAGTCTGTATCAATAGTTAGTTTTGAATCTTTTTTCAGTGCGTTTTGCTCATTTAGCAACTAATGTCCCAGTTTCAATAAAAAGTGATAACAAAGCAGCATATGCCTGTGACCAACTGTTAATATCTTGTAGTCATACTATGCCGCAGATAGCGGCAAATGCTCTACACCTTTAAACTGGAGTGGTGGTGATCATAGCAAGAGTTGAGATGGGACTTGTGCCCTATCAATAGTTTGTTGAAGGGTGTGTCAACTGCAAAACCCCAAGAAGAGGAAGAGCTAATTCAGGGAGAAATGTCAACAGAAAATTTACTGCAGAATTCTCCTAGTCTAACATTACCTTCAACCGAAATGTCCAATTTAATAGTAATTTACTCCTGGTGGAGGTTGATAAGAACCTGTTGCTAGGTGTTAGCAACCAAAGAGGAGAATTTTTACAAGCTAAATGCATGAACTTGAAATAATTAAAGTCATCTTTAATTCCAAATTTTGTGCCAGCTTTTTTATGGATTCACTCTGGAGCTAAGTAATATGTAGAATGTCATTATCTGGCTAGAGACCCTGCTACTTTGCGTTGGGGTCCTGTTCACCTTGTAGGAATTCTAATTTACATAACCACCCACTTGTTAAACATAATCTTCTACATGTTTATCAGGTATACTATTATTTGTTGCATTGCTTCAGTTTTGTATGCTGTTTATCAGCTAAAACCTGCAAGTAACACTGCGACTGAGGGACTATTAAGGTCAGACTTTATTGATGCGAACCTCTAAAAGTCACAAAGATTGTGGAGGACATAATATTTGGATAACAAGTGTCATGAAAGTTTGAAATATGTTACTCTGGATGAATGTGCTTGACACAGATGTATTCCTTACATGGCTTTGTTTCACAAAAGTTGACTTTGTGGACCCTTTAAAATGAGACTGTGCTGAGAATAAAAAAAATATCTCTGAATCCTGTTTCTTTTCTTTTCTCTATTCAGAGCCTGATAATCTCAGGTTGGTGGATGAGAGCAGATCCTGTGCTGGTGTATTGGAAATGGAACTCCAGGATGAATGGAAACCAGTTGATGGCCTGGCAGAGGACATAACGTCTGCAACCACTGTGTGCAGACAGCTGCACTGTGGCTTTGCTATGTCTGCTAAAATAAAGCCTCGTGCAAAAACATTTATGTGGGGGATCACAGCCTCTGGAGTTGAGTCTGGATCTGCACTGAGGGAGCATGTATCCGCTCGGCAATGGTTCTCTTCATCGAGCATGGAAATCATCTGCTCTGGTAACATCTTAAGATGTAGTATGACTACAAGATATTAACAGTTGGTCACGGGCATATGCTGTTGTGTTATCACTTTTTAGTAAAACTGGGAGATTATTTGCTAAATGAGCATAATGCACTGAAAAAAGATTCAAAACTAACTATTGATACAGACTTATTTGTCATGTTTACTGAAGTAATTCATGAAATCAAAGAGTACATTTATTGCCTTGCTGCATAGTCCAATGCATTTGAGGCCATTAAATCTGACATCTATTGTAATGCAGTCAGCCTTTGCTGGTCATTAGAAAGAGTGCAGTTCAAGGCATTGGTTTTACAACTTTCATCCATTAGCCATGACAGAAACCGTCACATGATTACATGTCAGGATCATGCTATTATTCAACTTCCTTGTGATTATTTATTTGTGCAAACAGCCGTAGACCTACAAAGATTTACCTTAGAAAATGGTAATGAGTGCTAGGAAAAAAGCTGGATGTGTTATATGTGTTTTTCCTTTTAACAAATGAAAGAACAGATTCATTCATTCACCACGTCCACACAATATGCAAATTCCCCCAAAGAGCAGTCAAACCAATTTGCATGCTTTCTTGCTGCTCCAGGGAAACTTACCTGTGCTCATCCAAGCTTTCTTTGCTCTCATTTTTCCATCTCAGAGGCAAAGATTCTCAATCTCAGCACTCCAGATAACAATTCAACGTTGAATCGGACAGGTGTGTGTCATTAATGTTATTACCGTTCAAAAAGAAAGATAACCCAAGAGTATGTATTTATTTGTAAGTAGATCCCATTTAACAACATGTAATACAGCTTAGTTATTTGTTTAAATACCTGCCAATTCGAATGAGCTCAAATCAAACAATAAATATGACTGTTTAAGAAAATGTATAATTTTTTGATCATCCAGCATTGCATTTCAGCAAATAAAGAATAAATCAAACTGCTAAAATATTCATCAATACTCACTACAGTATATGTGTTATTCCATGGCTTGATCTGATTGTTGCTCATCTGTTTTTCAGCTCTTCCAAACATTTCCCTTGTGAGACTGGTGTACCTGCTGCTTGCTCTGGCATTGTTTCTATTTGCGATGCGTTTCTATGATAAGGTAAGGTGCATGGTAAAGAGAACTGGTGAAGAAAACTCAGTGTGTGTACTGTACAATCAGTGAGTGATCCAGTGATTTCTTCATATTTGCTGTCATGTGTCTCCAGGCCACCAGAGGGCAGAAGCCGGCAGAGCAGGACAACATTGAGCTTAACAGCTATCACCTTGGTGCTACCAGAGCTGGAGGACCAAATGAGGAGGCCTCGGAAATAGAGCTCTGAGGAGCTTTAAAATGCTGCTGTTGTTTTTTTCCGATTTTCTGCAGCAAAGCTTCAGAGCTCTTTTTCAGACACAGAAATAAAGCACTCCAGTAACTGTGCCCCTGAAACATTGTCTAAGATAAGATGGTGAGTCATTGCATTTCTAAATAACCAAGTGTGAGAAAACACAGCAGAAACATATGAACCTCTTTTTATCTGCATGGACTGGACATAAAACAGGACATCAGCCATTAGTGCTGTTTAAACTTAAGTTTTAAGCCCTGGGTTTGGCTTTTATTTTACCATCATCTGCTGTTTTTTTTTTTCAGAACCATAAATGAACACATTGTTAACTCTCTAGTCCTATTTGGTAACAACCCGTAAACCGTGAGAGGCTTCACCCAAACATCACTGTAGTAGAAAAGACTTAATACTTCTTAAATATCTATGCGTGTATGTGTTCTTATGTAACTATATTCTGTGTGCTTCATGATGTGATTATTTCTTACTTCTTTGTGATGGTACAAACACATCCCATCATTTTTTGATACATTATATACCACTGAAAAAAAGAATTTGGTGAGGGAACTATTGCTTACTGGACGGTTTTCTTTTTTCATAAGCGTCTTCGGTTATTGTTAACAATTCTAAGTTATACAGACAAACTTACCCAGATTATGCTTTTATTTGATTTTATTTTTTGCCTGTTTGACAAGTTAGCTACTGAATGAAGTAATCCAGGTACTATTTCACACTGATGACAACAGTCCTACTAAGGCAGCTCAAACTTTACTCCAGAAAAAAAAGGAAAATAAATTGTCATGTCTGTTGTCAAGGGATACAACAGACATGTAAAGTCCAACATATTCCATTTATAAACTGTCAGTCTTCTGATGTATGTTTAATAGTGCAGAGAAGAATTCACTGTTGATAACTACGATCCAAGTCTTCACTTTTCAAAAATTGCTATGTTAAAGGTCCAAACACTTTCTCAAAACCTTCCCTGTCTACCACACGTCCATAGTGAGTGGAAAAATAAAAGGTCTGTGGGCTGCTGAATCTTTTAAGTTTCAATATCATCTCATTTCGGGAGTCCCCTGTATCCGCAATGGTCATAACATCTGTCACCGGCAGGAAAATGTCATTGCGTCTGCCCCAGAAGGTGAGGTGCGACACTTTGAGAGTAGTCTGCGATGGGTCCAGGTACATCATCCCAACAACTCTCCTGAGAAAATGACTGGCAGTGTACAGCATGACACCAGCAAAAAGTGCTACCCCAGTTGTGTAGCTGACAAGAGATATAGGGACATCTCCATGGAGGTAGAAGGCATACACTGGAGGCAAAATGACCAGCGTGAATGCAGTCTGGAACAGTTTGAGCCTAGACACAGCTCTGAGGAATCTAATGTGTGGCAGGGTGTAGATCATCGTGAACTTCTGAGAGGATACATCTGAATATCTCACCAGGGCTGTGATTTTAGGTATAAGAGGTCCATGTAAGCTCGGCTGGACAGGTGGTCGACTTGGTGATTGGGGCTGAACAACATAGGGTATCCGACCTGAGAGCATACATGATCTTCTGGTGCAGGACAGAATGTGGGGCGTCAATCTGTGTAACACCGCTGCTCGGATCTGTAATAAAAGGCATTTTGTATTATCAAACAGTTACCTAGAGCAGTGGTTCTAAACCGGTGGGTCCCGACCCAAAAGTGGGTCGAGGACATGTTCTGGATGGATCGCAAACAGCTGGTCAATAAAGTAAATATTCGATGCGCATTTGATGTTTGACATGTACATTACTTTGGAAAATAGCTTATTTTAAAAGGCACATGTTATGTCGTGGTCGTACTCAGTTTCTTATTAATGTGGCCTGAATCATAGACTGTATATAGAATAGACAGCGTTTGCCTCCTTGCTGGGTGAAGCCACCCCGAGAACAGCACCCGCTGTTGACAGGCTGCTGTATAGGTCATAAATCCCACCTCCGCCAGCAAAGCTTATGTGGCTGTGGACCAACTTTAGAAATTTATTACACAGAACACAAACCACTGATCTAGAGGTTGATCAGAAACACTTAATTGTAACAAGACAATATTGACAATACTATCCCTAAAATTAGAAAACTCAACAAACCTATGACAAAGTAATAGGGCTATAGATCTGATTGTACTTCAATAAACATTTATGTACTTGTATTTCTGTTATTGTGAACACATATAATTTCCAATACAGAACCCGAGGAGGAAACCATCTTCTCCAGTGATTTTGAAAAATATCTGCTAATAAACTTGAGCAAGGTCGTTTGTTGTTTCATGAAACATGTGACAATACAGTGTGTACAGTCTATGGTCAGAATAGATGAAGCAGAGCTCTCATACATGCAGCAGCAGCTAGCTAGGGCAGCTAAAAATTCAACTCTAACTTTTGTTTCTGGTTACTTACAGAAGAGTAATAATATAAGACGGTAAAAAATACTCACCATGACGGGTGATGCACTAAATAGAGGGCAAAAAACATAGAAACATGAAGCTTTTTAAAAGTGAAAGACAGTCAGGGACGGACTTGCAAGCTAGCTCTACGACCCGGAAGTACTCTATAGCTTATTCACGCGTTTTGCTCGTTTGCGTGCCCCGCTGCGGCAACACACAAAACTACCATTTGGGATTTCTTGAATTTTCTTTTTTTAAACTAAAGCTCTATAAATCCGGCCTTAAATGCTGTGAAATTGTTACAGTCAGCAAAACAAGATGTAATGTGCGGCAGGGGTTTCACAACAAAGAGAAGTGAAACCAGACGCTATTCCTCGTTATTAAGTGGACATGACTGACCGAGCAGTCGAGACCGGATAGGAGTGAGGCCGCTGCTCAAGTGTTTGTTTTTTTATTGGTCTGAGTGTTTAATCTTATGTCAGTGCTTGGTAAACTATGACCGTATCCCAGATAACACCTGGGCGTATGAGGAAGTTTACTTAGCAGGAGAGGGGGGCTAACAGCAGATTCACTCTCAGACCGGGTGCTGCTTTTCTGCTCTCTGACAATAAACAAAATGCTGCAGCTCGGAGATGAAGTCAACCTATACTCAGTCGTCTTCGTCCTGGTCCTGCTGGGCACACGAAGCCCACTGTGGACGACCGCCCTCACTGCATCGCTTTACCTATTTGTGGCCATGTTCCGGTTCCCCCAGGTACCGTCCAGCCGGGCCAGACAGGTACTGCACCCCGCCAAGGGCACGGCAGGCTCTGGTTTGGTGTCAGTGGTCGCACACCGGGGTGGAGGGCACGATGCACCAGAGAACACGATAGCAGCCATCCGGGAGGTGAGGGGTGTTGATTTCTCCTTGATTTCCCCAAGTCATCAAACGGATCTCGTTTTAAAGCCATTGGTTGAGATAGGGGAAACCGGGGCTTGTTGTCACACTTTTGACACTCTTGTATATTTCTTTGAATCAATACATCATATATAAACAAAATGTGTACCAGATGAAAGACCAAAGTCTCATATATATTTTGTATTCGTCATTTTCATATCTTGTGTCAGTGCGGAGTTATAACCAATCAAATAAAGAGTGTGAACATGTGACAAGTTGCCCCACCATCGAGTTAGCTGTCTCACTTTATGAGGTACGATTTCACAGTGGATTTTGCAGCTAATAAAACACAGACAAAATTATTATTGTCACTTTTTTTACTTGAAAGTGAACACAAAGTCAGGCACAGAAAATGTTTATCATTGAGCTTAAAAAAGTAATTGAACAAACGTTAACATAAAATATTATGCAACATGCTCTGGAGTTTGGAGAGCTGTCTGACTTTGTATTTCGGCTGGGTTGAATGTTTTTGCAGTAACAAGCTAAGGTATGGTAGTTGACATTAAAGTCCTTTATTGTAGCCAGATTGATTTATTATCTAGGGTCACCTGTCTGACTGCCCTCAGCATCACGTCAGGTACTGCACTGCCATGTTCTGTTTTTCTTTTGAAATTCCTGACCATGTCTTCTCTCTTTCTCCTCTCCTTTAAACCACTCTTTTTTCTGTAATAATAATGAAGTCAAAGTTTCAATATGACAACTGCTGATAAGCAAACTCTCCATATTAATTTTAATCAATTTAAAACATGTGACAACTAACCCCAAATTGACTGAGACATGTTGCCACAAACTGCCGTGTTGGCTAATTAAAGGTCTAGCTTAAAGTTAGCTTCAAACAGAACAATGACTGAGCTATGACAGGATGTCTTAATCTCTCCTCTAACAAGTCCACATATTTCACTGCTTGGATTTTCACCTGGAAGAAACTTATTTCAAAATATATAAAGTTTTTTTTTTTTTTTTTTTTACTTTGGGTTGTGCAAAATGGTTAATTGATGCTCATCTCAGCTCACAATGTGCTCTTCTCTTCTCAGACAGGACACGACCCCTGACCATGTAAAGGAATAAAACTAGTATTCCACTATTTAGGTGCGCCCTCTGGTGGCAAAGATAATTGCAGTGTTACAGCTTCACTTAAATCAATGCAAGATACCCTAAAGCCACTAGGACATCTGTACTACATTAGTACATAATTGCACTGAACCTTTTACTTACTAGTGACCACTACTGTTATCATTCAGCACCACAGGTTCATTCATAATCCACACTGCTATTCATTCAGCCTCTGCATCCACAGCTGGTCAGTAGTGTAAAAAGACTGCTCCCACTGTCAACATTTCATAAATATACACCACATGTCCTTGGTGGCATGTAAAATCTTCTGCTTATACAGCAAGCTTGCATACAGGCCTTGATAATAAAAAAGTTTATGAAGCCCCCAGTCACAACAAAAGAGATCACAACACAAAACAGTGTGAGGGGGTCTAAACCACACTGTTTACTAGGACAACAGAGACCCAGCTTCTTACAGTAATAAGCAAACACTGGTAAACAGTGGCAATAAAAAGCTATTAGACAGAGACCACAATTACGCAGGAGCAGACTGATAGGTGAACCGCCATCTGCTGCTTCTAAGTTCATCCTTTTCAGCCAAGTTATAGAAGGTTATATCAAGAGTAAATAAAAACAGACTTGTGGCTGAAACAAGAAAAAATCTTAGTAAAGTAAATCAAACCCTTCAGTTTGTCTATCATTCTTATAGGCCAGCAAGAACGGGGCAACAGGGGTGGAACTGGACCTGGAGTTCTCATCAGACGGCATCCCAATACTGATGCATGATGACACTGTCGACCGGACTACCAATGGCTCAGGTCCACTCAGCAACATGAGACTGTCTGAGTTGAGCAAACTAGATGCAGCTGCTAAACATCGACTGAGGTAAGAAAGACGGTTCACAGGCCATCCAGAGCATAACCCTGTGCAAAGACATTGTAGATGTTTTTGTAAGAGTTGTTGCAGCTTTTGCTTGAGGATCAAATGTACTGTGATTGATCCCACAGGGAAATTTAGATTCAGGAACCGGGAAGGGGGTACAGGTTTTCATTGTCGAGCATAATTAAAATGAAAGTATGGAAATGTTTTGCCCTTTTCAACTACTTTGTTATCATTTGTTTTTAAAGAGAAAGACATCTTTAAAGCAGTATCCTAGTGCACTGACATTTGAAACCCAGGCTAAAGACATTATTTATAACTATTTCTAATTAGAAAAAACAAACCAGTCACGTAGTAAATGACATGGAAACTTCATGAAGATATAACAACAGTGGTAAATATGTAGTAAGATCATTTGGATCAATGTTTGTTTAAGTTGATGATTCAGTTGGCTTTGTAGTGGCTTCATTAAAATCTGATTGTAATGAATTTCCACTGTGATGATGCGCTGCATATAAACATATGTTTGCTAAATGAGAGGTTCTATGCAGACTTTCAGTTCTTGTTAACACAGACAGTTGTGATGAAAGAGAAAACACAGAAAAGGAAAGGATGATTGGAAAACAGTATGTGAAGAAAATAACTTAGAAAAGATAAGACATCAAGGTTTTTGGAGCTAGATGGGGGCTTTAAGTCTTTCTTATGCTTGATGATGACTCAGCATGCATTAAGTAAGTCTGAATTTTTCTACTGATAGGCAGGTTTTCAGTTCATATGTAGTCTCTGCTGTGAAATAACAGTATCTGGGACTGACATATTGTTCAGATTCAGCTACTGGAGATGTGATACATGCATCCCATTACACATAGAGTTTGTGGGCACCATGGGATGTCAGAAAACCTGAAGAGATGTTCAAAGTAACATTTACAAAAACTGTTACTATCAACCCCAACAGGAGGTGGGAAAGTTTTTATTTATACAGAGGCACGCATTCAGTAATACAAGAGACCAAAAGGCCAGGAAATTTCCAAAAACAGCTTAGTGAAGACAAACTAAAGTAGAGTCTGACATGCAAAAGATCCCTTTAAGCAAACTATGTCAGGATGTCACTGCTACTGCTTTTGAATATGCTTTAAGAATATGAATGCATTTCATCATAACACTAACATGAAAAGCTGACACACGTCTCTGATCATTTTATGTGTTTACGGTTAATACTTTGCTGTATTTGTTTGAAAGCCATTTGTGCAAGTCTGAGGCTGCTCTGTAACATTTACATTCCTCATAGGGATGAATTTGCTGGAGAGAAGATCCCAACTCTGGAGGAGGCAGTGGAGGAATGCATCAAGCTGCAGCTTACCATCTACTTTGACGTCAAAGGTCATCCAGATGAGGTGCAGCCTGTAACATTAGCTGGTTTAATTGATTGGAACCAAGTGAATATTTTTTAATGTAGAGGGCATGATGTTGTGATTGTAATAATCCAAAGCTGCGCAAAGTGATTGTAATACTTCAGCAAGGGATTGAAGGCTTGATTACACTGGGAAGTACTCAAGGGTATCCAGGGCACCTTTTTCAGTTTGTGCTGTACTTTGGAATGGACCTCCAAAACCCACACAGAGAAAAGGACACATTTTCAGCTGCTATAACTCTGAGGACATTGCCACATGCATGTTTTGTTTGCTTTGAAACATACGTATGTTGTGACACATTTTCCTGCAGATTTTTTATTTGATCATTTTTGAAAACTGAATGCGAGACAACAGCCATCGAGGCAGGAGTTTACACAATACCACTAAAGCTGCAGTTTTGGTCCCCACTGAGTCTGCATATTAAAAGGTAACAAATCTATATTGGTGAACCTTAAACTCTCTGACCAGTCGCTCCTTGCTCAGCACATTTTTTGATGAGGAGGGAATGCAGAGCTGCTCCGGTGCTTGTTGTTTCAGGCAGGGGACATTCTTGAATTCGGGACTCACCGCTGAGTGCGTGCATGTACACAGCTGTTCAACCACACACAATTCTAAACAGTTGACTGCCCGACAATAACTGTGTGTTTTTTCTGCTTCCCTCCCAGGCAGCTGCAGCCCTCAAAGAGTTATATAAAAAGCATCCAGTCCTCTACAACAGCAGCATTGTGTGCTCCTTCCAACCTAAAGTCATCTACAGGGTGAGAGCCCTCTGTTATGTTTGTCAGAGTAATCAACATATCATACACCTGAAGAAAGTGAGATTTGCTGACTTAAAAAATGTTGTATATTTATATGAATAAGAGACAGGTAAACAGTACCAACCTATTTGAAGACTACACATTTTGTCTGTGTAATAAATGCATTATAACGGAGCTCCAGCACTTTGAACATTAACTAAAATTCCCTGTTGTCTTTGAACTAAACTCTCACCAATGAATGTGCAAGTTTTTACTTACTTGTTCAGATTACTTGTCAGACACCAGTCAACAGGGTCACACTTTGATTTATTTTCTGCATGTGCAAAAATGATAATTACAGTTATTTGAGTTACTTTGAGGCTTTCTAGAGGATAAAAACTTTTAGCTGAGGTGTCTGTTATAATTGCATGTTAGACTCTTTGGGGGAAAAAAGAGACAACCTGAGATGAAACACAAGCAGCTAGCTTTTTTCTCACATAACTCCCCGCTGTCCAAAAGTGAACAGTCATGCTGAATTTGCACATCTGCTAACATTCCTGCATATTTGCTCAATATTAGCATGACTAAATCTGTGTCTCTGCTCCATTCCATCCCAGATGAGACAGAGTGACCCTGAAGTCGTCACAGCATTGACCCACCGACCCTGGAGCCTGAGTCGGCGTGGAGATGGTATTCCATATTTCTCATCACTGTGGAAACACCACTGGATGACTCTAATGGACATTGTGTTGGACTGGGCTCATCATCACATACTGTGGAAGCTCTGTGGCACCTCAGCCTTCCTCATACAGAAGAACTTTGTCTCTCCGTGAGTCGCTCTTTGGTAGAGGTGGTGATGATTTAAGCGTGAGGTTTATCAAATGCATGGCTAATAGACTGATCAGACTGATCAATGGCTGATCATATTGACTGTGGTGTCAGTGTAAAGTTGCTTTGAAAGGTATAAATCACGTAAATGACATTGTTTCTGTGCTCTGCAGGGACTATGTCAAGTACTGGGCCCAGAGGGAAGTGGAGGTGGTTGCTTGGACAGTCAACACTCAAGTGGAGAAGGAGTATTACCAGGAGCTGCTGAAAGTCAACTACATCACAGACAGCTTAGTTGAAGATTGTGAACCCCATTACTAAGAAACAAGCCAAATGATCAGAAGATGAAACTCAATGGGCTGGTTCAGGTCTACTTATCACCTATTATGTGGCATTAAGAAAGAAAGCCACTGTATTATCCACATGCACATTTTGTATGTGGATATTTAATGGATGGAGTTAAATGGATCAGACTGGCTACCACACTTGATAACAAGAAGCCAAGTTGCATGTTTTATTCTGACTGAAGTCTTTACTTCATGTATGTTAAGGCATCTGAAAGCATTCATTCACATATTTCTATTTAGGTGGTTAAAGAGATCCTTTATAAAATGTACTGTATTCACCAACTCAGGACTGCTGTATTCTCCCTGTTTTTGTTTAAATAGTGAGACTGACCGACTCTATAAAACTGAAAATGTCATTCATTGTGCTTATGGCACAAAAAGGCCACCAGACTGAAGAAAACTACCTATAAATAGATCTGTTACCGAGAAAACCTTCACTGAAAATCAACATTTTATACATTTTTCAAATAAAATGACATATAGGGTAGAACAACGTAGGGCTGGACGATTATGGCAGAAATAATAATTGACTCATATTGAAATCATGATTAATAAACACGATTATTCATTGATTTACAACTTGAGTATTTATTGAACAACCGAAATTTAACTTTAAATGTAAGAGTAGCCAGAAATAAATTAGAAACAAGTGAAACAATAATAACAATAGTAAATTAAAACAATATAAACAATAAATGAAAATAAATACTCATTCTACATGCAAAACTTGCAACATGCAAAAAACACAAATAATACTCTTTGAAGGTTTTTCAAAAATCTTTTTTTAAAAACAAAAAAGGATTGGCCACAAAGTGCTATACTCCCTGCAATTTGCCTCCTAAGTTACATACTTGGGTTTTAGTCTAGGAACACCAGTCTGTTGACTTGATCTGGCTTTAGTGATGAAGGGTGCCAGGTAACAACATTTCCACCTGTGCAAAAAACCCACTCTGATTCAGACGTTGTGGCAGGGATGCACAACATGTAACGCTTGTCTAAAGTCTTAATCAGCTGTGTGATCATCGATGGTAAATAATACTGTTAATAATCGTTAGAAACCAAAATCAAAGCCATGACTGAAATTCAATTAATCGTCCAGCACTAGAACAATGCTGACATTTGATGTTAAGTAAAAATGCAGTAAATAGAAAGCTTGTATTTTGTAGTCTTTAAGATATTATTGAGCATTTAAAAAAGATCCCGTGGTTCATTGCAGTGTATATACAGTCCTGAACTCTATCTGCAGAGAGGACATCAATGAATCTACCACTATGATAGCTCTGTCTATCTACAACCTTATGTGTTCCTGTTTAGCACACTCACATGATAAAAGAATTTGAATTGCTCTTGTGTTTAATGTAGTAACAGAGCACTGCAAATGAACACAGTGTAGATCGATGCAGAAAAACAGTGAGAGATGACCAATGAAGCAGAAGTAAGGAGTAAAGGAGTAATTGCAGAGAGTGACAATGTGAGGTTTTTTAACTGACAATAATAAACGACTGCTGATAATACTAACTTTGGACACAAAACACACCTGATGTCTCTGTAGAATAAGGTGTGTGGGTAAGATGTGCCGGAGAGCTAGCCCCTGTAACGTGTTATTTTCAAAGAGGGAAACATAAATAAAGCCACCATCAAAGTCTTATATCATTTGTTTATAACAAGTCTAATTCACTTTGAAAAAGCTTAAACTCAACAGTGCTCTGAAATAAGTAGAGGAGACTGCAAGACTACCTCTGTATGTCATCTGAGCTGCAAATATCCAAGTCCTCTGCACTGATTTTCAATTTTGATATTTGAAACACATTTAAGTCTTAAAAAGTGGAAAAATAAAACATGAAAATTTAATTTGTTCTTTGTTCTGACTGATTTCTGTGTATTTTATTGATCAAAGTGAGCTGTGAATAAAAAAAAAAAAATGTATCAAGCATCAGATTTGACATCCTTCAGTCGAAGAGATGATGTTTCTGGAGATCTGTTCTCAAACCTTTGGGGCAGCCAAGACTTGTCTTCCAAGGTTCTGATCAGATTATATCAGCACACCAACACAAACACTGAGGACATACAAGGACTAAAAGACACATCTTTACAGAAGTCAAGAAATGTTTTGCAGTAATCACCCTCCTCTTGAGCAAGGCATCTTGAAATGCACCATCAGCTTATGATATTTACTATTAAATTTACCAAACTATCATTTTTGCTCACAAAAGGTACAGGACTAGTGTAATACCAACTGCATGTTTGTTGTAGAGTACAGAGAGAGTGCCCCCCTGCTGTTAATCTGAAATACTGTTTACTGTTGAGGATTTGCCTCTTTGGGTCTCCAGGTAATTGGCCCAGATAGTAGAGTTGAATGGTGGGTAAGTGTTGGATATCACTGTGGATAAGCCTGTCTGATCTGCTCCATGTCCTTACAGTTACCAAACACCTGCTGTTAGTTTATGTTGTGGAGAGGCGGTGAGGTGATTCCACCAGGATAATACTGGTTACCTGTGAGAATTCTGTTGCACATGTAAAATCCACAAAAAAATATGCAGCAGAATACACTCTTTCACGAATGACTAAATCGGACGTTTGCAAACTTAAGTTAAAGAATGAAATAATAATAATGAAATATATATATATATATATATAAGCTATGGCACGTGGCATGCTTGTAGAACTATGAGCTAAGTAGTGGTTTCGTCGGACTCTTAACTTGGTACTCAAAGACATGAAGAAGTAATACAAACTGCGGGAAATTGAGCATAGGTTCTCCTAACTTTCTGTCGTTACTGTAAACACGTTGATCCATCTGCGTGTGCGACTTAATAGGTGAAAGGTGATCGCTCGCGCTCCGCCCACTCAGTCCCGTCTGGTCTAGGGGCGTGCTGTGACGCCACGGAGGGGTTGCCCTGTTTTGTAAAGTAGTCCCGTCGGAAATAAATACAAACAACGACAGCGGAAATGAAGAGGCCGTAACTTCAAAGTAAAAGTAGGGTTTCCCCTGTAAGGCTCTTAAGGGGTACTCCGGCGTAAAATTAATTTAGGGTCAAACTCACCATAACACTGAGTTAGACAACCCCTCGAGAGATGAATGTTGCCAACCGCTTGGCTCTCTAGTTATACAAACTTTAGTAAAGACCGCACGGTAGCAATACACAGTGGTCTGAGGAGCCAAACACAAACCTCAACCAAAAAGCCACTTTATAGCCACAAATGATACTCAGAACAGCACCTAACTTCATCAACAGCACATATGGGTCCCAGCCATAGTACCAGCCATCAAACATCTTTTTAACTTTGCCTAATTTCCTTAGCAAAGAGACTAAACACAACTCACCTACTTCCAGCAGCCACTTGTTTGTAGAGAGACCTCAGGCCAGTCCATTACGGAGTGCTGCGGGGTGACACAGCTCAAGGAAGAACATTTATGATCATTTCTTTCATCATTTTGCACTGTAGATGCCTTAGCATCTCGGTCTGATTGCATTTCCATGAATAAAATGATCATGTGGGTGTCTAACTCTGTGTGTTTGTCCCTCAATTAATTTTACGTCGGAATATCCCATTAAAGCTGCTTCATTATGACCTACAGTATCCACTGAAACCAAAAGCTATAGAATTGTTAAACTCTATTTTGCTATGTTTGATATCAGAAATTGTCATGAGAGGTAAGGTGCAAGACCAGACCTTTGCACACTGTGAAATACAGCTATTCTTACATTTTTGACTGCAAATATGCGCTGTAATTGGCACATTATTCTGTAAAATAAAGGGGTTGAGATCAGTAATCAGAAAATACTACTCTGGTATGCAGGATAGTATTGCATCTAATACTCTGTTCATCTTTGTCATCTAAGGGTATCAAAATCAACATAAACCAAAAGGTTCCTAGTGGCAGCTTGAAATCCATAACAACACAACACAAGTTAACAACACAAAAAAAGTGGCAATGCAAAAAAAAATAAAATAAAATACTTACTGCGATATTAAAAAAAAAAAAAAGAGGCCCTAATGGAAGTGAGCTGTCGGGAACCAATAATGATGATGATGTATCAGAGTTTTACGATACAGGCACAGAAGACGACGGCAAGAAGATGAGCAAAGAAGTAAGTGGAAAGGTTATTGTTAAATTTCGCTTTTTGTGCTTTTCAATGTGGTCAGGCCATGTAGCGCATGAGTCTATATGAAGTTGAACTGAAGCTAACACTACACCGGCATCCCCCAGTTCAACTTCATATCAACTCAGGCGCTACATGGCCTAACCATAGACTGTATATAGAATGGACGCCATCTGCCTCCTTGCTGGGTGAAGCCACTGCGAGAACAGCACCCTGTGGTGACAGGCTGCAGTATAGGTCATAAATCCTGCCTCCGCCAGCAAAGCTTATGGGGCTGTGGACAAACTAGAAATTTATTACACAGAACATACATTTTTCTCCCCACTGCTTGTGATGTTGACATGTAGTTATTGTATCTTTGTATCTTTTTTTTCTGTGAAGCTCCGTTTTTAAAAGTTATTAGGGGGTTCATATTTTCTATGATTGACACTTGATACAGCCTATTGGCGTTCAGGGATTGCGTAACTCACCTGGGGGATACACTGTTTGAGTCGAGCGTCATCACAGTGACTATGCAGCCGAATGCACACAATGCTACTGCGCAGCGCTGGTTTCAGGAAATGAATAAAAATCCTGGAAATACCGAGAGCTTTTTGGCTTCAAATCCTTATACAGGTGGGAGGCAGAACCAAGTTGTCCATAGTATATAGTCTATGGGCCTAACCAAATAACACATTGAAAAGTAAAGGAAACAAAATTTGTGTACTTTTTTTTTTTATCTGCACCGTTTCTTTTTTTTATTAGTTGCAGCAGGCCTTTTTTTTTTTTTTTTTTTGCATCTGTAATTTCCGTTGTGACTTCTTTTTTTTTTTGCATTCTTTTTTATTTGCAGCAGTGGCAGTTATCAGCCACCGTACATATGGTTAAACAACTAAAATAAAACAAAAACAAATAAACAAAGAACATTACATGACACTTTCATGATGTTTAAGTTGGCTCATAAATGAGTGCTGACCATTTTAATAGCATCGCATTTATTTTGAAAAATCTTAACCGGAAACTCCACTCTTCAAACCAACAGCCTTGACGCTTGCCCTGCATGGTCGCTTTCCGTCCATAAGAAATTATGAAAGTGTGCAGTGTCCATCTACCTTGTCTGTAAGCGGAGGTGTTGCAGATCGTCCCGGAGCATCAGCGAAGCGAACAGAGTGTCCAGCCAGGAGTGTCACTGTCCCTGGACGTCAGGGAGACACTGTCACCCCTCCGCTGACTGACTGACTGATCCCCGGCATGCGGGGCCGCTTTCTCCTTGGATGACCTACACACCACCTTTCGCACAAGCAACGGACGTCGGTTCATTAAGCTGAACACCTGCTGGTTAGGAGGAATAGCAGGGCTCGTTACATTGACACCGGACAACGAGTCGAAGCGAGTGTCTTGCAGGAGTACCTGACACGGGCGGAAAAAAAGCACGTCCACCAAAATTTTGTTTTTCAACGTGGCTGCGTCAGGGGAAGCGGACCGAGGAGTGGAGGTTGCAGAGTTGACAGTACATGGTTGTTGTACCTGGTCATAAAATAGACACGAGACTCTCTAAACACAGACACCACAGCATTTCCTGAGGTTACTGTTGTTCACATGATGTACACAATCACCAGAGGTCCCAGCAAACTTGTTACACAACGGAGGACAGGTGGGTGAATGTGTGTGTGTTATCGACAGCATGATGCAATGTAACATCAGACTGATTATTTCACCATGTAGACAGACTTTATTATTGACTGGTTAGGGGTCCACATGGTTCTGTAGCTGTATGCAGATCATGGTCTTAAAGAAAGTGTGCAGACAATGGAAATTATTCAACCCAGAATTTTGTCTTCAAGGTCCTACACAACAAATCGAGAGCAAATTCAGCGACCTGAAGCTCAAGCCGACATCTTGGCTTTCTGCAAAGTAAGTAGCCGCTCAGAGAGTTGTGGTGGTGCGTGAATTGAAAAAATACTTATGCTTACTGTTTTAACTGCGTGGGCCCAAAATACACCGCACGTGCGCCAGGACTGCGATCATGTAACGCATCGGCGTGACGGGGGTGAAACTTCAACTTCAATTATCGGACACAACAGACACACTGACCTTGTTGAAGCCAACAGCTACTTAACTTTAGTATTGTTTACTGTTAACGGTTAGAGACGAAACGCCTGTTCGTCAACTCTGACCCTAACTGCCCTGCGACGCAAGGAGTCTGTGCTCCCTTCAGGTGCTGCTCGGAAGAAACAATATTGTGCAGGACAGCGCTTGGCTGACAGTTATTTACTGTACACCAGGACAGTTTAACTTCTTTGAATCGTTGATCTAAAAAGGGGCGGAAAAGTTATGATAGAAAACGGCCAGTTTCAATACAAAATGGAAATACAGCCTCCAAACTAACAGTTAATTATTTTTAAATGTCTGTTTGAAACTTTGAATGAGACTTAAATTAGTTGCAGGGTGTATCAAAAAAGCTATTATCTGAGAATGTATCACTTTAGCACCATTATTTAGAACCAAGTTTTTTCTGGAAGTGATTCATGATTAGGATACAACTTTATCAGAATGAGTGTTTTTACATCACATTATCATACTATCTACATTTTCTTATTTTATAGAAATGCATTCTGGGATAAGGAAGGAAAAGTTTTATTTGACCAAAGTAAAAAGGACCACCATTTTGCTGACCCAGTAATTCCATCAAAGTCCAGAATGACCATAGAATAAGAAACATTTTTTCAACATGGTGTGAAGCATCCAACAAAATAAATCCAGATGCCCATCAGTCTCCTGTGGAGGTCTCCAGCATATACTTGGAGCATAAATCCATCACTATGTGAGACTGACCTGTTGTGGTGTGATGCGGCCTGTCTCAGTCCCTGGACTGATTCTCTTAATTAATTCTGATCCCTGCAGCTCTCCACCCCCAAAGATCGTCTTCAACCGTCTGAACGGGAAGCGTTACCACAGCACAGCCACACAGAAGCCTGCCAGCTCAGCAGAGGGATTCACTCCTGCACATGAAGAGAACGTCAGATTTGTGTTTGAAGGTGAGGGTCACAGGTCAAAGGTTATGTGGACAGGAGCTTGGATGTCATGGTGTGCCATACTCCTGTTACTCTCCAGTGCTTTCTTATTCTGCCTCTGACAACAGCGGTAATGCTTAACTGTGTACTTTTCATCTACAATCAAAATTAAAACAAAGCATCAGTTGGTAAATCAGTCAGAAGATGAGACAAACTCATATCTTACTGTTTTAAGTTTTATAGAAACTCTGTACTCTCCTTTCCTGCACTTTTTTAAACAGATTTAACATGTTAAAAACTGCAGCCACATATTCACTTATGAGTAAGAGCCACTTTAAAAAGTAGCCTTACCTCAAAGATGAAGAGTAAAGCTGCGCTCAAGAAAAGGAAAAAAAAAAAAACGAGAATAAAGGGTAACTATTTCTTTTTAGAGCCTGTAATACCCAACAATCATTCACCATCTAAGCTTTGCATGTTGTCCTTGCGTTGTTGTTTACCAGCATGCTTTGTTGCTGAACAATATTTGGTGCCCTGTTGGAAATCAGTGACTTGCAGGCCTAAATTGTCCTTGTGTCAGTTCATCTTTGTCACTTTTAGAGGGCGGTCAGCCAAGGTCGCTCTGAGGTGACCTTTTTTTAACATTAAGGTCAGTCAGGGAAGAGAGTGCTGCACTTTTCTTCATTGCCCACACTCAAAAGAAAAACTTCTAAAAGCCTTTGAGTTTTAAGTAAAAAGTTTGATGAGCCTGACTCCTTAAACATGTTTACTATTAAAGAAAAAAGGGAAATGTCAACATATTTCACCGCGAACAAGTTTATCTAGCAGAACACACCCCCATGCACTTGCACACATACTACAGGTTTTATTGCATGTGTTTTTCTCCTTTTCATTCACACCATTTTGAGTCCAACAAACTGAATTAAGTAAACACAGTGTCGCTGAAAGTCTGTGTTCAAGGTAAGCCAAAACCTTGAGGCTTATCAATGAGTGAAGCTGGAAAACTTTCGAAGATAAAAGAAAAAAAAAAACACCCCAGAGACAAGTCTAGCCCTCTCTCAAAGGTGCTGGGATGTCTGAGTGTCAGGTAGTTCAGTCAGAAACATACAAAGACAAAAAAATCTAAATTTTCTAAGATATAAAACCGTTAACTGGAGAAGTAAGATCTTTGTTGACAGAGCTTGTGTTTGAGTTCATTTAGCATACAGGATATGTGTGTTGTTTCATTTCAGCGTGGCAGGAGGTGGAGCAGAAGCTGGGGGACGGGGACAATGTGGAGTCGCCTGAAAGCCGGGGGCCCATCCAGTACACCGAGAAGACCCCCAGTGCTGCGATGAAGAGTAAGTAACTGGGTCCCACCTCCAAACAGAGTGACCATGGCTTAGCTGGTGCAATTTCCATTCATAAATAGACTGTAATTAGTCTGAGAATACAAACATAGTAAACTGCACCCCGTTCAATCTAATCCCACCACTGAGAGTTTTATGGCACCACATAAACCTCTTTGTGAATTGTTGCGCCATGAACTTTGAGCCTCTTATTGTGCCTTGTTCGAAGTTTTCTTGGCTATTTAAATATCACCGGAAAGCTGAATGGCTGCTCTCTGTGGGAATCCCATTCTTGCTGCTGATTTGCTGGGCTTTATCTTCAGCCAGAGGGCAACTGTTGTAATAGTTTGCTTTAATCTTTAACTCTTCTTTGGGCTACACAAACCTGGCTGTTCCAGATAAACCAGCCCTGACTGCTCACTGCAGCATGTCCTGACTTGTCTCACACACACCTGTCTCCTCTGGTTTTGTGGACCACTAGAGGTCAATCCTTCCAGGAATAAAGAGAAACTAATTCTTATATGTGACAATATAAGCCACATGTAACACTTTTTCCCAGGACATGGTATTGTTAGAATTTATGGGATGGCTGTCTGGCTTTTCTATTGCCTTTTTCACAGTTTGTTGCATAATTTGTCTGTTTCAATATGACCATGACCCACTGAAGATCAATTCTACAAACTTTTCCTTTAGTGAAACCATGATAGTGGTAATAAATTCTGAATAGCAGGGGCAACACCAGGGACAACCAGCGCACACATAACGTGAATTATGGCTATGGTAATATACTGGTATTAATGGTAACCATCTTTGAGAGGAAGAATTTCAAAAATATCAACATCGTCCTAAAAATAAGCAAACAGTGATACCATGAGTTCACAGTGGCGGACACGGGTGAGTTCATACCTTCACGTTGGTGGCCACATGTCATAAAAGAGAAGGGAGACAAAGCAGCCCCGAGAGGTGATTTGACACTTTCAAGGATTTATTGTGAATCCAAGGACAAGGTTAGAGCTCGTTCCTCTTCAGGTTATTGATCAATTGAACATTTAGACTTTCTAATGCTTCTTTTAACTCGTTTTATTCAGCTCTGTAACTTCGGTCTACTAGAAGTAGTATTATTCAAGGTAAAATACTGTGTATGAAGTGGTCGTCTCCTTAAAGCTTTCAGTGACAGGGCTCCTGATGTGGATAAATCATAGATTTGAATGTTATTGGAAATGGAGGATGAAAAGTAAGTTGTGTTTCTTGGTAAGGTTTGTGAAGTTAAGTGTTGTTCCACCCTTGTCCTTTTTTTCGAACTTGGATTGTCTGGTTTTATTCTCAAGTCTTCCATCGTTATCTTTAATGGCCACAATAGTTGTGAGGAGAACATCTGATATCACAACAGCCTTACTGTGAATGACGTTTAGGTAAGTGTGACTTTTTGCAGCTGAGCAGACTGATGTGTAGACTGAAACATGACAGAGTTCAGACTTATTTGAATACTGTTACCAGCCTGCCGGGACTCTATTTTACTCAACCATTGCTTACTATTACTGTACATCATCCCTTACATGATGATTAAAAATAATGAATACCTTACCCTGAAAATGCCAGGCCAAATCAAATAAAGAATCGTCTGGTCTGTATGTTTATAATTCCAGCCAGCCTCAACGGTGCTTTGTTCTGAATGGTTGATAGGGTTGGTTGGCATACGGACACTGTAATGAAGTGGTGAATTCGGTGACTGTAAAGCCTGACATGTTTTAGTAGTTGTTATGACCCGTCTAGGGGTGGCTTGGACACAGCATGGAAAAGGACCCATTTCATCCATCTCTCAAACAGCCACACTACTATCTTTCAGTACTATCTGGTTTTAACAATAATACACTTTGTTTACAAAAGAAAAGTGACTTTAGAACAACAAAGAACATTGACCTCCTCAGGATGAATCAAAGATGACTAAAAATACTGATTAAACTTACAAATTATGAACTAACAAAGCTCTGCATACTGCTGTGACACGGACATTTGGGAAATGGATGTGATGGGTTCCCCCTGCACCGCGGTGATGTCACTTCTCCTCCTAATATCAAAATAGAGCTCCTTACCAGCCTACTACCTGTCCACACATCAGGAGCAGGCAATAGCACACCTAATTCAACTGATAGCTAGGCAGCAACCTCACCACACATGCTCCAAGGACAACATAACTAAATAAAATACAATAACGGAACATTACATTTTTCCCCTCCAGGCAGTTCCTCAACACTGTTGACTCAGACTTGAAATTGTAAAATTAACATAAGTAATATAACATCCCATTTTGCTTTTAACAAGATAAGACAGAACAGCATTATCAACATATTGTCACATCTTCTGGTCTTTTTAGTCTTGAAGTACAGGCGACTTTGGTTTTCATGTGACAAATCAATAATTAATGAAGAAAATAAATCAGTAGTAGATTACTGATTATACTTTAATTTTGTTTCCATGCAGACTTTGTGCCCATCGACCTGGAGGAGTGGTGGGCTCAGCGTTTCCTCGCCAACATCGCCAACCTGTCATGACTGTGTGAGGCTTTGAGCCAGGACAGGAAGCCCTGCATGGATGCTCCATCGTAGAGGTGGAGGGGAGGCGAGAGCGTCTTCAGGTTATGTGGTACTTAAGGCCAGAAATGCATTGGAATCTGATTTGATGTCCTGTGCTTCACTCTGCTGTAGAGAAAACTGGGCAAACACAAAACAGCCCGCCGAAGCATCAGCAGCAATTGTAACTGTGGACTCTGGCAGCGCTGAGGAGAAGGACCCATCTCTCTCTCTCTCTGTGTAGAGGATGAATCAGATTGAAGCTGTGAGATTTTTCTAGATAAAGAAACTGCCTCCTTTTCTGAAGTGTGCTCAGCTGAATGTACGTCATGGGTGATCTTTTAATATGAAATTGTTGAAAAGCAAAAGTAAACTGTTTTTCAAAACGGCTGTGTCATGATGACCCATTTCTTTGGTGATCCCCCTTATACTGACATGCATGAATCCACGACATGACTTAACACATGAATTTAGCATCATATTCATGACACGAAGTAGAATGCGTAAAATCTTTAAAACAGCACATTTATTATTGTTCAGCCTGCAGAAGAACCATTTGTGTCTGTGACAATAACTGTTTTTCATTCACACAATAGGTCTTGACAAAAAAAAAACATTTTAAACAAAATAACTTAAGATACAAAATCTGTCCATAATGAAACATGTTAAAGGTTCACATAGTTTTAAATTAAGTTGTAACAATTTAAAACATTTTTCTACATTTCATAGCTTCACTTCTTCAGCCTTCATTTTCTTTTTAAAAAAGCAGCAAGAATTAAGTTAAAACTACAGTTTCTAAGTGGCATTTTCTCCCAACTTTAAATCATAGCTGTAGTCACTTTTTTCCTGCCAACTCGACCGTCACCTGCTGCTTTCAACTTCTTCACCCGCCTGCGGCTTGGTGCAGAGTGGCCTGGTTTTGCAGTGGTAAAAGTGATACACTGAGAGTCTAAGTAGTCCGCCAACTTGGTGGCACCCAAGCGGATCCCTGCTGCTTTGAGTCTCTCCTGGAGCTGAGACAGGACCAGAGGTTTGTACTGGAGGATCTGCGTGTATAATGTAGAGTCAGACAGGATGAAGGAACGCACTGCCTGGAGACGATCCTGGAGGCGAGACGCCACCTGAGAGGCAGAGATACTGTTGTCGCTGTCTGAGTCGCCATCGGAGGAAGCACACAGCTCTGGGTTGGACCTGCAGAGAAATATATTTTTAGGTAGTTAAAGTTTAAGGGGTTTGTGACCTTGTCTGCCGGGGGTCATGGATTCGCTTAAATGTGGAAACTCCAGCCGGCTACTCTAAACAGGAGTCATGCTGCTTGTTATCTACTGTATGTAAAAGATCAACTATAGAGAAGTACCTCATATGACCCCATTTAAGAAAAAGAAAACCTTTAAATTCACAGTCAAAGGTTAAGTGGGCAGAATTGTCGAAGAAAATAGCACCATCAAATATCCCACATGAATAAACTTGTCATAGTTTTCTACAAGCCCAGTAACTAACTAAGTAACAAATAAATCTGTGACCTGGGCAGATGTGAGGTTTGTAACACAATTTCTGGAAGTTATACTTGTTTGAGTACATAGTGTGAAAAACTGCTTTGATTTACCCTCAGAGAACAGATGGGTGCAGCTCAAAAACAAACATGAATGAATGAGTTTAATATTTTTCATCAGTATTTTTAGAAACGTGATAGACTCGAATCACACAAGTAAAGAAATATGTTTCAGGTGTTGAAAGGGATATTCCAGCATAAATTTTAGTTATGGTCAAACACACCCTAACACCGAGTTAGACACCCCCTCAAGAGATGATTGTGGCCAACTGTTTGCTTCTCTAGTTAAACCAACTTTAGTAATGACCACACGATAGCAATACACAATCATAAATTTTCTTCCTTGAGCTGTGAAACTCTGCTGCACTTAGTGATCGACTTGTCAGGGCTCCCCCGCAAACAAGTGGCTGCTGGAGGAGAGTGGGTTAGTTGTGTTTGGTCTCTTTGCTTAGGAAATCAGGCAAAGTTAAAAAGATGTTTGGTGGCTAGTCCTATGGCTGGGACCCTACATGTACTGTTGATGAAGTTAGGTGCTGTTCTGAGCATTATTTGTAGCTATAGAGTGGCTTTTTGGTTGAGGTTTGCGCATGGAGTGATAAGCCGCTGTGTATTGCTATTGTGCGGTTTTTGCTCAAGTTGCTATAACTACAGAGGTAAGTGGTCGGCAACATTCATCTCTCGAGGGGGTGTTGAACTCGGTGTTAGGGTGTGTTTGACCCTAACTTAAATTTACACCAGAATATCCCTTTAAGTAAATTGTGTAAAAAAAAAAACTGCTTTTGTGCATACAATTGATTTACTCTCAGAGAACAGACAGGTGCATCTCAAAAACAAACATGAATGAATGAGTTCAAAATTTTTCACTAGTCTTTTTAGAAACATGTGATAGACTTGAATCACTACAAGTAAAGAGAGATGTTCCAAGTGTTTAAACGATAATAAAGGCCTGAAGTTCAAAGAAATCCAAAACCATAACTCACAAAGTAAGACTGCCTCATTGTGAATTAGAGTGCATCTCTATTCAAACCATATAAACATCATGTATCTCTATCCATGGGGAGGACTGCTGATTTCACAGGTGTTCAAATGCCAATCATCGATGCCCTCAACAGACAGTCACTGCTGAGAAGGCTGGCTGATGACAGAGTGCTATATCGAAGTCTATAATGGGAAGATGACTGGGAGGAAAAGGTGATCAAGCAACTGGTATCCACAGCTTTTAGAGGAGTGGACAAAGGCTAGAGCCCTTAAGAGCCACCATACACAGATGTCTTCAGGAAAGAGGCTTCAGCTGTCTCATTTCAAAACACTAAGCCACTCCTGCCCAGGTGAACCTGAGTCTTACTTGGGCCAAGGAGAAAAAGAAGTGGCCTGTTATTCAACAGCCTAGCAGCAGAGCTAAAGGTCACACCCGTATCGAAAGAGTAATTAGTCGTGAAGAAGCATCATTTTAGCACAACTAGATTTCCAATTTTCATGACTTACAATATCATCAAAATTAAAAACAAAAGAGAAGAATGAAATACTTGATAAATAAAATGTGTAAGTTTACCTTTATAGATTTATAAAGGTAAACTAGGTAAACAGTACCTCTCAGACTCCTCAGCTGTAGATGAGGTGTTGGAGCCCTGTGAGGCAGACAGCGGCTCCACCTCCTCCCCTCTGCTGGGCTCTAGAGGGGTGGGGTCAGCCGGTGCTCTGGGCTCTTTAAACCTTGCTGCCTGGGCACGGGGGGCCTGCTTGCTGCCAGTAGCCACTGAGTTGGTGGGTGGGGGCTTCACCTGAGCTGGGACCTCACTCTCAGAGTCCGAGCTGACCAGCTGGTGGGTGTACTGGTGGATCTCTTTCAGTTTGAGGATCATCTGGCGCTTTGGTAAAGCTCGAACTCCAAATCTGCCAAAGGGAGAAAACAGGGAGTGTGGTTTATGAGGGAAAGGAAAAACAAGCAGATGGACATGAGGAAAACAAGAGACAGAGAGCAAATCCAGGCAGACTTAGATGGCTCTGAGCACAGAGGAGCTAATTGGATAGGCTTCCCAGATAAAGGCTTTGATTAGAAAGGAAGAAACATGTGGCCCTTCATCAGGCTTTCTTTCAGCTCAGGGTGGGGCGAGGGAGAACCCACTGACCTGCCGAGTTTGTTCTTGAGCTCAGGTGTGTCCATGTCAGAATAGTGGGGCATGGGAGTGATGGGAACCAAGGTGCGACGCCTTTTGTTGCGTGATGGTGCTGCTGGAATACACACAAAAACAGTGCTCAGAACAACTCTCTGATATCTGAATAAAATGAAATTATTTGAAATGAAGCCAGAAAATCAAACAGTCGTGACTTGATCCTTCAGCTGATTACATGTGAAATCAAACACACAAAATTTTAACTCTGGTTTTTATTTAACAAGGTAATATTTGGTAAAGTGGAAATTTGGTCACAAAGTCAGACTGGCCACTGGGGCAGGGAGAGGGTAGACTCCACAGGATTTACACCTGTTCCAATAAATTTGTTTGAAATTATTGCAAACCCAAGACATCGCAGTGACGTAACATGTTTTAACAAGTTTTTTTTATGCGCTACTTTGGACTCAGTATGTATGTATCAGTGTATGCTGCGCACACAGACTACGCACACAGGCTACACCTCAGGGTGTGCATGCTGACTACCGAGTATTAATATTAGTTGTCATTGTAGTAGAATCTTTTCATAAATTTAGGTTAAGAAATATAGAGTAATTATATTTTAGTAAGGAGTTACAAATAATCAAGGTTGGCCTGCTTATGCAGCCTCATGACCCTGAGGTTGTAAGCAAGGCTTTCGTGCAGAGACCAGAACTATCTGTCTGTTGGAACATTTAATCTCTGCGAGAGTTAAGGCGAGTCTAAACAAAGTATTGAGGGTCAGAAATGTCATCGTGGGTAGCCTTCTGGAGAATTGATGTAATATACCCATGATGACAGAATACTCATGCACACACGCGCACACACACACACCTAACAGCATAAAAGGAAGTAGAAGAAACCTCGGTTGACCTCGGTCTTGGTCAAGACTCTGTTTGTCATCCATACTGATTTCTACATCTGTACAAATAAAAGACGGCCAGGCTGTACTTCAAATCTCATCCTGTCTCCTGCGCATTGTTTTAATGAGTTTATGTTGGATTTTCCACAACATAATAAGCAATATTAGTTGTCATATACGTACACACAACTGATTAATGAGCACCCCCAACTGAACTGTCTAAAAATGCTGAAAGAATCTTGCAAATAGTGACCTGCAAGATTCATAGTCTTTTTAAATTCTCAGTCTGAGACTAAGCTGTGACTAAAAACTCTAAACACTTGTCTTTCCATGTGAGCTGATAGTTTTCCAGGAGTTTTTTTCCAAATCTTCTCCAAGTCCTCTGGTGGATAGCTGGCCTAAGAAGTAGCACACTGACACTTTCAACAAGTACTGGAAGTTGCAATGTTTGAAGTATTTCGATAAAGATGATTTAATAACATTTGACAGTAAACTTTCCTGTTGACATTAGAGTCTTGGGAGAAGAAGGGAGAAACCAGCAGCTCTAACAGCTGCAATATTACTCTTACTTAAGTCTGAACATTGTCACATTTGTGCGGTTAGTTACTCACCCGGTGTTTTGTGCGGTGCAGAGGGGTTCAATCTCTGAAAGAGAGGAAGAGCCTCTTCCTCTTTCTCAACCTCCTCCTCATCGTCCCCCTCCTTCCAGCTGTCCCATATTTTAGAGTCCAGGAGGCTGTTCATCTCATGTGTGGTGGAGTCTGGTAGGCGAGGCTTGGCTGGAGAAATTTCCCCAACAACACGACAACTCTTTGAAGACCTGACGCTGAGAGCAGCCGGAGACAGCTGACGGTCAGTAAATGAGGATGAACTGGCTGCTTCTTTTCCTGTCAGGCTGCGGTCCTGCTGGCCTGACCCTGCGCTGTCGTCCAGCCTCAGACTAAAGCAGCCTGGGTTTGCCTCCATGCAGGGGTCAAGGCCCCACGAGTCATTGAAGGCTATTGGGGGCTCGTCCATGGCCATGAAACTCTGGGAGCTAGAATCTGCCTCTTTAGCTTCTGTTTCTGCTCTGTCCTGCTCTTCTTCATCACTTCTGTGTTGATTTCTGCACTCTACATCTCCTCCTCTTTCCTTATCTCTTACTCCACTGCTTGCAGACTCAGACCCTGTGTTACTGCGCCTGCTTGACTCCACAGAACGTTGACTTTGATGAGATGTTTCACGGTGTCTTTGAGGGCTCTGAAGACCCCTACAGGAGGAAGAGGAAGCGAGGTCGGTGGGGTCAGGCAGGGGGGAGAGATGAAAACTTCCTAATTCGGTTTTCTCCAGGCTTTCTGAAGGTTCCGGCTTACTTTGTCGGCTTGGCGACTGTTGCTCATTGTGGCTGTGATAGAGCGGAGATGTGGACGTATATTTGGGGGGGAAGGGGAGCTCTGTGTGCAGAGGAGTGCTGCTGTAGGGCTGGAGATGAGAGTGAAGGGGAGTGTCCTCCTTTGATAACTTTGAGACTGAAGGGTCTGGGGCTTTCATTTGGCTGCTCTGAACTACAACAACATCTCTGTTCTTATTTAAATCACAACTTCTCACTCCTTTTGGGGAAAAATCTAGATCCAAACTAAGATCCATCTCCCCCAGCTTTATCTTGGGAGTGCTGCCCTCTGCTGGGCTAACAAGGGAAGCCACTCTGGTTGGACTGTTTGAGGTTTTGAGTCTGTTATTAAACGGTAAAGCAGGAGAAGAGAAAACAGAGGATGAGGAAGAGTCACGCTTAGGGAACAGCCGGGTCCTGGACATGCTGTTTCTGGTCTGCGTGGAGCTACTTGTGGTGCTCTGTCTCTGCCGGACAGGCGTGGGCGAGATCAGCCAGGACACTTCAGGAGAGTAGTCTACTGAACAGCTTTGAACAGGTGCTACATTCACAGGACTAGGATCTGAAGTGCTGGATTTTTTCCTCTCAAAGATGGGTTCACTAGTATTCATGGCTGGCTGAGGTTTGATCTGGGTGCGGGAGCTCTGCAGGTCCTTGACTGCCAGAGGAGAGCATGGCAGCAGACTCTCATCCTCTGAGTCAGACAAAACTATGAGCTCAGGTTCCTTCTTTTTCAGGCTGACAGGACCTTGGATTTCCCGCTTTAAAGGAGGACTATCTTTGTGCAGTTCAGTCGTATGTGTTTCTAAGTCTCCTAGACCAGGAGAATGGCCCAGGATTGGCAGGTTGGTTGAACATGGTGGAGGACTGAGGGAATTCTTCTCATGTACAGTCATTGAAGACTGTGCCAAACTTCTGCAGTACAGATTAGATATTAATCTATGAGGGGTTTGTTGCAGTAGGGATCCAGAGGTGGATGTCTTAGCAGGACAGGAAGTAGAAGGCAGAGGAGAGGGATCTGGGTCCTCATAGACGCCCCAGGAGTCTGAAAAGAGGCGGCTGTAGCTTCGATCCAGGCTATGGTCTGGTTTAGTTTGAGAGTCCTGCAGCTGAGTTTTTATGCTGTTATTTTCTGAGCTTTGTCGTGGTTCTGAAAGTTTGTTAAACACCCCTTCTTCATTTTCCCCCTCATCTACCTTCTCCTCCTCCTCCTCCTCCACACTCTCCTCCTCATCCCTCTTCCTCTGTGTGGCAGCAAACTCATAAATTTCCTCCAGTTCTTCTTCATTCACTGTCTCCTCATGGATCTCGATATCAGCGGCTGTCATGTCACCAACTTGAAGATCTTCCACCAATCCTCCATCTTCATTCCCTTCTTTGTCTGCTTCTTCCTCTCCTTCATCATCTTCTTCATTCCACATGGAGCGAAGCAGCTCCACTAATGCCTGATCTGTTTGGTTGTTGATATTCTCCTCTTGGATCATGTAGTCTTCTCCATCGTCTTGATAATCTGTATCTTCTCCTTGAAGCCTGCAAAGCTGCTGCAGCTCCTGCAAGTCAAACCTAAACACAACAAAATGAAACAAAAAGACTGGTCTTTGAAATATTCAGTGCTGTGCTGCTTAACATAGAACCCAAGAAAACAAAAAAAAACACCACGAACTGAGCTCCATCAAATCTATGCACAGTATTTCACATTAAAGGGATATTCCGGCGTAAAATTAAGTTAGGGCCAAAACACACTGTAACACTGACACCCCCTCAAGAGATGAATGTTGCAGACCGCTTGCTTCTCTAGTTATACCAACTTTAGTAACGACCGCATGATAGCAATACACAGCGGTCTACGTCTCCACGTGCAAACCTCAACCAAAAAGCCACTTTATAGCCACAAATAATAACTTAATCAACAGCACACGTAGGGTCCCAGCCATAGTGCTTGGTACCAAACATCTTTTTAGCTTTGCCTGGTTTCTTTAGCAAAGAGACTAAACACAACTCCCCTACTCTCCTCCAGCAGCTGCTTGTTTGTGGGGGAGCCCTGACTCAAGGAAGAAAATTTATGATTATTACTTCATGGAAATGCAATCAGATCAAGACACTAAGGCAGAAGAACTACCGCATCTGCAGTGCACAAGCAAGATACACAAAAACTCTGACTGCATTTCCATGAAGTAATAATCATAAATTTTCTTCCTTGAGCTGTGAAACTCTGCTGCACTCAGTGATCGACTCGTCAGGGCTCCCCCACAAAAAAGTGGCTGCTGGAGGAGAGTGGGTGAGTTGTGTTTAGTCTCTTTGCTAAAGAAATCAGGCAAAGCTAAAAAGATGTGTGGTGGCTAGTCCTATGTCTGGGACCCTATATGTACTGTTGATGAAGTGAGGTGCTGTTCTGAACATTATTTGTGGCTATAGAGTGGCTTTTTGGTTAAGGTTTGTGCGTGGAGACATAGACCACTGTGTATTGCTATCCTGTGGTCGTTAGTAAAGTTGGTATAACTAGAGAAGCAAGCAGTCGACAACATTCATCTCTCTAGAGGGTGTCTAACTCAGTGTTACGGTGTGTTTGACTATAACTTAAAATTACGCCAGAATATTCCTTTAAGAAACAACATGCCTCATCACACTGCTTATAATAATCCCAGTGAAGTCTCACACAGGATACTAACCTTGACGCCAGTTCCATAACATGAGGTCGCACAGATGCTGGGACGGTACAGTGGGCTGTATAGAGGTAACGCAGCAAAGTAAACACTGCCTGTCCTGGGATGTCATTTATTAAGACCCTCTGAGCTGCAGGCATGCCTTCCTCCTGCACTCCAAAACCACTTTCATGTACCTGTCAGAGGAGCAGAGAAATTTAAGGACAGTCATTAAGATGGTCAAATGCTGATGTTACATACAGGCCATAGCCTGATTGTTGCATATTTTGGTATCTTAATAAAAATTAGGTGCAAAAAATTTTTGCATGGCTCATGTACATTTTTAATGGAGGTAGCCACAAGAAAGACTTTGATGATGGAAAGGTAAAACCATCAAAGGAGTTTCATTTGCATTCCAGTTTGCAAGAGCAAAGGACGTTCAGCTAGCTCCATCTACGTTCAGGACATAGAAAACTTTTTTTTTTCATTTACAAACCCAAATTGTTATCCTGAATGTCTGATAATTTAACCCGTGGAAGACCCTTCTAGGTATAAAACAAAGGCTGAGTCTGATTCTTTTTCTCGAACTAGAAACACATTAAAGTTCCCTCTTTAGTCCAACCAAACCCCACTGTTTGATGCAGAATTTAGGGAGAAAAGGAGTCCTCTCGATCCACTACTGCCTTAGTTTGTGTATTCATCTGTGTTAGAAGTGTAGATAGACGCTGGATACAATCCAATTCATATTCATTGTCAGATCCAAATTTATGTAACACACAGATGAGAAAAGATACTTTTTTTCTTAGTCGCAGGAGGGGAAATTCCCACACATGGATACATAATACCAGAACCCTCTTAAAAAGTACACAGTTGACCTCTGTTTTTCATTATTATCTACATCGAACACTGGGAGCTTAGACGTTATGTGAAAACTACCGCTAAATACCAAATGGTGTAGTATGAAAAAGTGTATTTTTTCAGCCATAGCCCACATGGAGCAGAATAACAAACAAACATGGCCAAAGGTAATGAAGAAGAGGTTTCTGAGCAGCTCGTTACTGAACAAGGATTTCCTTTAAGGTTGGGGCTTAGATGAGTGCAGTCAGGTATACCTGACATCAGACAGTGGATCTGCTGCTGCTGTTCACTCTGTGCAATAAGAGTTTTCAATGTTTTCACACGTTTAATGTCACTGGTTTTCTCCATAACCTACCACTCAAACTTGTGGTTAAGTTTCTTATTTAAACACTCCAACTGGTGTTTGGAATTATAATATTTTTTACCAGGACTTTTAGAATTATCGGCAGAATAGCAAATCTTATTATGATAATTTTTTTAGCCCATATCGCCCACCCCTAGGGTACATTCTTGACCACACTGAGTACACTGAAGCCACCACTGCCATCTGCAGCAGCCTGCTAAAGACTTCTGAATCTCAAAATGAAAATAGTCATCAGATATTAAACTGCCAGAATCACCCTGTAAATGAACAAGATTGAAAATACTTAGTCCAAGAAAAGAGCACAAACTTTCCTTTCAATTAAAAGTTCTTCATCTTTTCTCTATGACTTGTTTTGGACTAACTCAGATCCCAAGAATCCATGCTGCTTCAGTCATTAGATTCCATTGAATATCACGACACAGCCTAAGCTGGGCTTTATTAGAAAAACTGATGCTACTGGTTGGTAACTAGGAGTGACTATTAACAAAATATCATTACACCAATTTATTGTCAGCATGACTTGTGAGATACAAGTATTTCATGACTAAGCATCAAGCACTGATAATCTTTATCAAACACAAAACAAATACAGGATGTTTTGATCTGTTCTCCCTCAGTTTGACTGATTGTGGCACAGCTTCATGACTCTTTGAGGAACATCTTGAATTCCTCATGATATTGTGATATTCTTCACAAAAATTACAATATTACCCTATGGTGAGAAACATACCACTAATCTTGTTGTGGCATATCATTTTACACCCCAATGAAAGTTACCCTGCAATCCTGTCCCCCTACAAGAGTCACCAGTTTTGTGACTGACCTAGTCTTGCAGTTAGAATTGTTAGAAAGTAAGGCAAGGATTGCACATAACTATGTAGTGTTGTTTTATAACTGCACACAGTGATAAATTTCTTACCATTTCTGCCAGCAGGGGGCAGCGAGCATACACCATGAAGGAATGAGCAAAGTAGACGTCTCCATTGTCCACCTGTAGCTGCACATCACTGAGCTGAGGGTTATTAACCATGCTGCTTAGGTCTGAGGCCAGTCTGGACAGCGCCACCTACAGAAGAAACACCAGGGGAAGCAATGGCATCAAAACACTGCAGAGAGAAAACTAACTTGTGCAAAAATGATTAGAAAGATGAGGACCAAGATTAAAACTGTTCAAATTTTAGTCCGACAGCCAGTGTCCTTACAGATTGAGTTTTGTCTGATCCCAACAGACTGGTCGTCTGCCTTACTCGGTTGTGTGCGTCTTCTGAGCGTGTGTTTGTTGCTTCTGGTTTGAAGCTGCTCACACAGAGGCTAGCCTGTACTTCCAACTCCTCTGGGACGAAGCCGCTCAGATGAAGGTTTGTGATCTGATCGGCACTCTTAGCTGTGGGACCAAACACAATTAAGACTTAAACTGATGAATGATGAAGCTACCTCTATAGTAGCTGGAAATACTAGGAATAAAATTGAAAACAAAAAACATTTTTAAGAATTTCAATGAAATCAGGACTTGTTTTTTTTTTAATTCACCCAAATACTACACTGATTTTCACCTGCAAATAGGGCTAGGCGATATGGGAAAAAGTTTGTCGTGATTTTGTTTGGAGTTTGAAACCTTTTGCATTGTGGGTGCTCTGCCGCGTGACACTGCTTCAGGTGGTGAAAAAGATTTGAGGTATTTCCCGACTTTGTGAAAACATGTACTCGACATAATTATGTCCGACCTCAAAAAGCCAAAATACCTCCACACCACTGACATTTTTGTGCCAGTGCTGTCGACGATGTCATCATCTGTTGAGCCTTCATCTACATTTCACTCATTTTCTCTTTTCTCTCACCAACAGTGCTGTCGGCTTCACGTGTTGAAGTGCTATGGTTGCATGTAACTGCAGCCTGCTACTACACAGTTGGTTGCTACTTGGTTCTGATTCAGCACGACTGGTTCAGCGTGAAGCACACCCGGAGCAACTCCCCTTTTCATTGGCTATTCGTATAGTCTACCAAAAAACATGTCAGAGTGCAGACTATTGAAAGGATATTGACCATGTTTTATATTGATATTGAGGGAAATTTATTTTTGATATACATCATTATTATTTTATCACCCAGCCCTACCTGCAAGTGTTACTTAACTGGGATTTTATCATAAAGTGTACCAACTGATGCCTGGTGAAAACATAATTGACTAAATTTTGTCCTGTTAGGACTAATACAGTTCAGACTAATTATTCCTTTCAGAAATAAAAAAAAAACAAAACAACTTTTCCTTATTCCCAGCTTTTTAATTCTGAAGCTGGCTATTTTGAAGAACTTCAACATGACCTAACAATAAAGAAATCTGAATGTACAAGAGCACCAGACATTGTTAACAACTGCTGTCCGGACAATAAACAATATTTTTGGCCTGCCCAAGTGTTTAAAAATGTTCAGTAAACTAAATTTTACAGAAATCTGGTCCACCAGTGTAATATGTTTGTACCATGTTGTGTTGATGTGCACCGCTCTAATGTCTGTTTGTTAGTGTATGTGCATGGTATCTTGGAGTTAAGTGTGTGTGTGTGTGTGTGTGTGTGTGTGTGTGTGTGTGTGTTTTTCAGACCTTTATCTTGGACTGAAGCAGTGTAGCCATATTGTGTTAGGGTCATGCCATCTTCAGCTAGCTCCATCAGGTCTTGCAGCACCTGGCTTTCCACTGGAAACTGACTTGTTCCTGGGGTGGAGGGGGCCAGGGAGGGGGAAGCCATTTGGGAGGAGGACGGCAGGTTGGAGGCCCTGCTCCCTGTGAGAGGAGACTCTAACTTCTTTATGGTGCTGAAGGAGGCTGCATCAGTCTGCAAGTGGAGAAAAACACTATCAGTGAATCTCTGCTGTAACTGGAGCAAACGCTTGACCCTTTTAATTCCCAATCAAGTTGAAGTTTGAATTTCTTCTTGGTCTCTCTTACCATTGCTGGTTCCCAGGGTGTGATAAACTCTCTGAGTTCAGGGGTGTAGAAATCATACATACTGATGGAGTCCATGTCCAGAAGTGAGCTCTTCTGCCAGAGGGGGGCAGCGCCACTCCAGCCAGGCAAGGTGCTGGGACAGCGTGTAGGGGTGGGTGGGGAGGGAGGCCGGGTGCACAGGAGAAGAGCAGAAACACGTTCCTGCAGCCTTGTCAGAGCTGTGTTAGCATCCTGAGTGAGGAGGAGGAGAGGAGGGCAAGGAGCAACTCCCTTTTTCTTCTTTCCTCGCCCCTTACCTACAACTGGAACTGGAGAGGAGAGAGATGGGGTCTCACTATGCAGCATTATAGTATAATATAGCATGATAAAATAAGCGGGGTATTTTTATTATCAATTGTGTTGCATATACTACCACAGTATTTTTAAGGGTGTTTATATTTTTGTTACAGGATGACAACAGGATGCTCCTTGTGATTTCAGGGTTTCCCACTTTGAAAAACACTTCATAAAGTAAGTTCTGCAGTGGAGTGCTGCACTGGGATGTTACACAGACTTCTGCACCGGAGCGATGAGGTGATGTTACTGTACCTGCGTCTGGCCTCCACTTCGGCCCTAAACTCATGGGATTGTGAGCGGGGGCGGTCTCTGTTTGCAGAAGTCTTTCTGACTCTCTCTCCTTCTGCTGCTCCCTCTCCTGTTCCAGCAGGGAGGATGACAGAGCCATAGCCATCATGGTGTCCTCATCGAGGGGTTCAGTCTTCTTCTTCATCTTTTTCCTTGCTGGCAGACCGGGTTTGGAGAGACCTTTTCTTTTGGTGCCTCCAGTATGTGAACTTCAGGGAAAAACAAAGGAGACAAATACCAAGAACACGTGCAAGGTATAGGTTAAGGTATAGTAAAGCTTATAAAATATTGCAAAATAGTTAAAGGCTATAAGAGAATCCATATGTGAATGGTAAGAGTCTTTCTTTTATAAATATCTCACAAAGAAGGTACATGAATTGTAGCGAGTGTCAGTGAACAAAAGGTGAACAATAGCACTTTTCTGTGACTAAGGCTAACTCACAGCGTGTTAGCAGTAGGTGCGCTAGCCTCCCCAGCCTGCCTCTGCACAGCCTGTATCAGCAGAGCTGGAGAGACGCCTAGGTCTGTGGAGCAGCGCTTCAGGTGAGTTGAACGAGTCCTCTGGTTCTTGAACTTCTTGCCACAGATGGGACAGTCAGGGACACCAGGGGGAGGAGGAGGGGGTTGAGGTCCTTGGGCGCCCCGTTCACTCTCATCTAAACACCTGCAAAGACGGGTCATTCTCAAATTCAAAACTCACTGTCTGGGAGTATGAGTTTATTTTCTGTCAGATAACAAATAAGATGACAGCAATAGTAAGTTGCCAAAAGTGCAACCTGTTGAGGTGCTGTGTGCGGCCCTCTGGGGTCATATTTGACAGGTCTCTGTGGCAGATCTGACAGAAGAAGAGGCCTTCTTCAAGGTCCACTGTCTGTGCATCTGCTGCCTCCCTGTCCAGCTCCTGTTGCAGTTGCAGAGCCAGTGCCTCATCACTGTCCTGAGGCTCAGAGTTGAGACCTGAGCTGAAGGTTCTTGGAGCATCTGGGTATAAAAGGGAGGTGACATGATAAAGTAGGGGGTAAGGGGTTTACTGAGGTTGTGTTTGTTATAGAAATGGAACTGTGAATGTATGAATGTTATATTTTAAAATCATAACAATAAGAAGAACTTTATTGATCCCCTATGGGAAATTCAATGTTATACTCAAGTTATATTAAATCTCATCATATTTAAAGGGATAGTCCGGCATAAAATTAATTTAGGGTAACACCTAGTTAGACACCCCCTCAAGAGATGAATGTTGCCGACCGCTTGCGTCTCTAGTTATACCAACTTTAGTAACGACCGCACGATGGCAATACACAGCGTTCTGACGAGCCATAAAAAAACCTCAACCAAAACGCCACTCTATAGCCACAAATAATGCTCAGAACAGCATCTAATTTCTTTAGCAAAAAGACTAAACACAACTCACCTACTCTCTCCCAGCTGCTTGTTTGTAGCTAGACCTCGGGCTAGTCCATCATTGACTGCAGTGGAGTTTCGCAGCTCAAGGAAGAACATTTATGATCATTTCTTCATGGAAATGCAATCAGACCTAGATGCTAAGGCAGAAGAACTACCGTGTCTGCAGTGCAAAATGACTAATATGGTGATTATCGCTTCAAGGAAATGATAAAGTAATGGTCATAAATGTTCTTCCTTGAGCTGCGTCACCCTGCTGCAGTCAATGGTGGACTAGCCTGAGGTTTGTTCACTACAAACAAGCGGCTGCTGGAGGAAAGTGGGTGAGTTGTGTTTAGTCTCTGCCAAATAAATCAGGCAAAGCTAAAAAGATGTTTGATGGCTAGTACTATGGCTGTGACCCTATATGTACTGTTGATGAAGTTAGGTGCTGGAGGGGTTGTCTAACTCTGGAATACAGTGTGTTTGACCATAATTTAATTTTATGCCAGAATATCCCTTTAATTATTTCACTTTTAAATTATGTTTAAACTTGACCCAATGAGTCACTCAGACACAGTGAGTTCTAAAACAGTCTGAATTATTGTCCCGATGGTTGTCCCATGTGAACAAAATTAAAATTGGTGAAACAAACAGTGATCCACAAAATTTTAATAAGTTGATAAAACAACTGCAGCTGAGTACACTAATGTCTCATTCTTTGCCCTGAAGACTCAGTTGCATTAAAACAGACAAGTTAAACATATCACACTTGATAAAAATTAGTTAGAAATAAGACATTTCATTATCTAAATTTGCACAGAAAATGATTGATCAATTTAAAAGTGAGGAGAAAAAGCAATCATGTTTACTCCTCCGTCCACAGTCAGTACCAGGAGCATTTTATGATCTTACCTTGACTTAGTGCCCGGGTAGGAGGAGGAGGATCACCTTCGTCCTCCTGCTTTGACGGCTGGCTCTTGTGCATCATCCTTTGTGGAGCCACTCTCTTGAACTGCTGCATCTTGAGGAGGACTTTGACTTTCGCTGACAAACGTTTCTCATTTGTTGGTCCTGCAGCTGCAGCCTCAGACATTAAAGACGCTCCAGCATCTCCTGAACCCTGTCCTCCGCAGACCACAGGCTGAACTTCTGCTTCTGCTCCATTACACACAGACTGGGTCTCTGCACATTTGGACAGAGACCCTTTATTTGTTTTGTTAGTTCTCTTGCCCTTGTCTCCATCACCTGTCTGTCTGGAGGGGCGGGGCTCTGCTTTCCCTGCCTGCCTGGACTCCTTGGGTTTCTTGCGGACTCGTTTCAGCGGTTTTGGGCAGGTATCTACAAAGTCCTGGTCCGAGTCGTCCATAATGAAGGACTCTTTCAAACCTTAACAAGTCATGTCAGCATGTTGCCAGGTCCAACGATGAGCCTCCAAGGACAGCAAGTTGATTTTGAGCTTTGGTGAAGCTTTAGAGTTTGGGTGAAACAAGAAAGAATCATCAGTGTCAGAGAGAGAGCTGAGATAACAACAGTTCAAATGAAACAGGTAAACAGCTAGCTCGTTTTGCTAACACTTATTCCTCACCCAGGTTTGATCATTTGCGCTTTAGTTTTCCGCCTCATCGTCCTTTCTTCAGCAGCTTGTCGCATTAGCCTGTCTATTGTGTCTAACGCATCTCGCAAACGTTGGTGTCAATGATACAGGAGATAAATAAGGGAGAGACTACCTCGACCAGTTCGTTTCCACTTTGAAATTGCTCACTGTAAACCGCTTCCTCTCGAGCTTCCGGTCACGTGACGTCCTTACAAGGAAAGGGCGCCATTTATGTCACGTGACAAATTATTTCGCGCGAAGTGTGGTCAATTTGACTAAATGAGAATATTACATGAGCAAAAATGTAGCCGAGTAGCCTTCCAACTGTATAAATTTCAACTTTCTTTTCTCAAATTTACAGAAATTGGCCAAGTCCTTAGCCTATGTGTCCTGACTTGCCAAGAGACCAAACTTGAGTTAATTTTTCCATGTGATTAGGCTGAAGTTAAATATTTTTTCATTGATTTTAATCAGGAGGATATTGTGATGGGATAAAATAAAGCTGCAGAAAACAGCGGAGGTGGTCCTAAGATTGGACCTTTAGGAAAGCTCTGACCCCAAATATAGTACAGTATAAGTGGGAAAATGGGAAACAGCGCTCTGATCATTTTTAACTGTTAGTGAAAGATTTGTCAAACAAAAAACAAACAAACAAACAAACAAACAAAAAAAAGGGCAGATTAACTGACTGATCAAGCATTACAGGGATATTCCGGCATAAAATTAATTTAGCGACAAACACACAGTAACACTGAGTTAGACACCCACTCCAAAGATGAATGTTGCCGACTGCTTGCTTCTCTAGTTACACCAATTTTAGTTACGATCGCACGATAGCAATACAGCGCGGTCTGAGGAGCCACACACAAACCTCAACCAAAAAGCCACTCTATAGCCACAAATAATGCTCAGAACAACAACTAACTTCATCAACAGTACATACAGGGTCCCAGCCATAGCACTAGCCACCAAACATCTTGGTCTGATTGCATTTCCATGAAGAAATGATCATAAATGTTCTGCAGTCTGCAATGGACAGGCCTGAGGTCTTACTACAAACAAGCAACTGCTGGAGGAGAGTAGGTGAATTGTGTTTTGTCTCTTTGTTAAAGAAATTAGGCAATGTTTTAAAGGTGTTTGGTGAATATAGTCGTATCGAATCCAATCTAATCTAATCCAATCTGAAAAGAGTGGCCTGCCATTGAGTAATAACCCCGAGCTCACACTGGACTATTTCTTAGCACTCTGGACCAGGGTAGCCCACAAGAACATCTGGAAACAAGACAGTGTTTTACTGATTGCTTTTGACTTGACAGAGCAGTACAGTTTCAAGTTTAGGCACTCCTGCGCAAATGGCTCATGTGAAGCCTTTACCCATCAATGCCCCACCACAGTAGCTGAGGGCTGGGCTGTTGGCAAGGTGTTAAACTCTGACCCCTCCTTTCAGAGTTGAGGAGTGGAGCACTTTTGCCAGGAGGGTCAATATTGCCTCACACATAGGTTGAACTGCTGTCTGTAAAAACATAAACGTCTTTGGCCCATCAAAGACCTGGGAGACAATGGCATAAGATGGTCTTTGAGAAAGTAAAAAGACTACAGTGAGTTGGCTCCAGCAATGGCTCTTCCTTCTCCTGAGAAGGGTGATTGACTGCCTGGACAGACAGAGGCCAATATATATATATATATATATATATATATATATATATATACACACATATATATACACACATACTGTATATATATACATACATATATATATATATATATATATACAGTATATATATATATATATATAATTTGCAACACAATAAACATGACTATTGTGAGAGTAAGACATTTTGACTATAATTATTAGATATTTGAGTTACTGTTGCTTAGACTTTGCTTTTTTTAAAGTAACCTCCTCTGGCTTTAACAACAGCTTGGCATATACCAGGCATTGGTTCCACAAGTTTTTTAAGGTATGTTCCAGGGTGCATTCCAAGCTTTCTTAAGTTCATTAAAAAGAGACTGCTTATTCTTGGGACACGTTTTTCTGACAGATCGATCCAATTCATCACGCACAAGCTCTATTGGAGAAAGGTCAGGAGACTGAGGGGGCCAAACCATCTTTTGAAGAACACCTTCCTCTTCTTTTTTGTCTAGGTAACCCTGACAGAGCTTGGCAGAGTGCTTAGGGTCATTGTCTTGCTGCAAAACAAACTTATGAGCCACAAGTCTGAGTCCAGATGGAACAGCATGGTGCTTGAGGATGGAGTGGTACTGTTCCTTCTTCATGATACCTTTTACTTCAAACAAATCTCCTACTCCATCACCTGCAAAACATCCCCATACCATGGAACTATCACCTCCATGCTGAATTGTTGGTGTAACAGATGATGCTTTCAGACGTTCACCAGTTTGTCCGTGGACATAGACTCTGCGTTTTGAACCAAACAGTGCAAACTTGTTTCTAGTTATCGCAAGTCCAATTTTTGTGAGCTTTTGCGCACTCATATCTCTTTTTCTTGCTCTGTGGACGAAGTAGTGTTTTTTTTTTGTTTGTTTTTTTTGCAGATACACAACCCTTCAGACCAGCCTTTCTCAAACATCATTTCAAGGTTGTCAGAGATATGGGTTTTGACCTTGTCATGTTGATTTCCTCCCTTATTTTTGGTGCTGTCTTTCGCCGATCTCTCTTATTGGTGACAATAATATGTTTATCCTCTGCTTTTGTAGTAACTCTCTTTCGTCCAGGCCTTTTTCTATCATCATAACTTCCAGGTTCCTCCAGTCTCTTCAGAGTGTAGTGGACTCCTTTGTTAAACACCTTTAGGTGTTTTGCAATTTCTCTTTCTGTGTACCCTTCTTTCCTCAATGTACAAATCTGTACTTTTGTTTCTTTACTCAGTTCCTTTTTTCTAGACATTTTTGCGGTAGTTTGAGATGCAGTTGATGAATGCAGTTGAGATTTATTAGGATTTTTGTATGCAGCCTCTCAAAAGCCAAAAAGTTGAAGTGAGTAATCCAACTGTGATTTGTTTTTTGCTTTTACACTTAAGTTGTGACTCTTGCAAGTGTTTTCAACCCTAAAACTAAGCCCTTATTATCTTTTGCTGACATCTGTTTAGCAATGGTCTGTTAACATCAATGTATATCTAAAGGTAAATGGAGTAAAATGGTACATTTCCATGAAAGCAACATCTGATCATGGAGTAAATACATTCCAAAGTACATAAAACTCTTGCTGGATTTAAAAAAAAAGCATTGTGAACAAAAACTTGAAGTTACTCCCAACTGTTCGGCCTTTAATGGCCTTGCTTCCAAACTTTTGGCCTGTAGTGTAAATATGATTACATTGGTTTTGTTATTGAACAACCTGGGAATGTGGTGGGTAAAATAATGCAGCAAGTTATTGCATCAAATCACATGCAGTATGAAAATGTATAAATAATGTAATCCTTTAACATGACCCCCTGCTTCAAAACCTGATTTTCTTTTTAATCTCGTTACATTATCCTATCAGGTTATACTTTTAAAGCACAACCTTTGTGTACCCCAGACAATTACTGTGCCTGCTCTGCCCTCTAGTGGTAGAGATCTACTATAATATATAATATTTATTCTGGATCCAGGAATTTTTTGAAGGATTCTTTATCATTGTGAGATAGGGCAAATTTTGGAATTTTTGCATTTAACTCTATAAAAATGGCCAGAGTCTTTAGTAAAAAATTACACAAAAGGATCTCAATGAGTTTTATGAGGTGTCAAAGGTTGATCCTGATCCACACAAAATTCCGGATACTGTGATCCAGAAAACACAAAAATAAGGGTGTCGTTGAAATTTTCAATGCTGAAAGATGAAGATACAAGGAAGTGTACGCTTACAAATATTGCATTATAAATCATGCATTTATGTATCTAATATGAGCTTTGTTGTTTTAGGAACATTATGAACAGTGAACATACCAGTTTAAACACAAATAAAAGTTAATAAAAGACACGTAACAGTAAAAGTTTTGGTGCGAATCACAATATAAGGGGGACATGAGCTGCTTGGCGGAGGTCTGCGCACCGAGTGCTTTTCTAGTTTTCATGCTTTATCAGGTCTTGAACTTTAAATGTGAGTCAGGCTTAATTGACCTTCACAAAATACTGACTAATAAGCAACATTGCAGGGATATATGGCTTCTCAATCACCATTTGGTAGAACTTTTAGTGATGTAGGCAGGTGATTAATTCTTTTGGAAAAGGTAATCATCCACCTGTCCACTATCTTCACTACTCGTTCACATTCGGGGTCGCAGGGGTGCTGGATTCAGCTGTCATAAAGCAAGAGGAAGGGTATACCCCGGACACGCTGCCATACCATCACACACTGACAACCATTTATGCACACACTCAGCATCTCCATAAAGTTTGGCAGCAGATGGAAGTATGAGGTGCTCTAAAGTTTCCTGGTAGATGGCTGTGTTGATATTGGATTTCATAACTTTACACTGGACTTTACATACTCTAGATTCTGTGCCTCTACGATCTCCATTCAAGCTCTGGGACCTTGATTTCCAAATGAAGTGCTAAACTAACATTTATCTGAAAAGAGCTCTGGACCACTTAACAGTGGTCAATCCAGTTTCTTTTCCTCTCAGCCTGGATCAGGAGTGGCTTGATGTAAGGAAGGTGACTGGTGTGGCCTCTCTCCTGAAGAAGGTTGTACTTGGTGGCTCTTCATGCACTGACACCAGATTTACAAATCCACCCCTTGTGATGCTCTGCAAAGTTCCTAGATTAACTATTCTTGACATCCCTCTCAAAGCTGCGGTCATCTTTGTTGCTTCGTCACCTTTTCTCTCCTCCTCTGGTCAATTTTCCATTAATCTACCTCCATACAGCACTTTGTGAACATCAGGTCTGTCCAGAAATGACAGACTGAGACCAAGTCTCGTTGTGGAGAGTGTAAGTGACGGTCTTCTGGATGACTGTCCAGTCTGGAGCCTTTCATATGATAGTGATAGTGATAGAGTGATAAACTGAAATGAAATACTCTACTAATCAGAGATATGTATTATTGCATATGTTGGGCTGTCAGCCACAATAATCATAGTTACAATGATAGGAATGATAGTTTGAAACATTTAACTTGTATGTATTACGTCATATTCATTTTTATGTTCCCTGAAATGCACCTGCACACTCAATACATGTTCCCCGTGTCTGGTGGGTCTTGAGATGTCAGCATACAGGGCATTAATCACATATTCTTCATGACTCGGCTGTCCCTCACCCACACATAATCCATCCACATAGTTTTTCTTTGACTAAATTTCTTCAGCTGTTTAGTGCCTGATCAAACACAAGCAAATGAACACAAACAAGCAGTGATGCCTCATTATTTAGTCAACAGAGTACTGTTCTTCTGTTGCACACAGTTTATTTAACAATATGGTATACAAGTAAGAAATGAGTCTTTTACCAGTTTATACAGTGATTTCATTCTCTCTTCTTTATATTTATAGTATTTTGCTTAATAACTTGCTTTACAATAGGAGAAAAAGTAAATCCCCCCTAATTCAAGTTTTTGTGAGAGAGGAATGAGGGTTGATAACATTTAGTTTTCCTCAGGGTGAATCTTAAACGTGCCCTTCATCCCTAGATCACACCATTTAGTGTAAAATTCAGAGGATGGGGCGACATCCAGGATGTGGCCTACAAACAACCGGCGATCATTCCACCTCAGCTTAGGGGGCTGGTCTCTTTCTCACTCTCTCTTTACACTTTACAACATTTGTATGACAAAAAAGTATGACAAATTCTTTTTTTTTTTTAAGTCAAAGCAACAATTTTCTACACCTGCAAGACGGATTTTTTTTTTTCATTTCCAGGCCACTGAGATGTAGCTGCAGTCCTTGTGTGTATCTGTGGAACCAGTCAAGGTGTAGTAACTCTAGTGATAGTGAGGGTTTGTGTCAGTGTCTTCATGTGCGCCTGCATTCATGCCCGCAGTCCTTTTCCTATTTTAATACAACTGAGTGCTCTTCATACACACATAGAGGAGGGTCTGTCCCTGAACGCATCGTCTTGGAGTAATGGTACAACACTACATTACAATTGCCAGGAATGACAGCTTGAGAAGAGAACAAAACCTGGCGCATTTCCCAGACAAATTATTTTACAGTTTCAACACAAAAAACGCTTAGTTTCTTTTCCAATGGTACAAAAAGAAAAGTTATGAATGACAGAATGCAATTGTACATTTTCTTAAAAAAAAAAAAAAAGAAACAAGAAAGGCATGAAAACATACCAAAAAAAAAACAAAAACAAAAAAAAAAACAAAAATAGAGTATTGAACACATTTGGTCTCAAACAAAAAATATATTCTTTGTAATTTAAATTTTCATTTAAGAAGCAACTTGCAAATCCCTCAACATCTTAAGGAAGAAATACCCAACAACTGGGTGTAGGAAACAATTACATTCCCTTAAAGTGTTGAATTTTTTATTTTTCTGCAACCAAATTTTATTTTGTATTTTTACAACAGTTGAAACTTTTTACATGTCAGTACAAAAAACCGTTTTTTAACCTTAGAAAGAACAAACAAAGCCCTCTGATGGGGTAAAGAGTCCGAGAGGGTACTGGGACCAAAAAAGCAGTGGTAGGTGGGGTCCCTGGGAGCCAGTCTGTATTCTTTAGTTCCCAGCATGAATGCTACAACCCCTCCACAAACTTCTCCAGAGTGTCCCCTGTAGCATCTCCCACCATCCCTAAGTCACTGTTCAGCCCCCCTCTGTTGGGCGTGTTAAGCTGCGGGAGCATGGCGCTCTGTTCTGGTGTTCCTAGGTGTCCTTGCTCCATGGACCCTGACAGTGGGCCTCCGAGTCCTGGATGTGGGGAAGCTGAGTGAGGTGGATGTGGGTGCTGTGGTGAAGGCTGCGGCTGGTTCTGGACTTGTGGCGAGGGGCTGGAATGAGGACGCTGCTGGGGCTGTTGCTGTGAGGGCGGACAGGGGGACTGGACTGGTGCAGGGGAGCGAACCTGGTTGTTGAGGGCATTGGTTAGTGTGGGCTGGCCCGGTAGATGGGCTGCACCCTGGGGCTGGCCAGCAAGCAAGTGGGTCTGGGGGCTCATGGGGCTGGGCTGAGCAGGAGAGCCCATCTGCTGCTTTAGGACGGCCTGCTGCTGTGAGGGAAGCTGCTGTTGCTGCTGCTGTTGGAGAAGCCGCTGATGCAGTAAGTTCTGGGTGGAGTCCATTCCCATCCCAGGCTGTGCCATCTGAGCCATGGGTGGGAGCTGGCCCATGGGACCCCCAGCTGCTCCAGCACCTGCCTGCATGGCAATCTGCTGCTGCTGCTGCTGCATGCGGAGCTGGGAGTAGGTAGATGCTGTGCTCTGTGCTTGAGCAGGAAACTGGCCCGGATGGCCCTGAGGCATCACTCCCTGCTGCTGCTGCTGCTGTTGTTGCTGTTGTTGTTGTTGTTGCTGCTGCTGCTGCTGCTGCTGGCGTAAGAGCTGCCGGCGGTACAGCTCCTGGATCTGAGGGTTGGTGTTGTGTGCTGCGTTCATCAGCTGCCCTTGAGCCCCCAACGCAGCCATGCCCTGTGCTGGAGGCTGCTGTGGCTGCTGAGAGGGCATACCTGGCCTCTGCACAGCCCCTTCTGGCATGGCCATGCCCTGCATTGTTGGCATGCCGGGCTGTTGTTGCTGAGCAGCCTGTTGCTGCTGCTGTTGCTGCGGCTGGTTGGCATGGTACTTCGCTGTTCGTTGTTTGATGAAAGCAGCCATTAGCTGAGGGTTGGACTTGAGGATGTTGAGGACTTGTTGCTGTTGTTGCGGTGAACTGGGGGACTTGAGGGTGCGGAGCAGGTCCTGCAGGGCGTTGGGGGCTATCGCACCTGGTCTTTGGGGTGTCTGAGGCCGGGCACCCGGCTGTTGTGGAATCATCATCCTTGCACCTGCCTGAAGCTGCTGCCCTGGGGCCATCATGGCTCGCTGCATGGTCATAGGCTGTTGGGGGGTCTGACCTGGGACTAGCCCTGGTTGTTGGTTTTGAGCTGCCTGCATTGGCCCTGCAGTCACAGGCCACTGTCCTGAGGCAATGCCTGGTTGCATGACCTGTGGTCCCCGGGGCCCGGGTACCATCTGCATGGGGGGCTGCATCGGTCCGGTCATGCGTTGAGGCTGCTGTGGGTTTACTGGCAAGCCGTTCATATTGACTCTGTAGTTCTGCTGGTTCTGTTGGGCCTGCGCCATCATTTCTATGTGCCGTGCCATCTTGACTGCAGCAAGGGGGGGCTGCTGTTGAATCTGCTGTGGGGGCTGAGGCTGCTGGGGGAGGGGGGACTGCTGCTGGTGCAAGGGGGAGGCCTGGGGCCCTGGCTTGCCCTGAGGCACCTGAGCTTGTGGCTGGCCATTGCGAGGGGCGCTGGGGAAAGTGGGGGACATTACGCCGGCTGAGTTGGGTGTCTGTGGCTGGTTGGAGAGCGGCTGTTGGGGTGTCTGGGGAGTGTTGGGCTGGGGGTGGGAAGTGGGAGTGTTGGGGGCAGCTGAGGCAGGCGGGGACGGTAGTGGCATGGTTCTGCCTTGCATGGTGGCCATTCTTCTCCTCATGAGCTGGGCCTGCTGGAGCCGATGCTGCAGCTGCTGCTGGCGGAGCTTGTGCTTGATGTTCAGACAGAACGGGACGGGACACTTGTTCTCCTGACAGTGTTTTGCGTGGTAACAGCATAAAGCGATAAGCTGCTTGCATACAGGGCAGCCACCGTTGGTTTTGCGCTTGCAGCTCTTGGTGTGCTGCACCACTCGCTTCATCTTCTGGCAGGACGGCAGAGAGCAGTTGGCGTTGCGACACTGACAAGCGTGGACCAGCGACTGAATGCAGCGTTGGATACTCAAGCGTCGGCTCTCCTGTGGGCTCTTGGAGGCCTCCCCGCTCTGGCTGTTGTTGTCGTCGTCCAGGCCAAGGCCCCACTTCACCATCTGGTGCTCGTGTCCTTTCGTGTTGTAACAACTAATGCAAAGATCAAAGTCCTGCAGTAAAGGGCAGACAGAGAAAGGTTTTGAGTCCTTGCAACAATTATCCAGACTTAATCCTGTCCCCTATATTACTTTGTTCACACTGACACGGACAATGACACAGGGGTAACACTCGCATATATAACAGCAGTTACTCACCTCACACACAGTGCAGTGCCAGCGTGTCTCCACATGGTGCTTGCACTCATTACATGTGTAAACAAAGCGGTCCTGCCCCTGGTTGTGCAGTTCTACCAGCATGCACATGGTGCTCCATTTGCACCTCCTGAGGGAGCTGAACTCCCAGTGCTTGTCCCTGGCCAGTGTCAAGAAGGCGTCTCGGCCATCCATTAGGTCACAAGAGAGTAAGGGGTCAGGGTCAACAATGGGCGGTAGGGTGTTGGCCATGGGACCAGAGTGAAGATGAATCACAAAGAACACCTTGAGGAGAGAGAAGAAACGAGAAAAGAGAGTGAGGGACCAAGAAGCAAACGCAAAACTGAAACCTGTCCACAGACATGGCAAATCATTTTGATTTTTTAAACATTAACAGGATTTCAGGTCAAGTATTACTGCATCTCAGAGGTAAGAGTTTACTATTCTGTTTAACATCAACAACTGTCCTTAATTCACAACCTTATGCTCAAATCAGGGTTCCTATGGAAAGTATGGAAGTAGTTTAATTAATTTCCAGGTCTTAAAAAGCATGGAAAATGAAAAGTTAAGTATGATAAAATATTTATGTTTCCAGACTATTACCACAGTTCTAAAATACTGTTTTCTAAAATAGAAAAGTAGTTATTTCCAAATAAAATTGTTAAAGTAGGGTATGGAAAAGTATGGAAATTCAAGCTGTGTAGGAACCCTGTCATATTCACATCTTTTATCAAACAGCTGTTATCTTGAAAACAACTTCCTATCACAAACTAAACAAAAGCAACAGGTCAAACCTCTTTGTGCTTCTCCATGGTGGCGTAGAGTTTTTGGGACAGATCATTGGCTACATTTGGCATCCCTGGCTTCTTCTTATTGGCTCGGCTCACACTGCTCTTGTTTTTATTGGTCTTTTTATTGTTCTTCTTCTTAGCGTTTTTGCTATCACCCGGTGTGCCCTGTGAGGGAATACAATGTTAGATATTATAATCTTGTTGGCTGAAAAAAACAAAGAATCCAATCCTACTCTAAATGACTGATGTTCACAAGGTGACAGAAGGAATGTTTACACAAACAATGCTTATTTCATATTAAGTATGAAAAAATCAACATCTGTCTGACAGGATTACACAATGACAGCAGTGTTGACGTCGGATCTATAACAGCACACCTTGAAACTCTGACACAATTTGCGTACCTCAGGAGTTTCAGAGGCTGCTGTGTTCTCCTCCTTCTTCCTCTCTTCCTCCTCTTGCTCCAGCTCCTTGATGCTCTCTTCCAGCACATTGGGCCAGAAATCGCCTTCAAAGTACGGCAGCTCATTAGCGCTGGTCAGACGGTCCTCTGTCGCCTGTTTGAAGATGTCCTAGACACGACAAAAGACAAGGATCAATCAAATTATTTGAGAAATGAGTTTGTCGCTCAGAAATCCAACATACTTAGGTGTTTCATTTGTACAATAATTCTAATTAAGTGGGGAGAGAAACGGCTGCTCAAAGCAAACAAACAACATACTCCTTTGTTTTTAATTTCACAGACAACACTTTTATGTTGTTGTGTCAGTTGGGTAATGAAGGCTCCTCCTCTTTACCTTGTAGTCATGCAGGATCCTTTCTGCAAAGGCCTTGTCCAGCATCTTCCTGTACCATTCCTGCAGCCTCTTCGGCTTTGGGATCTTTTGGTCTGGAGGATGGCAGTGGAAGATGTAATCGTCTCCTTCACTGGGTGGACATGCCCAGATGTGACCTTGAGTATATCTGTGGGTAAAGAGCGGATCAAAAAATTAGACTACAGATTTTGAAACATCTGCTGCTGTTGAACATAACACCATAACAAAATTCACTCCATCGCACACTTCAAGGCATGAGGTGTCAAGTGGAAGCAGTGTTAGACGCACCCAAGCTTCTTGACATATTCCAGGTAGCCGATGAGGATCTCGTGGTACACTGCTGTTCGTAGAATCCGAGGCCTGAAGAAGTGAATACTGTCAAGGTATGATATGTAGACCCGTCTGCAAAGAAAGAGGGAGAGGACATGATGAATTTCACCAGAAACCCTGGCAGTGCAAACCCTTCAGAGCCATGCAGAGCTTTTAGATGTTCAAATGTTCATACCTAGTGTTTGGAAATGGGCACTCAGAGCCGTACTCCTGCACATGCATGCCAAAGAAGCACACATCCACGCCGTCAATCTCCTCAAAGGCGAAAAGTGCTTTGGTTCTGTAGGGGAAGGCTTCAGGCATTTCACCCGTGTCCACAAACCTGACGTGATGAAGACATGGCCATATCAGAGAAGCTCCATCATTTTGTGATTCACTCTCGGGGTATCTGCCAGGTTCCTCTTACTTTATTCAAACAAGGCACCAGAATTCGTTCCTGACAGAAGTTTCTTCCTAATAAATGCTAGAGTAGCCGTTTGTTTTATCAAGTTATCAATTTAATCCTTTCATTTCCTTTTCATCATGGCTATAAAAACTAGAGTCATGATCTGACCTAACAAAGCTGCAGTGTGTGTCGCTGTTATAAGCATCAAGGGACAATTCAAGTTTGAGGAGCCTTGAGTCAAGAAAAAGCAAACCGCTTCATATCAGTCAACCTGAAGACAACAGGTTCTTGGATAAGGGTCTGCTCCCAGCGAGCATCACAGACACTGGTATCCTGTGATGAAATGGGGAATGACCCTGCTCAGGGTGGCTGTGTACTTAATCTTGTCAAACATGCAGGTTCCACAATCACTATGAGTGGTAGAGCTGGGCAATAAACCGAAAATTTACCGTTCCCGAAATTTATGACAATAACCAACATCATTTTGCCCTTGTTAATATATTTGGTGTCAAAAAAATAAATAAAAGTTGGATCAAAAGTTGTAGTGACTGGAGCGTCAGCTGAAGTAGACAAAGTTAATGTGGGAGGGGGTGAGCAGCTTGTTGAGTAGTTATCGTCCATTTACTGATAATCGAAGTGAACTGCTCAATATATCCTGATGTTAATTTGAGGCCATTTCGCCCAGCCCTACTGAATGGTATCAAAAAGGAGAGAAGGATCTGCAACATCATGGCTTTCTTCTCTGATGTTCATTTATTAAGTATAAAATAGTTGATAATGAAACCTGGTCAGTTTGAAAACATGTGCAGTACGCTAATGTGTGGTGATTAAAATCTGAATCAAAACACCGTCTGTGATCCTCTCACCTGGTTTTCATGCCTGGTTTGACTTCCACCGTTTTGTCGGAGCTCGCCACCACTCGCACAAACACCTCTCCTGCCTCTGGGTGGTTCTGTCTCTTCAAGTATTTATTCACACGGTCTTCTATGTACATTCCCAATCGGGTTGACTGCAGCCCTGCCATGAACAAACAACAGGTGAAAATGTTGAAAAAAAAAGTCCATCCTTTTAACTTTGCAGGATGAAAGACAACCAGAGCTTGAATTTAGACATCCCGCCATAGTTTTCAGCAAACGCCAAGAGTACAACAATTAAACTGCATGACACTGTGAGGATAAATCTGTGCGCACAACATGCCAAAAAGGTCATGTGTTCTCAAAGGGCACGAAAGCCGAAGGAGAATACCAGGGAAACCACAAGGCCAACATCAAAATAACAAAGCCACCACTGACGCAGAGTCCCACAGACATATGCAGCCCATGTGCAGGTGGATGTGGTTTAGCGTTTCTTGTCTTTAGGGGTTGCTAGACAGAACTGTAAGTATCTGTTGACATTAGAAAACTGCACGAACACAAGAGGAGACTGTGATTCAAGAAACTGATATCTATAAGTTTACCAATGGGATTTCAATACTAACGTTTTGCAGAGAACTTGTTTTCCTTCCGTGTTTTCACACTTTTCTTTAAACAGTTGTCACAGATGAATCTGGGAGAAGAAAGAGAGCAGTTGACAAGAAATTATTAAACAACAAAATGAGCAAAAATCTACCTCAAAATTCAATAAAGGGTGGGGGGACTGGTACTTACCCAGAAGGCCAGATGACCTCGTAGTGTAAGACACATATCTGGTGCATCTTCCGTCCACAATCTTTACATTCAACAAACCTGGAGGAAAAGCAAGGATACACACTGAGACCTTTTGACATTTCAAATCAGCTCAACGGTTCACAGACTTTTCATTTACCTGACAGTTCATTTACCTGCCTTATGTGCTGTTTTTGCGGATCATAGAGACAGCCACTCACATATTTATACATTAATAAAGTTCTCATGACTATATTCATTCAAATAGAGATTGACTATTTACTGATGGCCATTATATGTGGGAACACGGATATCTTATCTGCTGGGGCAGCAAGAGACGTAAAAATTTTCATTCAAGTTCTGCAGGAAGGTTAACAACTCTTCAGCATTTTATTAATACTCAATCACAGTGACAAACTTCGATACAATGGCTGACCATTAAATGAATCTCTGATCTCTTATGGAAAAAACTCTTATTGGCCACACAGTTTTAATGACTGAGTGGTGCTGCCTTAATGAAACCAGAGTGATTGATCAGAGAGCACAAGAGAAAATATGCAGCCTTCACTGAAAAAGCACACAAACAAAGCCAGATGTGGGGGCAGAAAATAGCGTTTTAGGACAAAATCAAGAACAAGTGAGCAGGAGAAAAAAAAAGCAGTCAGTGATTATTAAACACATATGAGACAAACTCCTCAGGAAAGACCAAACTTCTCTGTCTGTACCAGCGCTTCTCACCAAATGGGTCAAAGGTTTGCTTCCACTTACGGTTCAGGGTCGAGAACATCGTTCTTCTTCCGCTCAAACTGGTCTTTTGATATCATCCTGAAGAAAACAAAAGAGAAGAGATAAAGTCAGTAAAAAGCAGTTTAGTTCTCAACCACAATTAAGATTTCCTGTACAGTGCAGCCTCAAAAATGAAAGTCATAAAACCCTGCGACACTGAAAAAAAATATCTGGAACCATGAGTCTGAAATGTAGGTTTGGTTCTGTAGCTAAATAATAATATAAAGTGCAAATCCCTAAAGATGAGAAAGTGTGACCTATGATAACAAGGTTCAGGACAAGATAGAGATGGTTAATATTTCCAGTTGATTTAGAAACATTCTTACACCAATAACTGAAACAAGTTAGTTTTTAAAATAGTGAAGTTGTAAATAAGTTGTAGATAAGCAGTTTACTTACGTTGGAGGCTGTGCAGGATCATCCCCTAATGTCACACTCTCCCCCTGAATCTCATTGAAGCACTTCTCACAGAAATGATACCTGCAAAAACACACCACACCACACCATCAGCACATTCAGCTCTCTACATTTGGATGAACAGCAGCTGGGGTGCAGCTCTCTGTGTTCTGTGGTACTCAAGTATAAAATGTGCCGTTTTACACTGTTTCGACTTGGGCTGCCTCATTGTTTGTTCCAACACAACTGTGCACAAAATAGTTCTTGTCTTTTGTGTTTTATAACAGAGTACGGGGATTCCCTGAGCTCCCATTGAGAGTGTAAATGGTCTGCACTGCAGGAGCCTCACGCTGTCTGTCAGGCTGTGCTGTATCACTAATGCTGCTGTGCTGCTCTGCTCTGAGTGCCCAGGTTCTGTGTGAAAAAGGAGCTGCAGTTACACAGTTTATACAGCAGGAGGCACAAGGGAACACGATGAAAGCCGTGGTCTGCTGGTTTTCAACTACGAGTGAAAAAGCAATGATGGGCAATGCTGTTAGGGGCCTTAACCAAAGCATTTTATCTAAGTCTGTTGTGCGAGGGAGGGGACAGCAACACTGAATTCACACTCTCTTAAGCCAAATCTGCTTCACTTCTTTCACTGTTGAAAGCCCACGTGGTTATGGGTCTGAAATGTGATTTCCTATGAATGCAGCGCAGGAACCTGACTCTGAAGAAATAATCAGGGGGGCCAAGGAGTTTTGTGTAGACTTTAGGACTCGACATGACTGGTACTGTTTTCTGGGTCACTGTGGTACTCCGGTTTTATTCAATAAATAACAGAGGCTCTGAAAAACACACACAAAAAAACACACACCAGTCCGAATATGTATATGGTTGTGGTTACCTGTTCTGATAGCTGTAGTATGTGCCTCCAGTAGGTATGGTGCAAAGTTGTTTGCCATAGCAACAGAGGGTTTGGGGTGAGAACTCGTACTGCAGACACAAGTAAGAAGACAAATATAGTAATAAATAAACAAACAAATAAATGAATAAATAAATAAATAAAATCTTTATCAAGGTGAGGGAAATGACTCTGCAGTAAAGCTTCAGTTCAGTTTCTATCACTTTCAACATGAATTATCACCTGGTAAAAATGTCTAACTAGTGAGAGCAGCGAGACTTCCTAAGTTTTCCTGTCAGCTATCAGCCATGTGTGGCTAAGAGAGGACCCCACAATACTTTCATCAATGCTTTTCCCCTTTTTTCAGCATATTTTGACACCCCCTTCATCTCACCTTCCTTCCACAGCAGTATCCCAGGCCCTGCATGACAGGGTCAATCTCAGACTCAAACACCTCGGCCAGCTTAGAGCAGAACTTGTAGACTCGAGATGTCTTGCGGTTGTAGAGCCAGGCATTATTGAACATGAGCCAGACATCGTCAACGTACTGCCAGGGCTCCTGGTATTGACCTGTGTCGAGCTTGCGCTTTATTGTGGACAAGTCTATTGGGTTCTTCACAATGTCAAAGTAGTCCTAGAGCAAGAACAACAGATTTTTGTGTTAGAGATGGTAATAGCTGAAAAAGTTCCACTGGATTTTCCCGTCCGTGAAACTTCTCGGTGACACAAGAAAACATGACATCACTTCGAAAAAACTGGTGCATACCGGGATTCCCAGAAGCATGGGGTCTACTGGCTGTCTGAAGGGGAGGGACTCAGGGTCCTGCCTGTACAGAGACTCCAGGGTCGGCATCAGAGCCTGGCGCAACTCCTCCGGTTTAAAGACTAAGGGGGGAGGGAAACGAGGTAAGGTAAATATAAAAGTTCTCCAAAAGACACAAGTATAATAGTAGAAACACTACAAGTAAAAAAACAATGGCAGATGGTATGTTAAAGACAATATCTAAGCTTCAAGGTGACTCCATGTACTTCCTGTGCTTCATCAAGACAAAAATAATAATCATATTCTGAATAATGTTAGAGGCTTATATAGTCATTCATGATTTGACATCTATATTAGTGCATTTATGGGACTTTAAATCGTCAAAAACATCCAACATATTGGAAAAAAAAAGCAACACTGACTTGAAGACCAAATGCATCACGTGTGTTATATGTCTGAAACCATCTTTGGTATATATGTGGAGTTAAACAATCATGATGGAAGCCTACTCATGATTATACTTGACAGTTAAATGAAACGTTTAAAGTTTTTTCTGCTGCAGGGCTGTACACTAGCAGACATAAACTGTATATGCTGTGGTAAAAACTGTAGATTTGAAATCTGTATTCATTTTTTAGTCAATGAAATCATCTTTGAATCAATATTTAGTGTCAACTTGATTGTGACTCTAGTTGGTAGCTGGATAACAATCTGATTCAAATTGACATAACAACCTCATTTACTGTACATTTTACCTTGCTTATCAATGCCCCGCTAATCTCTGTTACAGCTAATTCTAACACGAATGACCATTTTTCTGTAAATCAACTGAAACAAAAACAATGTCAGCGGTTGCTTTTAAATTGGTGTCATGATTTTTTTCAGTTTATTTAACCAGCCTGAAAACAGCACTTGTTTTTTTTTTTTTAATCAGTGGAAAAAGCAGCCAAGATTCAAAAAAGGCTGAAGAGAGTCTGGAGATTTTCCTGAGTCAGACAGACGGATACCGTAAGTCTGAATGAAACTCAGAATAAATCATGACTGTCTCCCTGTTGGCTCTGAGTGGGCACATTAACATCACTGGCAGTGAAGAACAGCTTCTCTGCCTGCTTGGTAAAAATTTGTTTCAATCAGTCACAGATTTTATTCGTCCCTTGGCACCAGACTCACTTTTCCGCCGTGACTGAGACGGTGATGAGGAGGTTGTGCTGTTCGCTCCGCCCTCCTCTTCTTCTTTGGGTTCTGCCTTCATTTCCGGCTTTTTCTCCTCCACCTCCATTGGCTCTGGCTTTTCCTCCGTCTCCTCTTTCTTCACCATCATTGAGGAAGAGTGCTCCTCAGTCTATGAACAAAAAGAAAAACCACCCAATGTAAAAATGCACACAGTCACACAGCTGACAGCACTTGTCCTTTTGACACAACTCCTTGGCCATTTGGGGTAAATATGCTTTCCTTGTTGTTACTTGAGTGAGGTAACTGTAAGGAGGTATGAGCTGGTTGAAGTGTAAACGTTTTGCATTTCTTTACTTGATGACAATAGAAACTTTTTAATCTGTCTGGGTCAAGAGTTTATTACTGTTGAAAAAAATCCCATTCCCTTAGAAGATTTGTTTTGTTTTCATAATCAAGAGCTTTTGACTTTTATCATGGAGAATTAGTCAGAAATGAAACATGTTTATCTTTCAAGTAGGACTGCACGATTTTGGCTAAAAATAAAGTCCAGATTCTTTTTTCTGAAAACTCGATTTTAGATTTTGATTTTTTATTCAGTGACAACTTCACCAGACTTCATTTTAAAAATATAAAGTTTTTCTATCATCTCTCAAAACAAAACCACTGAAACGATATAGTGCATATGCCAAGCCAGTTAGTGGCGCTGTAACGCTGCTGAGGAAATGCACAAAAGACAGAAGAAGAGTATAGAGCATGAGTAATAAGGTTGTTTTGGCCGGACACAAGCAGGTGCGATATAAGAGCCAGCTGTGTGTAACATAATCATTTCGAGAGATGCAGATAGGCATCCACACGGAGATGAAATAGTGGTCGTTTACGGATTTATGCACTCTCTGACTAGTTTTCAAAAAGTACCGTTTATAGTCATCTGAAACGCTGTTTCTGTGTGGATGACACACCAATATGACAAAAACGTTTGCGTTTACTCCTGAATACATTTGTAGGACGGGTTAAAGTTAGGGTTAGGTTGAATGGGTTGATACCGCCTTCAGACAGACTTTGCTGTGGGGAGTGGTTTGCTCTTTGTCCAAAACTGCGAAGCAGAACCAATTCTACCCGACTGACTTGCTCTCGCATTATTTAGCCACAGAATTTTCGCCTTCTTTTGCAAACGCCATGTTTGTTTACACAGGAAGGGGGGAGCCTATGGTGGCCTGGAGGTGCGAAACATGACAGAGAGGAAAATCGATTTGACGATTTTAAATTTTTTAACATCGTCATAATCAAATAATCTGATTACGATTAAAAATCGATTAATCATGCAAAGCATTCACGGTTATCTTAATCCATACAAGCCATCAATCAACACACCATCAAACAGGTAGATCATGCTGTAAATGGCAGAGATGAAAAATTGGGCTGTGCTGTGCTTGAGTCGAACTAAGTCAAACGATTGCAACACATAGTCTATGCTAAACCCTCAGACAGACGCCCCCTAAAAAAAAGCCCTGTAAGAGAGAGCCCGCCCACTTCATTTAAAGAAAGAACACACGCTAAATTAAAAGCTGTGCCACAACAGTGTTTATTTCATTCACCAAAATATAGGCAGTCGGGATCTGCTGATGCAGTAGTTTTATAGGACTAAACAGAGATGATTATGTGAAGAGTAAACAAACTGACAAATAACTCAGGGGCAAAATGGTCTAGTGTTTTAGGGTGGACAACCAGTTGCATCTCTATTTGTGCAGGAGTATAAACCTTAACTTCCTCTACATATGTTCTTTATTGTCACTGGATCATTTTTGTCCACTACATGTTGGTAAGAAGTTGGTTTTATACTGTCGATGTTTAAACGCCACAACAGCGTCCTATGAAGAGCCTGACAAAGCTACTACTGTCAGCTGGCCTCTCAAAAAGCCCGATTACAGCCAGCAGCTTGTACAGAGGGAATTCAACGCTGACAAAACTCAGCCCTCTGCTATTGATTTGTACTATGGTAACACTTTACAACAAGGTGGCGCAAGTCTACAGAACACCTATTGGTGGTTAGCCCGCAGTGGTCCATTCACTTATCATTGAATTTCACAGAGCTGAGCTACTTCGCTGTATCCATCTCCACGCTGTCACTAAAATATCATCTATGATGTTTTAAGACTCTTTTACAGGCTAAGTCATTCAGCACACATTAACATCATTTGGTTCAATGAAACTGTGAAGTGAAAAGGGAATCTGTGCAGTTGGAACAAGATATAGTCAATTCCTCACAAGTTGTAGAATATATTTAAATGTAACAAGTTTAAGTAGGAAAACGTACTGTCAGCCAAGATGACTGAACTTCATGAGGTACTTTTCTTCTCACAGAAGCATTCTGCAAAACAAATATATCTAAAACTCTGTAAGAAAATTGTGGCTAAAACACTGAGCAAAATGAATACTGTCCTCAGTAAGATCAAACAACACGAGACATGACCCCTGTTTTCTGAAAATGACTGAGACTAAAACTAAAGTCCACTTTTTGGTCAAGGTTAAAACTGTGCAAGCCCATCCACACAAAGAGGCCTGTGGTGAGCGTGACTCTTCCCTGAAGTGTCAGAGCGAATAAGCAGATCATCAATCTGTATGATTGGAGTCTAAAATAACTTTGTTCCACTACTTGACCTGCCACAGTGGCTGCAGTATTAGTGTTGGGAGGACCTGTCTTATCCTGTGCAATGAAACCGACACGTGAAGAAACAAAAATGTGTTTAAATTGGAACTGACGGGGTTGAAAAATCCACACTGTGGCAGGACGTGACAACCAGTGACCGTGTTATACCTTCCACACCTCACTCGGTGTTGCTCTAGGTTTGTTAATGTTTGTAGTCGCTGCAGCTCATTAGTTCTGTGAGTTAATTGGCCGTTCAAAGCGATTACAAAGCACAGCACAAAGTTTCAACAAACCTCCATCTTGGGCTCAATTTTGCCGCCTGCAGCCTCAAAGTCTTGTTGGTCATGCTGAGCCTCCGCTTTGACCTCCTGGGTGGGCAGATCTGCACTGGCGGCTGAGGCCGGTGTGGGTACCCGGTTATCCAGACTGGCTCCTTGTTGAGACAGCTGAAAGACAGAGAAGAGAGGCAGAGAGACAAAGACAAATATGAGCTTCTGGTTCAAGTTTCATTGTTATCTTTTGTTTTTTTGCATGCAGAGCTGAAGCCACAACATGGATGAGCCCGTCTGGGATTGGTTTCTTTAGAGCGACAGATGCAACATTCCCCTGTGATGGATGCTGGTGGAGATGCAGCTATCAGACAGAAAGGTGGATGTGAATGGGACGGGTTGGTACATGGCAATCAGAGGATGGGAGCTTGCAGGGAAGGGTAGGGGTCAGAGTGGGGGCATGCGAAGGGTCTCAGTCTCACCGGTGTGGTAGGGGGCTGAGGCGGGGGCTGCGTCTGTGCTGCTGTGGCCAGCTCCGCCTGGGGTTGGGGCTGGGTGGGGCGGGGTGGGGTGGCACCTGGGGCTGGGGCAGGGCCGGGGAGGGTGGGGGTGGAGCTGCGGCTGGAAGGCTGGGGGTGTGGCAGGTTAGTGGCCCCCCCAGCCGTAGAGGCGGAGGAAGCGGCAGGCGGAGGCGTGGAGTGCAAGGGAGTTTGGGAGGAGGCTAGCTGAGGGCCCAGCGAGGGGCCAAGTGCATTCATGGGGAGGTTAGCGCTCTGCTGCTGCTGCTGCTGCTGCTGGAGAGAAGGACACACACAAACAACAAACACACACACAAAGGGAAGGCAGACAAACACACAAACAAACGAGTAGACAAACACACAAATATATGGTCAAACAAACAACAACACCACACACAATTTGAGGTTTAGAAAGCCCTTATGTGATTGCTAGGAGAACAATTTAAGAGCAATTAGTACGTCATATGATTGGTGAAAGTCTTTTCAGTTTTAGTTCCCTCAGCCGCTGGTTGGAGTTTGCTCGACTTTGCAGCAACTCTAAAAAGGCACAGCATGACTGAGAACAATCAAGCCAATCAGTAAGCACTCATAAACCCGCATAGCTTCACACCCTGTCTCTTTTCCCGCCTTACCTGGGTGACAGCAGCCTGTGCTTGTGGCTGGCCCAAGCCTGACCCCACTGTGACATTCATGGTGCCCGTTGCAGCAACGGCAGCAGATCCCGGAGGAAACTGTGTCTGAGCCAGAAACTGTCCCTGGCTGGCTGTCTGGCCCACCATGTTCGCACCACCATGTCCGGCCATCATGCCCTGGGCCTGGGGCATCCTAGAGGGAGACATGCCCATCTACAAGAGAAGAAAATATGACTTATGAGCCAAGATGCAGGTGTTGGCAAAAGTAAGTGCTCCGTATTGTCGAGGTTTTCTAAATTGTCTACTTGCACAAGAGAGCTGTAGAAGCTTTTTCAGTTTGTTAATTGCATAATCTGGCATTCTGTAGTCATCCTGGCTGAGGCTGCGCGAGTGCAGCCTTAGCTCTAGTGTGACAGATGCAGGGTCATGTGCTATCTCTGAAATGTCAGGTGAAATCAGGAACATCTGTGATGTTGCAAATGTATCGAGTGGTGGGACAAAGTCATTGACACGGTATCTTTATGTCCCGCTCCTTGTGTTCCCTTTATTTCATTTTATTTAGCCTCTATTTCGCCAGGTTAGTCCCACTGAGATCAGAGAGATAGTTTCAGACAAAATCAAACATATACATACATTCATCACATCAGCAATGAGGGAGCATTTGTTAAAACAGCTGCGTACAGATTCATTAAAGGTTTGAAACCACTGAGCATTCCCAAAGTTTGGAGTTCAAGTTCAGTCTGTCGATTGTTCCAAGTGAAAGGTACAGAAAACCTCAAGGCTGTCTTTCTTGGCTCAGCTCTGACTTTGGGAATCAGACATTGCTCAATGGTTGTGCTTTAATACAGCAAGTTTGCCTCGGCCCTTCAAGTGACCCACTCCCACAAACAGGAAGACTTTCTTTGAATGCAGCAACTTTTCCAGGTAAACCTAAACTTGATTTGAACCGACCTAAACTCAGTTTGCAGAGTGTGCAAGAAAACTAACTGCATGTTAGAGTGTGTGCTGTGATACGCTCGCCCCTTGCCCCGTGTCCTTCTTCTTACCGCTGGGACGGAGCTCATGTTCATTTGCTGTGGGTGGTTCATGGGGGAGGCAGCTCGAGCTCCCATCGGTGCCTGGGTTATCTGTGCGTTGGGCAGAGCCATGTGGTTGAACTGGTTGATTCCTGAACACAAGAGTGGACAGCGATTCTCAGAAATGACCAAATATAACTTTTTCAAAGAGGTGCACAATGTCGCTGGCAGGAAGAGCCCAAACAGATTATGGCAGCTCACATCACTAAGATCTACTGCACAAGGTCTTCATCAAGTGATTTCACAACCGTGGTACTGAGGTTGACCTTCTCAGTGTTCTCCACACTGACAAAAGGGTGTGTACACTGTTAGCGGCAAAATTATAAAATCATGCAACCGTATGTTGAAGTGCATCATGCTTACACATTTCATCATTAGACACTTGTGGATTATTTGTCAAATGATTCATCTTTTTGTTTTTAAATCGTCTTTTCTGTACGTCTGACAGGGTACATCTTTGCTTTCTTCCATCATCCTTTATTCTTTTTCCTTCTTAGTTTTTGAAGCCTTTTTAAAAATAACTCGAATCCAAATGATATGATTTGTACGTTATGATCGGCAGTATAATGAGCTGCCCTCTTTTTTGAGTTAGACTTTTTTGTAACGACAGTCCGAGCAGGATCTGAATCTGAACACACAACAGGAAACACGTTTTTTCCACCATCGTACCTTGTGAGACCTGCATGCGATTCATGATCTGATTTGGCATGTTGGGCAGGGAGACAGGACCGTCTATAAAACAAAGAGACACAACTTTGAACCAAATGGGACATAAAAAACAGATTATCACTCATCACCTCCATTAACCCTAACCTCAATTCATGCTTTTTCTCAAATTACATCCCTTAACTTCAAAAACAGTTTTGACAATCTTTAAGGGACCTGTAATTTCACCTTGAGAACATTGTACTCACTCTGTGGCCTTGGGCCAAAAGTATTCGTCTGGGGAAGGCTGGGCTGCTGGGTCCCTTGCGCGGCCATAGGTGCCTGGTTGATGATCTGCTTTTGTAGCCTCGAGCGCCTCTTCTCCTCCAGCTCCTTTTGGATTTTATAGATTTTTTCAGCCAGGAAGTGATAGTACTCATCCTAAGATACAAGAAAAAAACAAAACGTGAGAAGTCAGTGTGAGCAAAGTTTACGACTCGGTTAAATCAAGAAAGTCTAAGATAGGATAAGGCGATGTCTGAAGAGGCTTTACAAAAAGGGGTTTAGTTTGGGCCAGATAAGAAATTTAAGTATGATGAAGGTCCTCATCTATAAACCTACCCGACTATTCGCAGACTCATACATGTCCCCCTCCACCTTTCTAGCGTAGGCCACCAGGTTCTCCATTCGTCTGTCCTTCAAAGCTGCCGGGTCAGGGGTTGGAAATATGGCTTGTACTCTGCCACAGAAGAGATACATTGTAGCTCTAAATATTCGAGTACTCTGACCGTTCAAAGTTTGCTTCATCAACCACATTTTGACAGGGAGCAGGAGGGCGGTCGACTGACATGATTTAATTACTGATGCATCTCTTCAGAGGTGGTACAGACTTACAGTTTGTGTACGAGGTGATTGCGCAGGTCCTGAGTGACGTGCTCATGCCACGCTTTCCTGGTGCCAGTGGCTGAGATGGGTGCAGCTGTTGGGACATTTCCCATTGAGCCTACAGCTGATCCATCCGACAGAAGTTGACTGGAGGTGGAACAGGGAGAGGGCTGAATGTTAGAGATTTTATCTGTTTTTTTAAAAGGTCAAATGAAATCTGTCTTATCACACGACCAGATCTTGTAAACCTGTACACCCGAGAAAACTTCAGTTTCTAATCTATTTGATCCAAAAATCTTTCAAGATCAAAAACTGTAGCGCGGTTTTTGTTGGACTGACTTGTTAGTGTTGAGTGTGTTGGGCAGGGAGTCTGCGTGCAGGTTTGTCTGATCTGAAGTGGTCACGCCCATTGTTGCACCTCCAAGAGCCATCTGGTTTCCTGTAAATAGAAAACCTTGTGAGCAAACAGCAACACCTTGATTTCATGATCAAATCCCGTCATAATAAGGCTTTGAATGGCTGCTGTGACTACACCTGAAGAGTACTCTGTGCAACACACAAACACAGATCTTTGTTTCTTTAAAGATGTCCACACTTAGATGTAACTGGGTAGAGTCAGTTTTGAAGCCATTAGCAGCCTTTCAGTTGTGTTTGCAGTACTTTTACCTGGTAGAAACACTGCTCATTAACAACACAGTAACACAATCATCCTTACCAAGTGCATTGATGGGTCTCATCTGCTGTGGGAGCTGCTGTTGGGCCTGTGCATTCTGGGTGCCTGCAGTCTGTCCTGGGCCGGAGGCCTGCTGGGCCTGCCCGGTGGCCTGGCTGCTGTAGGGCAGCCCGAGTGCTGCATAGGCTCTCTGCATGGAGCTGGGATCTATGGGAGCTGAGGTATTGATGGTGGGCGCACTGGGCTGGCCCACACCAACGGAGGACATGGGGTTCTGGAGGCCCGTACTGGGGGAGCTCAGCATGGCTATGGAGAAAGATGGAGCAGTCAGTTACAATCACATGATCACAGAAAAGTGCAGAAGTTGATCATCAGTGCCTATACCAGCAAACATGAAAAGACCAGGAAATACTAAATAAACATATACACAATTTGACCTCAGGCAACAAGACATCATGACATGATTGTGAGAACAATGATTAAAACTAAACGCTTCAACAGTGACAGACTGAAAATGTGTAGAAATCCCCCCAGGGGTCAAAGCAAAAGCCAATTTTTGGTTTAAGACTGAGGTTGGCCTGAAAAAGCTCTTAGTCCGTGGAAAGAGAAATCAGAGGAGTCCCAACAAAGAACTACAGCGTTCTGTTTGTTTTGGCAAGAGAGACTCCAATCCGGCATCGTGTTCTTTAAAAAGCAAGCCAAAGAGGGACAAATGTTGGTTGTGATAAAAACTGCAGAACGTGGTGGAAAATGAAGAAGAGAAAAATCACAGAGTAAAGGATTAGGTATCTACTCTTCTGAAGGGTGAACAGGATGGTGAGGCAGAAAACAAAACAGACTGTGAACCCACCACAACATTTGCATGGTTGGAGTGAGAAACAGACAGGGGAAAAAAAGAGAGGCAGAAAGAGCGTTAAACTCAGCTCTGTTAGAACAGGGAGTCGTGGTAAACAGCCAAACAGCCAGAGGCTCAGCGGGACTCCTCTCACACACGCTCTGTGTTTCCACCCTCTCGGAGCTCTTCTGTGTGTCAGATTACAAACCCAGCAGGAGCGCGCTCTTATTCACTGGGTGTTTTTGCTCATCGTGAAGAAAGGAGCACAAACTTAGTGATAAACTGGCTGACTAGCCTGACTTTCCAAAACATTAGCACACCTCTAAGTGCTGTCAAACCATTACATTTTTAATCTGGTTCATCACAGGGTTGATGAGGATTGATTTTGGTTAAGAAAACTTCTTCCTTTATGTTTCGGTCGACTGTTCCGTCATGGGTTTTTTTTTGTGGTCAAATTTACCATGGAGAGGACCAACGTGCAGTTTAGCGTCTTCCATATTGACAGGGCTCGAGACTGCAACCAAAATTGCATATGAGACCTTTATTTCAGCATGTGCAAGGAAGAATTTTCATCAGGTTGTGTTCGTACAAGTGCATATGTTTCAACACTCCCTCTAACACAGGTCCTGTATTAGACATTATGGTTGAAAGTCTCCATCTTTTTCACTGGCTTAGTCAGTCTCCTCCACCTGCACTCTCTCCTGTTCTGAGGTGTTCATACACATACACGCACAGACAGTGATCAGCTCATTATCAAGCTCTGTAATGGCTTCATAACGAGCTGATCATTTGAATCAGGTGTGTTTGAGCAGGGAAACATCCAAAAACATGCAGGACAGTGGGCCTCGAGGACTGGACTTGAGAACCACTGGCCTAGACAATGGTTGAAAGATTAAATGATGGTGGTTCAGGGCCAGCCGCTTGTACTTACGTTGCTGTGTGCGCTTGTCGCTAGCGTTTTTCAGCGGCAGGCAGACAGGACAGTCGTGTCGTGTGCAGTTTTTCCAGTGGGAGATGATCTGTCTGGACGATGCACAGTGAGCCACTGTGGGGAAAATGACACAGGAAGAACAAAGACATGGGGTTTAGATCTCTGGTGCTGAGAGTCTGACACTCTTGATCAACATAAAACTCAGTACAAAGGATATGCTCTTTCATTGGGCAGTAGTTTCAACTTCATCACTGACATTTTTATCCTGAAGAACAGAATCAATCTGTTTGTGAAGAACACAAGAGTGGACATTTTGGGCAGATTAAACTTCTACTTTGTATCAAACTGTCTACAGGAGCGCTGACTGAAGGCTAATATTGACCAATCAAGAATGAGCACTTAAAGTGAAAGATGTCAAGCTAAAGTTTACTTGGTTATTTAAATTAAAGCGGTTACTATGAAGCAGAAATTGCTCTTGACTGACATTGGGAAGCTGTTCCTTTTAGCAGGCATAACTAGTCAACCACTGATCACGGTATTAGCGCATGTTTGCAGGAGAAATTCAAGATGAAATGGCAGCACAACCACAGTTATTTGCACATAAACTCCTAAATATATTTTGAGTTGCACAGATTAAATTTCAGGAGCATGTGACCCAAATGGCTGCACTTTCAAGTCCTGCAACAACGTCCTGGTCTTTAAACTGGGTATACAGTCCAAAAGCTTACAAAGCACCGGTGTAGCAAAGTTATTGACAACCCCTCTTTTTTGAGGGAATACTTGTTTGAGGGGGAGCCCTGATGGGTTGACTACCGAGTGCTGCAGAAAATTAATGATTATTACTTGATGATTGTATTTCCATAAAGTAATAATCATAAATCTTATTCCTTGAGCTGCGAAACTCGATGATCAACTCGTCAGGGTTGCCCTACAAACAAGCGGCTGCTAGAGGGAAGTGGGTGAGTTGTGTTTAGATGTTTGATGGCTTGTACTATGGCTGGGACCCTATATGTACTGTTGATGAAGTAATGTGTTGTTTTGAGCATTATTTGTTGCTATTTGGTTGAGGTTTGCACGTGGAATGATAGATCACTGTGTACTTCTATCATGCGGTTGTTACTAAAGTTGGTATAACTAGAGAAGCAAGCAGTCGGCAACATTCATCTTTCGAGGGGATGTCTAACTCGGTGTTACTGTGTGTTTGACCCTAAATTAAATTTATGCCAGAATATCCCTTTAAGTTCTACCACACACTGGGACACCAATATTGCGCCCTAGCAGGATCAACAAGAAAATGCCAAGGCATGGTGGTGCAGTGTTACGGTGCTGCTGCAGGCATGCAGTATGAAAAGGGCTAGTGGCAATGAAGCTGTTCAAAACATGACAAAACAATGGCGCCTCCCTTGTCTTTGCCAGTCACAAGATGTCAGGAGGAGGTGGGCTGCTCGAGATAAAAGCTTTTCAATCAGGCAGTACTTTGAGCAGGAAAACATTTTTGCTGAGCAAATCAAAGAAAGCTACTTTAGATGGTTGAATTAAAATTAAAATTAAAAAGGTGTACTGAGTTTGCACAGACCAAGCAGCTGAGACTTTTTGTCACTATCATTCAACTTTGATTTACATTTAATACCACTCTGGTGAAATTCTGGTTAAAAGCACTTCAAAAATATCTGGGGGGCAATGAGCTTCCCTGAAAGAATTTTTTTATCTAACTGGCAGAAGACAACGCCAACCAAATAAAGAAAAATGCCAATAAAAAAATGGGACAGAACAACTCTGAAAGTAAACATTATATCAGCAGGGGCCAAGTGTTCCTGAGAGAAAAGAAAAAGCTTTCAAAGGATCTTGTATAGCAAGTAAGACAGATGGACAACCGGCTAAAGAGAGAAACTTAAAGGGATAAAATGTGAGTGCCAAACCTCTGAAATGTCAGGTTCAGACGCACACATTTACAGTAAGTGAAAGCTCTTGGTTTGGCCCACTATAAAGGGACCCCAAACCATTTCCCTGTATGCATGGATGTAGTAACCAAGTTACTTTATTTCATCTGTGGCCTAGCAGCTAATCAGGACAGAGTCACAAGCAGGCTAAATTAAGCCTTTGCGCGCTCTGGCACGTCTTTGCCCTTTCCAACAGACAATTACTACATGGATTTAAAAGTTACCCATAAATAAACACAATAAATCCTTATTACATTTGTTCAGGTGCCAATACTACTGGCATACACTCAAAGATAGCAGGGCATTCATGGTGGTGGCTGTCTGTAGATTTACAAAGGAGGAAAACACAAAGAAAAAGGCCTCTGAGCAATGACCAAAACCAATCCAAGCAGTCGTCATACCGCAAACTGCAGGCTGCCTGGGGTGAAAATAAACCAAGCCAACAGACATCAGATAAATCTACAGCCCGAACGATAACTCATGTTCGAACAAAATCTCTCTCCGCAGAAATTTCAGTGGCAGAGGCAGAAATCCTGAGCGTGAGGAAATGAGCTGGCAGGCACGGAGCAGAGACACAGACTCCTTCACACTTAACACACCTTGGCTTCTGAGTGTGTTTGGCTTGAAATCTAACTTCAGCATTGAAGTGCAAGGCCAGAGCAGAGACAAGGAGCCAAATTTAAATGAGAGTAGCTTTAGGGGAATTTTTCATCAAAGCAGTGCTGTTGCAGACAGTAAGAAGAAGCAGGACATAAAGGTTCAAGAGGAAGAAAATTTTGAAGGAGGAAGGGCAGACTGAGCTAGCGAGGTGGCCAGCAGGTTGGAGATGAGAGTGATACCTATTGCAAAGACATCTAGACCCCTAACTGCGCCCACTCTAGATTAGGCAGACACCCTTGCTCAGACAACAGAGGAGAAAAGGGCACGCATGAGACAAGTTATAGTTCGGCTACATGTTGATTTGAAAAGGTTTGTTTACTGCTGTGTTAAACTCAAGAGTTTATCAGCAGAATCAAATTTGGTTTGAAATACGAAGTTTTAACTGCGTGTTCATGTCTTTTCATTCAGGGCCAAAGCAAACTCCTACTTCAGTTGACTTTTGTGCCTTTCAGACTCGACTTCATTAGAGGTTAGATAATGCCGTGTGTTCATAAGAAAAACTTGATACGTTAAACTGCACAGAAACAAAAACATGATCTATTCTTCCCCCAGGATAAATTCAGTTTTCTGATTCTGAATCTATTATTCATATCTTTTCACATCAACAACAAATACAGTCAATTTGAAATATCACCAACATTTGGACATTTTTTTTAGTTCTTGAGTTGCTGCTCTTGTATAACCCTAAAGGCATTTGTAAAACTCTAGCTGTACATCAACAGGTTCTGTTTAGTTTATAGCTTTGTATGATTTAACTGGACTTTGTGATGTTTTGTAGTTGAAACAAAGTGGACATTTTATCCACAATGGGCCTGTTCCAATATATACGTATTGACAGTGGCCATTGTAATAAAAAGATATGGATGATGACATGTGAGTGACTTGTATTTATTCTGGTCTTTGTAATACATATGCTCCACCCTTGTCTTACCTTTTCTGACTAACTGTGCTCATCTGAAACTTGAAACATTTCGTCTTCCTATCACAAGAAAATGATCCAAACTCACTTTATCATGATGTTTCGAAAAGCTCTGACTCACCCTGGCAAGACTTGCCGGCCTGGCAGTGGGTCATGTGGTTGAGGACGTTCTTCATGGTGCGGCAGTGCGGCAGGGCACAGGCTCTCACCTCCCCATTGGCCTGCTCCCGTCGCTGGCACTTGTGCGCATGAAGCAGCAGGACCAGCTGCTGCTGGATCAGTTTGCGTTTCTCTGGGTCAGCTGTTGGGCCTGCTGAAGGCACTGCCACACCTCCGCCACCGGCTAGGGGGAGCATTGCCTGCTGCTGGGGCTGCTGTTGTAGTTGCTGCATGATACAAAAAAGAAACCCAAGCACAAGTTATAACAACTTAATGACTTTCACTTTACCGGCCGCAAGTTTTCAAAAGGGTTGCTTTGTTAACCATAGCTTGAATTTGTCCATTAGGGACAAATGATGTACTCATAATAAATCAAACATCTGCTTCTGGAATGAGAAAAGTTAGCTTTTATTCATTTTCCATGGTTCTGTTAGGATATTTTTGACCAATTTAAGGTCTTTTGAAAAACAGTTGAACAGCTTTTTTTATTCCAGGGCACTACAGGGGTATACTGAGTTCATGTCTGACCAACAGCTGCTGGATGTTTGTGCTCCAGGAGGAAACAAAGTGAGATGAACATACAGCAGGTGGTTTAAGCATGCTGGTCGTGGTGGCTAATGAAACAAGATAGGGAGCAGAATGGGTGTGTGTTTTTGATTTTGATAACGAGGACTGTAAGTTAGGGTCAAACACACCGTAACACAGCTAGACACCCCCTCAAGAGATGAATGTTGCCGACTGCTTGCTTCTCTAGTTATACCAATTTCAGCAACGACCGCACAATAGCAATACACAATGGTCTATGTCTCCCACTCTCCTCTGTTGTTTGTGGGGGAGCCCTGACGAGTCGATCACCAAGTGCAGCAGAGTTTTGCAGCACAAGGAAGAACATTTATGATTATTACTTCTTGTGAATCTTGTATATGCACTGTAGACACAGTAGTTTTTCTGTCTTAGCGTCTCGGTCTGATTGCATTTCCATGAAGTAATAATCTTGGATCTTCTGCTGCACTCAGTGATCGACTCTTTAGGGCTCCCCCCAAACAAGCGGCTGCTGGAGGAGAGTTGGTGAGTTGTGTATAGTCTCTTTGCTAATGAAATCAGGAAAAGCTAAAAAAGATCTTTGGTGGCTAGTACTATGGCTGGGACACTAAATGTACTGTTGATGAAGTTAGGTGTTGTTCTGAGCATTATTTGTGGCTATAGGGTGGTGTTTTGGTTAGGGTTTGTTTATTGCTCCTCAGACCGCTGAGTACTGCTATCTGCGGTCGTTACTAAAGTTGGTATAACTAGAGAAACAAGCAATCCGCAACATTCATCTCTTGGGGGGGGTGTCTAACTCAGTGTTACAGTGTGTCTGACCATGACTTAAATTTATGCCGGAATATCCCTTTAAGCAAAGTTTGGACCCATATTTTGTGTTGTAGGCAGATGTCTGGATGAAACAAGAGCAGTAAGCTGATGTCTGCATGTGATAGGATGCTGTGGGTTCTGCTTCACGTACATTTATTTCTTAAGTATCAATAAAAAGTCTGTCTAACTAAAAAGTTGTCTTTTGAATCAGTGCTGCAAAGCTTTGGTGCGCAACCATGAAACCACAAAATATCTTGTTTTCATTTCTTCCTTTTTCTTTGATTTTTTCTTTCACTCTAAAAAGAAGTGTTTTATAACATCTACTGCGTGTCTTGTGACATCATGTTTGTAATTGAATGGTAATGTCTTAAAAAGTGAAACAAGCACTAACCATGTTTGGCACGCTTGTTACAGCAGCTCCTTTGAGTTCATTGGGGAAGGGCGGCAGGCTGTTGGTGAGGGCAGCCTTGTTTTGGAGCTGCTGCTGAGGGTTTAGCTGTTGGCCGGGTCCTGTGGTCCCCTGACCATAGGTCTGAGCCCCGAATGGACCTCCGTTGCTGCCCAGGCCCATCTAAAGAGAAGGACAGATAACAGGGAGGTTGTTATAAAGCAAACACAGAGTGGGTGAAATCTTAAATTTTGATCTCAGAATAACAATTTTCAAGTCCAAGAAAGATGTGTGACTTTTTTACATTTACACCAGTGTACTAAGGTTGTAATGCAATCACATCAGTCATCAGTCAAATTATAATCTGGATCCAATTGGCAACCTGACTGCAACAGGCATAAAAACAAAGCTAACGCAGACGCACAAAATGACTGCAGCTCCTGAAGTGTTGACCTAAGGCAAAGGCCCCAAAAGCTGAAAAATGATCCAAATGGTGCTCTTGTTCAAACACTCAGGTAAACGGCAGAAAACACATGTCTGTAGCCTGGTATCATCTACCAGTGGATGGGTGACATCAAGGAGGCTATGTCCATTATTTATATACTATATATTTGTGTAGTGCCAATAGCTTTCTTCCTCCATCAAAATTGGCCTGTTTCTTTGTATCTGTGAAAATCTTGGTTGTTATGATGGACGCTAGGCCTGGACGATATAGAAAAAAAGCGTATTGATAAAAAATAAATCATATTGATCGATATCGATAATTATCGATATAATTGTTATAATTATTTAACATATATTTTAATTGCAGCCCTGGATGTTTTATGCTATTGCTTAATGACCTACTTTTAATAAAGAACACACAAGCACTGAATTCAAATTCAAACCTTTATTCAACCACCTTTTTTATTTTACAACTGAAAGTTTTTTAAAAAAGAACTAAAAAAAAAAAGAAATCAACTTAAGGGGCCTGAGTGATGTCAGTAAATACTGACAAACATAAAGACCAAAGTGACCAAATCTGATAAATAAATATTTAAATAGTCTTTTGATGAAAATAAACAAATATATAAATAAACAGAATAGCTTTAGGTGGGAATAGCATACTACCAGTTTTAACTGTGTGGGAAACTGCCCACAGCCTGGTGTCTGAACACTGAAATATTTCTCCCGGGGTCGGGAGATTTATTTTTTTTGATTATCATGTGATTGACTTAATACAGAAACTAAGCACAAGAAGCAGGACTTATCCACGCCGGTGTTGTGTCGTAGAATGCACCCCTGCCGAATGCACCCCCTGCTAGTAGCCATGATCCAAATACTCGCGTCTTTGTAAAATATGAGCTCATTTTCTTCCACTTTAAGAAGCTACACCGGAACGTATTTCCTCCGCACCCTTCTCAGCTTTTCAACCCCTGACCCATTTTCATGCCTGAAGCGCTGTGTTTGAGAAATACTTGCGGCCGGACACTTCATATCGCGGGTCGAGAGTGGCTAGAAGCTGGTCGAAGCCAGGCTTTCCAACGGTAGTTATTGGCAGTATGTCCCTCGCTATGGAGCATGTTACTGCATAGGTGATGTCCTTATGCCGCTCGGACGCTTTGTCGTATTTTGGCAAGAAACGGAGTCCAGCTTGGTCTGCTTCACTTGCTTTGTGCTGGTGCTGGCAGCGGTTCCAGCGGATTCCTCCGACGACGACGTGGAGCCGCGGCGCGGCCGACATAGCTCGTACTTCTGCGGGTGCGATCGGTTTAGATGGTAAAACAAGTTGGTTGTGTTACCAGACTTCGTTTTTACTAATTCTCTGCAAATTTTGCAAACGACCGCTGTTTGCTTTTTGTCAGACTTCTAAAAACCAAAACATTGCCATGCTGGTGAACCACTGAGACCTTTTTTCGGGACAATGTCCTCCGCCTCTCCTTGCTGTATCATTTTTTCTAATACACGTGCTGTCTGTTGTGGTTTGATAAGGGCTGGGCTTGGTGCCGTAGCGTACCTGGGTCTGCGTTTGTGATTGGTTGGGAGGAAGTAATGACTGTAGTAAAAGCTACATGATAGGCTATGATGAAAAAAAAAGGGAAACTGTGTTTTTTCTATCGAACTTTTTATCGACCCGTTTTTTTTCTATCGCACCACACGTCTATCGATCGATATATATTGTTATCGAATTATCGTCCAGCACTAATGGACGCCTTTTCGTTTTGGGGGTTATCATTAACCTTTAACTTTTTTCCAAATAACACCAATGTGCCAATGGCAGCTTCACCCACATATGACTGCCAAATTGTCCAAAAACAAGACCCCCTCTGCTGAAGCCAGCTCTGTATTGGCTGTGCCAGGATTACTTTGCCTGGTTCCCTCTTAACTAAAACCAGAGCTCTGGCACCATGACAGCTCAGCATGATACCAGTAATCGGCATGTTGGTTTGTCAGGCCATCAACTGGTGAAGCATTTCCATTGTGCTATTTTTTTTCTTTCTTTCTTTTCTTAAGCTGGTTAGCAGTAAAAGCATTGCATACAGCTGAGATTTAACTCTACAGATAATATTTGGACAGTATTCTGAATGTCTGATAGTGCAGTTGCACTCTACATCAGCGAAAGACAGAACGAGAAGTAAAATGTTTTTCCAAACTACTGCTCATACTTTTGCTGCTTTTAGCAATGTAAGCAAGGGGTCACCGAATCCTCAAATCAAGATATGATAACATGATGCTGAGCTCAAAACACAACATTTAAAGACACTTCTCCCTAATCAGCAGAGCAATTCCTGGTGGTCTGGGCTGGTTGTAGGGGTGGCGAGGGCTGCTTTACAACAACAGTAAAAATATCATATTGGCTGCAGTTTTTACATAATCCTGATCATTTGGCTCAACTTTCCAATAAAACACCACCCTTTCATCACCCTAACAGCTCTTCATGAGAACATTTTGTGTGTCTGAGGCTGAACAGTGTGGAGAGAAGATCGTATCTTTATTCTGTTGTAGATGAAAACACAAAAAGCAGAAAAATCTAACCAGCTCTCAAACAGGAGCTGGCTTATAACCTTCAAGTACAAAAACTAGGTCTTAAAGCAGAGTTGTTTGTGACCAACACATCACCAGTATATGTTCAGGAGGCGAGGAAATGGATATTGTTCTTAATAAAAGCCACGGTGGAAAGTTGGGATTGAAAATGTGAAAAAAATAAAAATAAAAGGATAGGGATAGGAATCGAGAACCAGCGCTTGTTTAGAACTGGTTCCAAATGGTTCAATCCATCGACATCATTTACATATTATCTTAGCCACTCTACGCGAACGGGTACAGAGAAAGAGAAAAAAACATGGCGGATGGTACGAAAAGTAGGCAGAAACAAGCTAAAGCGTGGCTCATTTTTACTAAGAAAGACGACAACAGTGCAACGTTTATCGAGCAGTGATAACATGCAAAGGTGGAAACACCAGCAACATACTTAAACATTTGTCAATGGGGCACAAAATCAAATCTAAGAAGTCACATGTATTTATTGCTCTCCGCCAGTGTTATGTCAATGCACCTCCTGCATCCCATCCACTTATTAGCTTCTTACAGTGGAAGAGAATTTGGTCATATTTTTAAAAAAAAACACGAGTATTGGATCATGACAACATGTCAAATGGAGCAGCAAACTTTCGTTCTGTTTTTATGTTTCTCGAAAATGCACACATAGAGGTGTACTTGGGTGTATAAGCTGTCACGGTAGAGAACATATATTTTCGCGACAGCAAATATTCAGAATCAGAGGGCTATTGTTTTCGGCTTATCTGAATAGCCTGAATGAAATCATTAAAGGCACAGGCTTTTGAATCCACCCAATGTTAAGGAAAACTTGCAGTATTTCGCCTTGTTATGTACTTTCAACCGCGCTCCCGTCAGGCGTGCATTCTACTGCACAACACCTGTTAACAACACCGGTTTGTCAGCCGCTGCAGCTCCGTCTCAGCATGGCATGGAAGGTACGTATGTTAGGGTGACCATACGTCTTTTTTTACCCATGTCCTCTTTGGGGGGCTGTCCGGGGGAGTTTATAAAATCCTTCAAATGTCCGGAACGCGTATTCATTCATTATAAAACAGCCTCTCTGATCACTTCACTTCGCCACTGACGCAGCATGCACTTCTGTCTTTGGAAATTCAGAATATGTGTTTAACTGAGTTAGACGCACATATGAAACACTCGACCTTGACGAAAAACCCTCTAAATTTCGCACACGAGTCCGCACAGCCTAGTGTCCTCTTTTTGGGGATTCAGAATATGGTCACCCTAACGTATGTCCATAAGCACAATGCCAGAAATGCTATACAAATAGCATTTTTGTTTGATTATTTTTAGACTCTTACTAAAGGTGGCATACATCTGTTTCTCTTATCAGAGACTTAATAAAATTTTGAGTTAATGGTGAAAACCTATAGTCTACTTTATTTTTTTTAATGAAAGAAAGGCATTGATAAGGGAATCGTTAAAGAATTGAATCGATAAACAGAATCGATAATGGCACCGATATTGATAAAATCTTATCAATTCCCATCCTTATAAAAGGGAATCTATTCTCTCCTACAGAAAGCCTTTTCACTCTCTTCTTCAGATCTTCCTTTAAATGTCCAGAGTTTGTTGTTTCAGCTCAGCAGCCTTTTCCTCTGTCACTTTGGTTCACTTCCTGTATTCTGTTGCATGCTCAGATGTCGTATCAAATTGATCACAGCTCCATTGCTATCGCCTTGTGAACTGACTGTACATTGTGAATGGTTGTAGGATATTTCACTGTCTAGTCTAAATTATTTCTACGCTGCTGAGAGTTTTGCCAAACGGTTGCTAGTGCTAAAGTCACAGACTGTCCTGTGTTTTTCTTTTCTCCTTTTTCCCTGAAGAGGTAACACAGGCTGCTATAGAGCAGGTGTTGTGACTGTAACCTGGCAGGTTTTAAGTGAAAGCTGTGCTGGAGTGCCTCATTGATACCCGTTATTTTTATCCTATAGAACTGGTAAACAAACCTCAAATGCTCTCTCACACTAATGAGCCTGGTTCTGCACTAACTGTGCTCAGTGATGGCAGACATGAAAGATAAGGTGAGATGATCAGCTCAAAGTGCTGATCACCGATTGACTAAGAAAAAGCCAAGATCAGCCCAAACCAGATAGTTGAGGTCAGGATCAGGATATTCCTAGAATTCATTCAGAATTAAAATGTCTTACAACCCATGAGTAGAAAATCATTCTTCAGGTCTGGATACACTGAATAAAGACTGTTTTCTCAACTTTTCAAGGACCACCTGAGGACCAAAGAAAAGGAGGGAAGAATAGGGGAGGCCTAACCTACTGTCCTTTTGAATCATGTCAGAAATCAACATTGATTATAGATAGGAATGCACCAAAACGAAAATACTTGCTTGAAACCCAAAACCAAAAATGCGAAAAGCAAGGTCTAAACACCGAAAGAAATTATTATGCCAATTATTAGTCCCATTGCATTTAAGGCAATGACTGTGTACTAACCTCACTGAAATAAAGGCCTTTGCAATTGCATTAATTCATATTAAATTAATATTAATTCTTGCAATTATAAAGTGAGTTTTTGAGTTAGTGTGTTGCTGCATGTTCTGTGTTGTTTACACCTTTAGATGGCATGAGCAAGTTAGGGGCAAAAACAACTGAAAAGTTCTAAGAGAAGAAGTGTTGGGAGCGGTAGAGATGCAGCTAGAGGAAGAAGGAGTGTCACTGTGTTTTGCAGAGAGTGGGAGCTCAGTTGCTTTTTAATGTTGATTTCTGTTGAGTAAATGAATGAAGGCGAGAAGAAGTTTAACTTCCCCCAGCATCCACTTGTGTACTAGGCTGCAAATGCCACAGACAGAGTAGGCGTGCCTTTGTGCCACGTTCTTCTATTATTCAGAATGGCGATTGAGATGTTTGGACTTCAGGTGATAAATAAAACCTGATCTTAAGAAACTCTTTGTGGATGCACCTTCTCTTCCAGCATTACATGCTATGCTAATCACTATCTGTGGATCTCAGATACATTCAAATACGTCCACACTGCAGACATGATGACTCTTATCCAGACAAGCACATGCTGGCTGCAGTTTCTACTTCCGCCATCACAACATCCGGCCATATTGTTTTGGTGATAAATGTCTTTTGGTCGAAAACCGAAAATGCACTTTTGGGCGATTTTCAGACGTCAAATTTTCGGTGCATCCCTAATTCTAAATGAAACTCTTACAACATATTTTACTCCTTTCTTTGGGTTTTATTAACAACCCTATGTTTGAAGAGGAAGAAAGTGAAACAACCATCAGGACTTTCGACTCTCTCATATCAAAAGAGACAAACTGTCCACCTCCAATTACTGTAACTGACACTATGTCAAAGTGTCAGCAGTGTGTCTTCTTAGTCCTGAAGACAGGTCCAGTGTGAACTTGGCTCACAGCACTTTGCATTTCACAGTTTGACAGGTTGCAAGGCATATCATCTCAAAACAGTGAGAATGCATGGCTTTGTTTGTTATTTTTTTTTCCCTTAGGTTGTCTGAGGTCAGATGGTTCAGTGTTTAACTACTGGACACATATATAAATGTGAATATTGCAATTGGTTTAGTCTAATAATAGGTTGACTTAAAGTTTGACTGCATAGGACAAAAACCCCTTTTTGTCTTTGTAACTTGATTACATAATGGCTCATGCATCTTTGGAAAGCTGTGATGTTTTGCTGGAATTTGGCACTCACCGTATTTCCTTTGGTAGTGTTTTATAAAACGCTTACAAAACTACTGAGGTGAGCTCTTCTAAATTATGGTTAGGTTAATCTCAGACAACATAAAACAACCTGCCAAATGAGTGAAGAGTAAGTGTAAATTCAGGCAGCCAAGTTTTCTTTGGTAGATTATGTCCTATTCATGATTAAAAAGTTGTATTTCATTAAAAAAATCAAACATAACATACTACAATGAGTGTTTTTATAATTATCTACAAAAATTAAGAACCTTGACAGCATACATTGAGGTGTGAAATATGTTGAGGGGATTCCTTGGTAGTACTATGATGAGTTACACGCGGATCAACTTGCTGCGGCTCTCTCATCCTCAGAGCTGCTGGGAGACCAGACTCTACCATGCCAGGCCGGGCTGTATCCCCTAAGGCTGTTGACACTGCTCCAACAGACCAGATAAAAAGGACCCAGCTGAGACGACCAGACACTGGCAGCCTTTCAACACAGCTGAGCAAGGCTGACACACACAGTTGCACTCAAACACACACACACAGACACAGTTACGCCCCCTCCTCTTCACCCTTCCCATTCATTCAGTCGGCTGCTTTCTGACACACTCCACACATCGGCAGGCAGGACAGTTGCCAACTATCATCTCAGCGCTCTGCTGCCAGGCCAGACTATTCAGCTGAGCTGCCCTCACTCCTTCATCCTCATCACACCCGCCCTCTGTCATGCTAACTGATTAAGTGGTTTACAATACCTGTCATCCCCCAAGTGACTGACAGGGAGAGCAGCCATCCAATAGGCTGAAGAGAGCAGGTGGGAGTGTTCATGGGTACACAGTCACAAAGGGGCAGGGGGTTAGTGACAGCAGCCTCTAACCCGCACAAAGTGCTAAAAAAGGTTTACAACCAGCGATTACAGGACAATAGCAGGAACCACACAAAGGCCCAGCGCTTACTTTCTATGCAAGTGTTGATGACATCATAATAGCAGGAGACTGGCAATCCTCCGCACACACACACACACACACACACACACACACACACACACACACACACACACACACACACACACACACACACACACACACACACACACACACACACACACACACACTTCCCTTGCAAATACTACCAGTCAGTCTGTCGGAAATGTCAAAATCAGCTTTGAATCTTTCTTGTGGTTAAGGCTCGTGTGTGTGTGTCTGCATCTCCATCGGAGACTGAGTGACTGCACGAATTCACTATCTCTTCTCAGCACTAGCAGCATCTGTCTGTGTGTTGTGGTTACTTTTGGCTTTAGTGTCTTGGCTCTCATACATAATACATGGCTTCCTTCTTACTTCCTGTGAAACCACACTGGTGGCAAAGCTTGGGTATGAACAGCCAAAGGCCGCAAGAGCTCCTGAAAGCAAACCCTTGTTTAAGCGTCTCAAGACTAATCTTAACCACCACCAAACAGTGGTGTCAATGATATCCTCTTACAAAGTGAAGAAAGAATCATCAAATGTGGAGTGCACAGTTCATCTCTAAGGAATCTGAGAATTAAGTAGGAATGAGAAAAGGTTGCAAGATAAACTTAATGAAAGACGAACAGTTTAAGATACAGAAGACATGCAAAAAGAAGAAACGTGCAGCATTGGAGTCTGCATTACTCCGCTGATGAAGATATTCAAGTTTTTTTTTGTCAGTGTAGCATTTAGACAGTGCGTTGTTTAAATGAGTGCAGCATTTTACTTTAGAGTAGCAATGGGCATGGTTAATCGATGATCGATTAATTGATTGTTAAGAATTACATCGATCGCACAAAATTTCGATCAATCTAACATTATTGAAAAAGGGCTGACGGCATGCATCCTTCCTCCAGCTGCTTCCCAGCAAAGATCAACACCTGCTGATCGGGAGAGATACCCTCTTTGACCAGTCAGTGTGTGTGTGTGTGTGTTAAAGAAAGCTAACTATCACAGTGTGGAGGGATTTTGCCATTTTACAAGGGGTGTGAGGTCGGGAAAAAAAACATGCGGAGAGCAGGACAAAGTGTGGTTTGGGACCATTTCAAGCGGAAAAATGACAAGGTTTACCACAAACACTGTGATACCGTGTACAAGATAAACTCAACAACAACTCCAATGATGTAGCACTTGAACCACATACATCCGACTGAGGTTAATCAATCCTCCAAGTGCTCTCAGTCTCAACCTACTATCAGCTCCTTGCTAGGGATCTATAGGGTGACCAGACATCCTCAGTTTCAGAGGACAGTCCCCGTTTTGGATGACCTGTCCTTGGCCAAAAATGTCCCTGATTTTAGCATTTCATGAATGAGAAGCCGGGCAGGTAGGAAGCAGGAGTGAGCATGTAGTGTACAATCCTGAACAACAGTTGGGTAGTTGGGTGGGAAGGTGGGGGTGAGTGGGTAATTTCAATGAGGAAAAACATGTTTTTTATGTATTTTCTACCACTCAAATTAAAAAAATAATCAAATCGACGATTGATCATGAATTTATGATTAATCGATCAAAGGACTTTCTTAAAAGGCCCATCCCTATTTTAAAGGGTTTTTTTTTATCTTAAAGAAAGGGCTTATTTTGGACATCAGCCTTTTGATCGGTTAACCAGATATTTTAAACTCAATTGTAACTGGTAAATCACTATAGATCTACAGCTTTGAACTCCTGCTTTGGCCGTATCATGTTTCTTGCCTTTGAATCCATCAGGCCTATAGTTTGGCCTCGAGACTAGCAAGTTAATTATTGAAAATCAGCCTTTTTCACGTCAAGTTGATGCAATAGATACAGTGATTTCCATTTGTTGTCAACAAGACTTGTTAAGATGAGTCAATCATGTACATGATGAGTGTGTGTTCATAGAAGGCAAGTGTTAAATGTGGTGGTTATTTGGTGAAATAAAGCACATTAGTTAGCAGCAAAGAGACACCTGTAGATTTGCAAATCGGTTTGAAGAGTCAGTGCTGGAGTGGACAGTAAGCAGGTATCAGTCAATACAGTCACCTTTTGTCAAAAACTAAAACTCCACGTTGTCTTAGTCTGACTAAAACTGACTAAAATTACATCAAATTGAGATGCAAAGCTACAAAGATATTAGTGTCTGATATTATGGGTATGGAAGTGTTAAAAAGATTTTTCAAGTTCATTAAATGCAAATGATTCTCATGTTGCCAAAGCAACTCAAAATCACATTGAAAAATGGTTGTGGGACTCACCTTGTTCATGTTTCCTGCTTGCTGGGCTGCACTCAGGTTTGCATGAGTCCCCATCTGCTGTCCTCCCTGGGTAAGTGTCTCTGCCAATGCACTCCCTGCTCCTCCAGGTCCTGGAGCAGCACCTTGCATTGTCTGCCCCTGGTACTGCATGCCTGCCACTCCTGCTCCTCGTCCCCGTCCAGCATCAGGTCCAAGACCACCATTCATCACCTGCCCAGGTTGTGGCTGTCCCCCTTGGGCCATGAGTGCAGCATGGCCCTGATTATTGTTTATCATGGCCTGGTTAAAGCCTGTTGTGTTCAGGCCCATTGTAGCAGTATTATTGTTGTTGTTCTGTCCTGCTACTCCTGTTGGTGTTCCTGCTTTCTGGGCCTGAGGGGACGGGTGGTTGTTGGGAGAGCCCTGGCCAAGGGGGCTCTTTCCCAATGGTGTACCAAGCTGAGGTCCCATCCCACCTGGCTGAGGACTTGCCGAGTTAAGCCCTGTGCCAGTGATGCTGGGGGTGCTACCTGCTCGAAGGAGCTCTGAAAGCTGCTTGTGTTTGGCGGCTGCATCTGGGACGACAGGGCCACCACCACCAAGTCCCACAGGGGTGCCTGCTGGCCCACCAGCTCCAGGTGCTGCTCCACCATTTGAAGGCATTCCACCCATCAGGCTAAGATCTCCTCCATTGGGGATCAACTCATCTGGAAGGTCGTTCTCCAAGTCATCCCATGATAGTGACCCCAGGTCTAAAGCAAAAAGAGAAGAAAACAGTGATTAATTGAGCTGCTTTGAGAGTTTGAAGAGGTTCACGTGTGCTGCTTGGATTGCCTTTGATGAGCGTACACAGATTAACTTCAAACTGCCAATAACAAACACCCTCCTGGATCTACATTACCTCACATTAAGCAGTCAGCGTTGGGTACTGATATATTATTCATGTACTCCGGGCAAATCAACTTATGGTTTGGATAAAAAAGAAAACAGCTTGTTCTACTGTTCCCTGACTGCAGCCTTTCTTACACAAAAATGGTGAAGTGATTCTAAATCCGTGGATGTTTATGAGCCAACATGCTGCACTGTGTGTGAAGCTGCAACGTGCACGCTCATTCCGTACCATTAGACAGAAACAAGACGCAGCACACTAATAAGAGCATCGCTACTGGCTGACAAACACACTGACAAACACAGTGTGACAAGAGAGAGAATCCAGCAGCACTCACAGTTCCTGCTGGGAGGTGGAGGAATATTTATGCTCACACCTCTGGATGGTGTGACAACGCTGAGAGCCACGGGAGCCATGATTTGTTTGAGATAAAGTGACTGAGACAGCAAGAAAAATGAGAGGTCTGTGTGTGCAATACAGGCTATCCTCTCCAAAGAATACCACCGCTTACTTTTCTTTTGTTCTGAACTTTTATGAGTTAAACTGAAAAGTTAATTAGGTAGTTTAATGTCAGTGAGCTCTGCAGCCATTCAGCCAACTCAGGGCATTCACACTTTGATGAGTTTATGAAACAGGCAGTGGTGATGTGTCGTGTGTCCACACTACCAGTAAGACCACCAGGAAATCCCCTTTTAGCTGAATACAATCATGAAGCAGCTAAGAAGGTGAAGTTTTTTTGACATCCTCTCAAAGTTGGATTACAAGATGTTACGTCTCAGCTGTCTGTGAGCTCCATCATCTTATGCCTTGCTGTTATTTTCCCTGAATGTGTGCAAAGCTTGGTTGTATGTTAGTTCATGATATGTTCTGCAGTCTGTTGACAGCCACTTCTCCCATTCATGCCCAGAAATGCAACAGTGTGCCGGGGGAGGAAAGTGACCCTAAGGGCAGGTGATCCAGAATGATAAGGTAACTTCTGGTCTATACTCAAGGTGGGAGAAAAAAAATTGATACAGCATAGTATTGCGATATTTTGTCTAGTGATTTATCATATTGTCTCATTTACCAAGAATCGATTTTTCAAATTAATTGTTAATATGAAATCAAGTCTAAGACAATGGAAAAATAAAATCAAATGTTTGTCCAGTGAGGTTGGCAGAGGTGACATCATAGAGCAGGAGAAAGTTAGTACAACAAAAATATATAAGGTTTGCAAGATGTGCTACATGAAAATAAAATACTGTGTAAATAAGACAAACATAAAGGAAAGACAAATGTTGGATTAGCTTAACAGTTGAAAAAAATGAATAAATTGCAATATATTGTATCGCAATACTCACTGTATTGCAAAATCTTAAAAATCCCATTCATGTCATATTGTGGCGCAAGAATCGTGTTAATATCGTATCATGGTCAAAGTATTGTGATAATATAGTATTGTGGCCAGAGAATCGCGATAATATGGTATCGTGGCTCAAGTATCATGATAGTATCATGTGGTGGCCCAAGTATCGTGATAGTATCGTGTGGTGGCCCAAGTATCGCGATAATACAGTATCTTGGAGCCACCAGTGATTCCCACCCCTTTACCTAGTCATTTACAGCATTCATTCTGCATCATGATGTTTCGTTGCAAAAATGTGTTTTCAGTTTGTGCAGTATTTTCCCAGGTTAGGAGAGCCAAAATGGCAGAAATTCTATATTTTGAAGACTAAAATTAAAGCCCTAAAGTTAAAAAGGTTTTTTTTCACTCTTCAGTGAGTGAGGGATGTTAAAGAGTTCAGTTCACCAGTGGTCTAGTCGTCTAACAACCACTTCTTGCTGCCAATTTCCTTAAATATGATGGTTAACAGACAGGTGTGTCAGTTAAATGTTGTATATTTCTGCTATTGTATTGTTATTACTATCATTGTTAAGCATTATTTTATGTTGTTAACATTATATCAGATCATAAGCTCTATACCCTTCTTTTCATTTTCCTCTGCTGACTATCCATGCACACGACTTTCCAGAATCCATTTTCCGTTTTCTCACATCCACAAAAGGCACATAACTTACAGATCCTACATCCTCCTACATGCACAAGCAAAAACCAACCATACCAACACACTACACATACTATGAACATTATTTTTGTGACAACTTAAGTGTCTTATTGACTATTCTGTTTGTCCATGTTATTGTCTTCACAGTTTTGCTCATTGTCTTGCACTTCAAAAACAACTGTCCTTCTGCTAAAACGGTCATGCGCCCTTGTTCTCATCATTCTTTGCAGGTCATACAATGTTTGGTGACAGAAGTGGGCACACACTATATGTAGCCTGTTGTACTTCATGCACCAGTTTGTGATCTGCAAACATGCAGACACTGATTTTCTGTTTGTACTGTGTGATAGGATACTTGATAGATCTGTTATATAACACTGACCAAAATTTATCTTGTGAAATGATGTTTTAATCATGATTCACCAATGACGTTGCTCCTAAGTCCTGCCCTGTCATTTCACCAGAACTTCTTTGATTACATTTCCCTTACAGTAACCTGAAACAATCTGTAATCACGCAACCTCTTAAAGTGCTTAAAGGGCAGAGCTCCAAGCAGTGAAAGGCATACTCAAAGTGATATTGTCTTCCTTCACAAATTGTCTAACATGTCTGTAACAAGCTATGATCTTGATTCTTATTCAGCTGATGTCGTTCTTAACAAAGGGGCAGCTGTGGTAAAGGAAGTCTCCCAATTGGAGGGTTGGGGTTGAATCCCAGGTCCCACTGTTTGTCTCCCACAAACCGTCCTTGGGCAAGACACTTGACTCCATTTACACTCACTGGTTGCATCCTTTGGTAGGTGATTTATTGATACTGATGGGTGCTTTACATAGCAGCCTCTGCCATCAGTGTGGGAATATGGTGTGAATGGGTGGATGTGTCATGTGATGTAAAAGAGCTTTGAATAGTCAGAAGACAGGAGGAAGATTAAGTCCATTTACCACTTATAATGAAGTGGTAAATAAGTGTATGATACGATTAGCTGGTGAAACACCAAAAGACAAGTGACTAAAAGAAAAGAAGCTAGCAAAGCCTAGATTGAAGTAGCAAGTAGTGGCATGGCCGACTAGGACAGCAGTGTACCACAGATGCAAAGCTAGAGGTAGATGTGGCTCAGGTATGGCACCTTATCTGGGAAATACTGTACATTCACACTGAATCTATAAAAAGAACATAGTCTGTATGCAACAGGCTGGGAGAGGACACATTAGGGCAGACAGAGTGGGGCCATCTTCCTCTCCCATCTGGCGTCTGCGACCACTGGATGTCTTCATTGAGATTCAGTCAGTCCCCTGCCTTTAATGAGAGCGCTTGGCCTGCGCTCTTCCCTGAGTAAACACAGCCTCCTCAATTGGCCATGCTGGCCTGCTGTCTGTCCCTGGCATCAGGCAAGCAGGTGCTCCATGCAGAGAGAGCTTGTTCCGAGCTGAAGGGACCATCCGTCTTTGCCTCCCTTGCTCCTCCTCTCTAACCAACAGCAGCATTGATGCTCTCAGAGTCGAGGCAGCATTCAAGTCAACTGCATGTGCTCAGGCCTCACTCTATATTCATTTTTTCACACACACACACACACACACACACACACACACACACACACACACACACACACACACACACACACACACACACACACTATGTCATCTTGCCCCTAGGGTATCTGGCAAGAGATCAAAAATGCAAAGCAATGTTATGGTTAGGTAGCGCAACATGCAGTCTAGGGAGCCCCTACTAAAAGAGGGGGGATGGGGGGATGGGGGACTGGGCGTACTACTCTGTACTACTCTCTACTATGCTGTAGCTACACCAGTTTCAGGTCCTGCCACAGTATCTGCTTGTGTTTGCACAGGAATCTAAATGTGTTGTCTTGGAGTTGAAGCTGATTAATGTTAATGTCAGGTATTTTATTGATTATTGTAAATGTTTGCCTTTCCTGCTTGGAGCAATAAAGAAGGCACTTATTTGGCCTCGTCCCTAGGACTAAGCCAAGTTTATGCTTCAACGTCAAACCTACACTGTAGCCTATGCATAGGTCCACACGGCTTGTACCCTATGCATAGGCTTGTAGGCATAGTCACAGCCCACCTCCACGAAAATGAAACTATGCAGACCACGACCACGCTGTCCTTACTATCCGTTTAGTAAATAATATTCGTTTATTCTATTTAAAAAAAAAAAAGGGGGGGGGGGGGGGGGGAGCAAAATTACGTTTTTACTGTCATGTCTTAATAAAAGTGTGCATTGAACAAGATAAAATGTGTGGATCATTTGCGTGCGACTCTTTCCGCCTGGCTCGCAGCGCTGGCCTGCAGCATGCATGGCATCATGGGTTAACTTCCTTAGAGTGAATCAACACATGCAATCAGCCAGAGCGATGTCGGTGAGAAAAAAGAGCAAAGTTTGTTGAACGTTGAACGTGATGTTGTCTGACTGACAACACATACACACGCAGACCACCACAGCAAAAAAAAAAAAAAATTCTAGAGTACTCTGAAGCAAGACCAGACACTAGAGACATGGCAGGCATGGATATCGCACTGCCTACCAATGTTTCAGTAGAGTTCTGCAGACCGACACAGACACTCTTGTACAGAAGTGAGTGCTCACAACCACAAGGGACCTACATGTGAGCATAGACCAGGTTCAAGTCTACTGGGGTTAAAAACCTGAACACTGTATAAATGTAATTTTTGTAAGCTAGATAATATGTAAATGTATTGCAGCTGTCCACTTCTGTCTCATAAATACATGCATTAGAAAAAAGACAGTAGAAGGCTAATGCTTTGATATCCATCCTGGCGGAAGGAGGATAAATGGGACAGTTATTCCACAGTAGGAGAATTTACACTCTTCCATAAGTTCATCAGGATGAAGTCTAAAGACTTTTACACAAATACACCAACAGGACGACTTTGCAGCTTATGCTAGCATTGTCGATGGACATAAACATAAAATGAACAGTGAAAATGAATGCCCTCCCACACAGCTGGATGAAACCCTGCACATGATAATTTGACGTATATATTTCTCTGTTTTTATCAAAAAGTGTTAGTCAGTATGATTGAACAATTAAGTAGGAGGCTCTGGGGGTCTCCCACAGATCATTCTTAGCAATTCCTTTCCTATTACTGTGAGATTATTCAATCACACAGTAATATTTGCCTTTCTGCACTTTTTTTATAATAATGACGCAGTGTTTCAACCAAGCTCGATCTGATCTATCACGATAACTGCAAAAATGAAATGCTGCTGTATAAACAAGCCAACCACAGAGTATGATTGGTGTGGCGTCACCAACTTGTGTTTCCGTCTACTCCTTTGAGAGCATTCCAGCTTACAGTCAATTGAAGACTAAAAACCCAAGATGCCAGATTCAACTCTTGAAGTGACAGACATCAACACTGTACAGACGCTGCCTCACAATATCTGGATGTAGAGATGGTGATGTCTGTTGAGGTGGAGACACTAAAATCCAGTCGGTGCTTCAGAAATTTGACAAAGATCCATGGATTGAATCTACGAAGACTGTTAATTTTGCTGAAGTTGTCCACGATCTATGAGGGCAGGATTTGCATTTTTCTTCTTTCTTAGTTGAGAAACCTCAGCGTAAATGCTGCGAGCGATGGGAATTCAGGATCTTTTGTAAGGATTCAGATCATTTAGATCTACAAGAACCTAACTCTTCTGCTACCAAACAGCTCTAAGAAGCCAGTTTCTAAAGCAAAGTCTACACTGGTTACTCCCCACCTCAGTGTAGAAGATACTGTCTGCAGTCACAGAGCTAATTTCCTGCAATAACATTTAACACGAATCCATGGCTAAAGTTAATAAGAAGTGGCACCAATAATTAACCATTTACAGACAAAGCAGTGCAAAAATACCATAGACAAGTGTACTGAGCCACCCTGGGGCACCCTCTTCCTCTACTTCTTGCCTTCAGAGCAAGTTGGCATTGACAGTCTTTTCTCAGTGCAAAAAAATACAGAGTTTCATTCAGTCTTTTGAGTCAGTGTTCTTTGTGTTTTACTGATGGTAGATATCAGTTATTAGGAAAGTTAAGCTGATCAGAACTTGTGTCCATTATTGGAAGTCTGCGCACTTCAGTGGGGTTACCTTGATTTTAATCATTTGCCCCTTGGCCTTTGAACAGTTGAACAGTTACTAAAACTATTCATGGGATAATTAATAATTGGCCCTTCATTATTAAAAAAAGAAATGAGGATACATCGACAGGGATGAAATATATGGCTGAATTGCTGAATTGAACAGCCATACTGGAAATGTTGTGACTGGAAGGAATACGTTGTACCAACTGGATCAGTCGCTGCATGGTCTCAACACTTTGATTCTTCTTCAGGGGTTTACATGCAATTTTCTGCAAAGTCTTCAGCATTTTGCTCTCTTGCCTACTTTCCTATCTCAGACATGTTTCCTACAACTCCTTTCCCCTTCTGCCCTCTCACCCGATTATCCCACTCACTTCACTGACTGGTAGTCCCACTGCTCTCTCCTTTTCTCTGTTGTTATATTCCCTGTGGCTCCCGGCTGGGAGCTAGTGGCTATAAATACAAGCAAAGCAGCTCGAGCTCGTGGTCCAGACCAGGGACGTCTGTCATGTTACCCAAAGGCTGAGTGTCTGGACTTAGGGGGACAGGTGCAGCATGGCTGCCTGCCTTTCATATGGCTGTTTAGTAACACAGCAGGGAGAAATACACCACTTAGTGCTTAGCAGAGTATGTACATAGAGAAACTATGACAAACCACAAATGTAGTGGATTTAATGGTGGTCCAATGTGTTATTAGCCTAATTCTCCCATCTGTTTGTCTCTCTCTCACATACACACAAAAAGGTAAAGCCTTTTTCCTTCATTCTACACATATGCAATCGGCTAAATGGGAAGAAAGGGAAAAAAGATTTTTTTTTTTCTTTAAAGGGCTGAGTATCAGGGCCACATTAAGCAAAAAAAGTCAACACTTAGAGATTAAAGTTTTTAACTTATGAGAATAAAGTCATTAATAACAAGAAAAAATTCATAATAGTCATTTTCATTCTCATTCTTCATTCATTTTCATAAATAATGACTTGATTCTCGTGAATTATGACTTTATGATTTTTTTCTCTTAAATAACTTTATTACAATTTTATTCTCATAAAAAAAAGTCACATAACTAATGATTTCATTATAACTCGATTCTCTTTAGTAATTACTTTATTTTCATAAATTAACGACTTTAATCTCAAAGGGGTTTTTTTTGTTTTCCTTAATGTGGCCCTAATACTCTGTTGTATTTTTAAAATACACTGCATTATAAAAAACTGAGGAACATGGGGAAGACACAAACTTACAAGCAACATTGAAAACATAAAAAAATGAATTTACTCGACGACTATAGAAACTGCTGAAAATGATTAGGCTGTTATGATAGGAGGGGTGGACGGTACAATGCCATTTAGCTTCACAATGTGCCCACCACTTTCCTTTTTTCTGAGCTTTTCTGTGCCTTCAGGGAGAAGCAGAAGTCGCTTCATTAGCAGCCGCGTCATGAGCTAGCTGTCTGCTTACTATGCATCACAGTTGCCATTTGCACCATGTAATGCGGCGGTCAGAATACACAATCTGGTCACTGTGTCAGATTCAGCCATCACAGAGCCATAAAACTAAGCTGTGACTTAACCAACAGACATGACAGACTACATGACCGTTCATGGCCAGTCATCATGACTGGCAAGAGGACACAGAAGCAGCTATTCTCCAGGTTGCTACAGCACGTCTATTTCTCCAGAAGGTTTCTTCTTTGCAGTCTGTCATGGTCGTCTCTTTACAACACATTACAAAGGCAGGGATTTTGTTGTGACTGCTTGATAAACTTTTACTTTGTTTTATAGTTTCATCTTGCAGTACTGACTTCCTCATTCCTTTCTTGCCTCACCATTTGGTTTGTTATGCTTCTAACTCCAGCACATGCAGAGCGCTCTGTGCTCTCATTGGTCAATATGACTGAGGTAAATTTACAAATTGCACAGAGAGGAATCAAACTGTTTTTACTCTTCACACAAACCAGAACTTGATTAAATGCTATGGGTCAACACAACATTGACTTAATATGTACAACAAACAGAAAAATAAAACTTTCTTTGTGAAAAACATAGACCCTGAAGTACATATTCAGCAGTATTACACTTTCAATTATCTATTTGTAGATAAAGGTGAAATACAGCCAAACACATTCCTTAATTATACTGCTTGTAGAATTTAATTGCTATTTGAAAAAGCTCATCACTCTCTTGAAACAAAACTGGTGGGTATTTAAACAATTAGACACATTATATGTCATGTGAATCACAATATCATCAGCACTATATTGTTACCAGCTGATTGAAGCTTCAAGAGTTAGTTAACAGAATCAACAGAATTGAAAGTTTCTGCTAATATTTATGGTAGATAACGTTGTGCAACAATTACACACACACGACAGCTCATGCTCACAAGACCAAGCTTCGAGATATTAACTATCAAGTTTTTCGAAGAACTATCACCCTGAACAACACCAACAAGTTGGAAAAAAAACAAAAAACAAATATAAAGCATCTGTGCCAGTGTTGACCTGTCAGCAGCCTTGACTTCAGTCATTCAGCTAAGAAGTAATGCAGTGAACTACCAGAGGTGAGGGATCTTCATGGAAAGTCACTGATACACTGCTCTTGAAAACCAGCCTTAAGGTCCTTACACACCGGGGCCGACACGAATATAGAACGCGAATTTACGAAATATTCGGAGGTGAATTTTGACGGGCCTGACTATACACATCAAGCCCGATGCGATTTTACGACTTTCCAGGGGGAAAAGATGCACCGAGGAAAGTCCCGCCTCCTTTGCCTCTGACTGGCTAGAAAAGCTGTAAAAGTCATCACACACTCAAGCCAATCGGTCAGCACATAGCCAATCAGAGGCGATAAGATAAGCACATGGGACTATGGTAACAACCGTTAGCTACATTAGCACAGATGAAAGTTAAAACAGAGGCGTTTAGCAAACTGTCAAAGCACACAAACCATCGTCATGTGAGAGATTGGATGCTATGTTGTCCTTCAGGTCGTTATCTTTGTAATGTTTGTGTCTTTTATCATAAAGATCCCTGTTCTCAGACACGTAAATAATCAGCCGATCGGCAATGTTGGATATACCTGTGAATCAGACGTCGCAACAACATTTGATTGGTCAGAAGTGGACACAGTATGCGAAACGCAAAAATTTCGACCATGATCCGAAAAAATAAATGCCGCAACATTGCAGGCAGGAAAACGTCGCTGATGTGAACGCTTGTATTGACAGGATACGGGTTAAAAAAAAATATTGACGTCCGAAACAATCGCACGACAAAAACGGTCCCGGTGTGAAAGGACCTTGCGTGTCAGCATGGTGGAAGATGTTAGCTTCCACTGGCCATGATGGACTTGGATCTGTGTCACTATTGGTATTTGCCAAAATGAGTCAAAATATTGGCAAATCAGACATTGGAAAAAAAACCCAGTTGAGTGCATCTCTACATGAAATATAAAAAATGAAATGCAGCACCTTATATTTGTGGGAGTATCACAATTCCTTTGATCTCCTATCACATTTGATTTTTGATCGTCATTTCTTGCCTGAGAATAGATCCATGTAGGACGACATGCTGACATTTGAAATTGATTAGTCTGTACTATTTAAGGAAACTTTTCATGAATATATTTTAAAGAACACTGCAGAGAACACATCACATTTGCAGGCAGTTTACGTGGTCTAACATTAAGATCAAGGAGAATTTTTTTAAATATGAACATGATGTAAGCGTGTGCTATTAATATGCACAACACTGACATTGACTGAACTACAGCAGAAAGAGCTTGTTCTGTTTGGATGACATGAAGTAGGCCTTGTGAAATGTTTATTTTCAATTACTACATGGTGGATGGGGAGCAGAACAGGTCGCTGAATGTTTACAAAAAATACACCTGGGATATCATTTTTCATTGGGCCATGTAAACAACGCATTGGGATAGCAGGAAAACAGTAGAATGGGGATAATCATCAATCCTGCGTTGATAGTTTTGATTAAGAATCATAACCATTACCCTCAGTCATTTAAAGACAATCAGGCAGTGTGTTCTTTTACTTAACAGCTGCCTGGGCTTTGCATTAACTCATATAAAACAAAAGCCTCTTGCAAACAATGAGGATGGGAAATTAAAGAATTTTGTAACAACATAGCAACCAATAAATGAAACGCTCTGGCAAAAATCTAAGATAAATCTGTTATCAGTGGCTGCCCTGTAACATGTCTGTCAAATCAAAAATTAAATAATCGGATGACTCACCTGTCAACCTGTGTGCACTCTGCCATTGTCTGAGTCTACTCATGCTGCAATCGCTGAAATTGCCTGCTCCAGCTTCAACACAACCCCATTGGCACTTGCAGTATCTCTTTTTTTTTTTTGATGATAAAGGATCAAAAGAGGGCCAGGACCCTGCAGGGTGACACATGGCGTGAACACAGAGAAGGGGCGAGTGTTTGCTCTCTGCCACTGTAGTAAAAAGGACCCTCCCAAAACACAAACAAAAGTTGATAGCATGAAAACATCACAAGTCCATGGTCGCTGCAGGCACATATTCTTTATGCAAACACTCCCCGTGGCTTACTTTAACTCTGCAATGAGACGTGCAATTCAGACTCGACTCTGCTGCAGCACAAGGCAAAGGCCAAATGTCAGGCCAGAGACGTGCTGCTCACAAAGCTACAGGCATGACAGTCATCAAAAGAGTGAAAGCCAACTCTTTGTGCGCAGTAATTTACAGCTGATGAAGTATTGCTCAGTGATGTCCCATGGAGTCTGTTAGGTCCCAGTTGTAGCTGGCAAAAGCTTTCGAGTAAGCGGGTCAGGTCTAATGATTGATCACTGCAGACATGTGGGGCCTCTGCTATGTGTGTTGTGTGATTCATTAACGTTGTGACAGCTGCTTCGTTGAAAGGCTGCCCAACTTGATTTTTTCTATCCTTTGTTGCAGGCTTTTAAATTCTTCATTTGAGTTCCATTTTCACTAAATTACACATACACACACACACACAACAGAAAACCATCTTCCTTACTACAGACTCCTCATTTGAGCTTCAGCTGTACCGTACAGATAAAGTATGAGTGTTTTGTAAGCTAAATTTCTTACAATAAGACGTTTTTAACACCATTAGCCATCTGAAAGAACTTCAGTTCCAGTGTTTCATTAAATCTGGATTCAATGTCTACCTTGTGGAAAGTTAATCAAACAAACATCATTTGCAAACAAATATATCCTAGAACAGAAATAACAATGCCATGTTTTTTTTCTTTTTCTTGCAGTCATCAATCTGCAAAAAAATCTGCAAACCCAGCAGATGTGGGGCAAGAAGACATTTTATTTGGATCTACGTTTCTCACTGTGAGCTTTGAGTGCTTGCTGACTTTGAAAAAAACATTGTCTGATATAAGTTAAGCTTTCAGGTCCTTACACACAGGGGCCAACATGAATATAGAACACAAAATCACAAATATTCTGAGGCGAATTTTGACGTGCCTGACTAAACACATCAAGCCTGATGCGATTTTGCGACTTTTCGCGGCGGAAAAGACGCACCCCGGGGAAGACTTCTCCGGGGGAAAGTCCCACCTCCTTCGCCTCTGATTGGCTAGAAAAGCTGTACACATCATCACACGCTCAAGTCAAACTGTCAGCACTTATAGCCAATCAGAGGCGAAGGAGGGCGGGACCTTCCCTTAACAAACAGCGTCCCGGGTGGAATCGAGAAGACAAAAATGGAGTCTACTTCAGCTTCAAGTTACGACGAATTGGTACTCCTTTTGCTTTCTCAAAAGGAAAAGAAACGTAGCACATGGGTGCATCCAATATTACAAAAAAGAAGAGAACTTGGCGAGTTTCACTGCTTGGTTCAGGAGCTGAAACTGTAACACGGTCACTGATTGTTTTCAGTTTTGATTAGACACTAGTGTTGAGATGGCTTTCTGGCATGATAGCAAATACTGAGTCGAAGCCAGAACCAGATAAGCACATTAAACTATGGTAACAACCGTTAGCTTACGTTAGCACAGATGAAAGTTAAAACAAAGACTTTTAGCAAACTGTTAAAGCACATAAAACATCGTCATATGAGAAATCAGACGCTATGACTCTCCACAAGTTGTCCTTCAGGTCGTTATCTTTGTAATGTTTGTGTCTTTTATCAAAATGCACCCTGTTTCCGACACGTAAATAATCAGCTGGTCGGCAATGTCGGGTATACTGGTGAATCAACAACACGCAAGTGGTCACAAGTGGACACACAGTATGCAAAACTTTAGAAAAATTGACCATGATCCGAAAAAATAAATGCCACAATATCGCAGGACGGGAAAACGTTGCTGATGTGAACGCTTGTATTGACAGGATACGGGTTCGAAAAAAACATATTGACGTCCGAAATAATCGAACGACAAAAAACGGTCCCAGTGTGTGAGGACCTTTCTTCACCATACACTTGTTGACATTCTCTGTTGCTTTGTGCCGACAGTGAAAGATGAGACCACTTTGAGTTATGGGTGCTGTAGACTAGGGCTGTCGAGAAATTGGTCAAAAATGATGTCAGATTATTCCCCCTTAAAATAAAAAAATTATATTCAAAACATTTGAACACCTTTTTCTTCACTTTCATGTATTCTATCTGTTCACTGATGAAATGCTGTGGGACAGCGCCTCAGTGCAAACTTGCTGCACTGAAAGACAGGATGGGTGAGAATTGTTATAATTTACCAGCGCGCTGTGATTTACCCATTGATAATCTGCTCAGTTTTACTGTGAATCAGTCTGAGAGCGAGTCACTATATTGCTGTCTTTATACAGAGGTTTTCATTCAGTTATGCCCTCATCCACTGAGAGCAGACAATCAATCAGCTTCCTCTGTGGCGAAGGGTGTTAGAGTGAGAGTAGGAAAATCATGTACTCGACTGCCCTGCCGTGAACATTTCCAGACAGAAAACAGTGTTGACTTCTTACGTGATACAATACTACACCACCTTTTCACGTGTGAATCCAGGTAACAAATGTCTTATATTCAGACGTCTATGAAAATGATTTATTTTGCATTTTCCAACAAAACATTTTGGCCGATGACGCCTTAATCTGCCCAACATCTGCATGTGAAACCACCAAAAACCCAGGAAATACTGGCTCACATAAACCCAACTCATTCTCACTGCATCCCAGTTTCATTCATCGTCATTATCACAGTTGTAACTCCTGTGACTGTCCCTCATGCACAAGAAAGATTATAATGCTGTGACCAAGCCCCACCATGACCGACAGCTGAATCAAGGGTTTTTGGTTTTTTTTTTGCAAATACAAATGTTCACATTTAACAATTTGTTTTTCAAAAATCCATGAACATGAAAAATGAAACATGGCTGATAGCCTTACTGTAGACCAGTGCTCATTTGTTCAGGGTTCCTGATGATTCATTTCTATAGGGCTCATGCACAAACTGATCTGCTATGGACATTTCTGTAACTCAGTAAAACTTTGCCAAATGTAACTGGCAATTCCTCCTTCACAGTCTGGTTTTCATGAGTAAGGAGGCACAACATTCAACAATGTGGACGTCCTCTACTAAATTAAGTAAAATGCAGCTCAATTTCATATTCTCAAAATGAGCTTCATAACATATTCCTGGTGTCAATCCAAACAGCCAAATTTCTATTTTATATAGGGTGTACCTGGGTGTAAAAGAGTAATGTTTGCAGTGTCATGAGGGAAAAAAACTGTAAATCTGAAGCTGTAAATCTGGTTCTGACTGCCTTCAAGGCTCCTGCAACTACTTTCTTGGTGCAGACTTTTTCATGCTCATCATAACTAACCCTTCCATCAGCCAACAACTAATTTTTACCTTTAGAAAGAACATTTCAGTACTTTTCTTTTTATTAGTGATTTGAAAATGCCTGATATTTGCACAGTCAGAGGAGGAAAAATGGGCATTGTGCAGATTTTTAGTCAGTGTAAAACGCAAAAACAAAAGTGATGCTGCAGACAATGTTGAGAGTTAAAGAGTTGCTCAAACTGACCATAGTCATAGGTTTCATCCTCCATCTGGAACAACACTACATGTCAATTTCAAACACTGATATTTCGCTGCCTTCATGCTGCCTGAGGTTTCGATCAGTTATTTGAACAGTTAGTCCGTTTATTTGAGGTTATTTTGAGGTTTACGGCCTGCATTGCAAACAATACTTCTTCACACTGTATGTACAATCACATAGTTAAAAAAACTGTTTCAGGTATTAACTGTATTAACTGAGGGTACAGTGAACCCTTTAAATCCCTGTTCCTGCATGCTGGTCATGCAGTGTCTGTTTGGCTGCAAAACAACCTGTAATAGCTGGATCTATTAGGAGTATTAAAAACCAGTAATATAATGGATAGGGGTACCAAATTCAAACACAGCACAACAAGTCCACATCAGCAAATGTTGCAAGAGTTCACACTCAAGCCTTTGGTAACAATCCACTACAAAGTTAAAATGATCGATTTTAGGCTTAGCGAGCTTGTATTTGTTCTGATGCTTTTATTGCTTTAGTGTCTGAAGTAGTCCCAACGGTTTTCAGTAAACCAAGTATAGCCTGCAGTAATCGTCTGCTGGATCATGTTACATGTTTTGATTCTGAGGAAATACATTTCTAACAACTTCTGTATCACAGATACAAATCAGAGTCATGGGTCAAGCTGAATCAAGACATGGCAAGTGTACAGTTTTTAAATCTTCGTTCTTAATATCCATTCTGTTTTTGGGTTTACTTTATCATAAGACCACCATGTCCTTTGACCCAAGTATAAATATACAAAGCTTGCATTTCTGAATGAGAAACATTTCCATATCTTTGCTACTTTCGCTGGGCATTAAAATGCATGTGCCCACAGAGACAGGTGTCTTCTTAGAGCTTGTGGTGTTATCCACAGTTTGTGCGAATGAAATATTTACTGTACAATCAAATAAAGCTATCACATCCCGATGTCACTGAGTTTCAAGTTAGAAAAGAGGTGCCTTGGCAAGGATGATTCTATTTGGTCTCTACCTGTGCACTTCTTTATCCTTGGCATTTGGCATCAACATTATAAACTGTTTTCAACCTTCTTTCTCTTGCAAACTCGACTGTAACTCTGTATAATTGTGCAGTAGTAATATCTCTGAAGAGGGCCTGTCTGTACACATTTTTAATGGATACTTTGCCACACAGATGGTGCATGGGGGACGTTGACCATTTCAGATCAAATGGTACAACGAAACCGTCTTTATTGACTACGATCAGTTAACATTAAAACTTCTGTCAGGGATCAATTCAATGTTGCCATGCATTTGTGGGCACCAGGAACAGTTCCTATTAGATTCAATATTTAATAAGTTCTGGTCTCACGCATTGCATATTTTTCGTATTAACCATTTCTCATGTTAACCTTTCGCCTCTACTGTTTTAGGTAGACGCATTATTAAATTGAGCTTGGAGTTAATCCTAGCGTTTCTCACGTTACTGTTCGTGTTCATTTCTGGGGCTTACCTCTGAGACAATGTATTCCATTGCTTAAGACGGGACATACTGCAAGACTGTTGCCAGGACTGCAATTTGCAGAAGGCGAGTACGCCTAGTAATGTGGCATCTGAGCGCACAAGCTTGGTTCAATTACATGCTCACCACAACAGTGACTGCAGTAAAACCAAAGGAACAGTTTCATGCCACTGACAGACACATCAGCACACCTACATCACCTGCCAACTTCAAACTCTGCTCCACCGGTCGTTGGTAAATATGGGCAGCAATCACACAGAGTTATTGGTTTTAAATCTATATATGAGTGTGGTGTTCACATGTTTAGATAGTGTTGAGGCCTTTACCTGCTCCATCAGACGTTGACAGGGCAGGTGAATTCAGCTTCGGTCGCTTTGAGTTGGGAGGTCCGACGTCGAGCAGGTTTTCAGCCATGGTTGCTATCGAATCCAGTCACTTGCTTCAGGTGATAACTTTGGTTACCTTAAGACGGGGAAGTGTTTGTATGTGCACAAATCTTCCCGGTTAGCACATTAGCAAGCTGGAAGCCTGCTAACTGGCTAATAGCTAGCTAATTGGCTGCTACTAGCTAAGTTAACTCTTAGCGTTAGCTCCTCCGTGCTGTGAGAGTCGACGTCTTTCAAAAGAGATGCAATAGCGCCCCGCTTCGCCACCGCCATTCAACCCATGATAATCCAACACCCAACACCCACATTATCATCGTTAAATAACCAGAAATAAAATATTCCCCATGTAAAAATCGAGCTTCAGTGAGATGATCCAGTAAAATTAGATGATCTGCTGCATTCCGGGGGAGAGGTCGTTTTTTTCTAATCGGTCCAAGAACCCATTTTGAGTGACGTCAAATTTCTTCATGCAAAAATCGCGCGAAGCTCCACAAAAATGCACAAATGCATAAAAAAGCTGTATTTTTGCATATCACTTCGAAAGTCACGACCTGGCGTCGGCTTGCTCCCGGTAAACAATACTGCTCCCAAACGGCGACAGGGGCTGAATCGCCGCACTCTGAAGGGGAAATCAGATATACGGAGCTTTTTTGCCCGACGACCACCGATCCAATTCCCGTTTTTTCGCACAAAATGTCTCCGAGGCGATGTTAAGAATTCGTTTTTGGAGGAAGGACGTTGTCATATCGCGGAAAGGATGCTCGATTTCTGCGTAAAAACCACTGTTGGACCGAAATCCCAATTCCGAGCCACGACAAGATGGCGGCTGTTGATTCCTTCGATACAAAAAAGTTTTTTTTTTCTTTTCCAGATCGGCTGTGGAGGGGGAGGGGCCGCGCAATCACGCCCTACGTGAAAACACTGCTCCTCTTAACCGCTGGAGGCGCTAGAGCCACACCAAAGACGCACGCAAGCGCCACACAACAAGCACCTACAAGCATCTTTGAGTGTGCATTTAATGTTTATAAACGGGAAATAAAACAAGACTATCAATAATAGAATACTGTATGTTGAAAAAGATATTTGAAGTACATTTTCATGATAGCAATAGCGCAGTTTTTCATGGTATTTTATTTGTAAAATAAATTTCCTTTTTTTGTTTTGACATCAGACTAAAACTAATTTTGTTAGTTTTGATACAAGTTAGGACAAACCGGTGAAACTTAGAAAATTGTTGAAAGAATCGATAAAGAAAGGCTAGTATTTTGCCCTATAGAAACTGAATCTTTTTCTTTCATGTGACTTTTTCACAGATTTGACATATTTGCAAGATGGCAAAGTAAAAGACAGTTTTAAATCTGCTTGTCCTTCCCAACATACAAAAATTTGTGGCTTTCGCCTGTCATAAGGTATCTTATCCTGCTCTCCTTTGAGTTAAAAAAAGGCCTACTGTGCATCTGATAATGGACATTTTCCCACATTTATAGTCAAAATACACTTTTAAAGTGGCTAAAAACCTCTTTCCCTTACTGAAAGCCTAATTTTCTTGAACTTTGCCAGGCAGAAATGTGAATATAGTTAAACTATTACCTCTGATACTGTCAACATCTCGGCCAAAAAAACAACAAAACAAAATCAATCATATTAATGAACATGGTTTGATGTACTCACACGTAGTTTATACTTAGCAGTGCACTCAGCTGTTTTCTGATAGAGATTTATTTCTCTCACTCTGAAAAAAAGTGTAATAAAATCACAACACTCACACTTACTCAAATAGACACACATTAAATCGATTTGATAATAAGTGTCTAATTTTCATTGTTTTCTGGCAAAATCTGACACATGCACATGTATAAAAAATTCATACGTGACATAAAATAACTGCATATGTACAAACACTGAGTGCTTTGTGCAAATGTGTACAGATTACGATCATGTGTTGATAAATGATACATGGGTAATGTGCACAAAAACATACATAATACATCTCATTCATGAACATGGAACCAAAAGACAAAATGTTTTCAATCAAATAACTCCCTCTAATTTTTGTCCCAGTGTAATCAAAAACACACCGGCTGAACTTACTGGATCAATTACACTGGGAATATGTGGCAATGCCATATAACGGTGATGATTGTAAAAAGTGCTGACAAAACACTTCTTTCTTTGATGTCTTTCCCTTATTTTCCATCACAAACCAAAATCACATTTTCTAAACAAAACAGGATGACTGAATACTTCTCATGAATGCCATTACAGGTTTTCCTGATTGTATTTTACTAACTTCTGGGGACACCCTGCAAAAACGAAAACAAAACTCATCTAAAAGGTTATTCATCCATCCAAACTGTCAGGGAAATAGAGGAGTAGAAGTTCCCTTTAAGGAATTTTGCCTGAAGGTGACAAATGTGGAACATACTCATTTAAAAGTAAAGAAATTTAAAAGTTGATAGTTTGGTGCAGAATCAGACAGCGGATGTCCAGCAGAGAAGGAAACTACTCATCAGTTCTCATGCAAACAAGATCACTCACACATACACTTTTCCCCAAGCTGTTGCAGAGATCACAATGCCAGCAGTGTTCACTGAAACTGTTTTATTCCTGTGCTGAAGAGGTGAAATGTGGATCAACATGTGTTGTCCCATCATGATTGTTTTTTGTCACCGCAGTGCATTCTGGGGCTGAGCCACATTGATTTAAACAGATTTGTCAAACTTGAGCATATTTGACGTATTTTGCACTACAGGCCTGAAACTATCTTAAACATAAAATTAAGAATAGAGCCAACAAAGAAGACATCATGTACATACATTTCTGTACTAATCTTGAGAAACTTATTTTGGACTCAGTGTATTAATGCAAGTGGGATTGTCACAGTTATTTGTCACAAATGATCAAAATCCACATGGTAAAAATAAATACATTTCTAAGGCACTTGTATTTGTTTGGAGTGCACAATGGTAGAGGTAAACAATTGTTCTTTTTTGCTACAAAAAGATAATTTCTCTTTTCTCATCTTATATTTAGATGTTTATGGCCACTGCGTCTCGATGCAGATTTCTCTGCAATTTCAAACTTAAAGCATTGAGAATTGGATGTATAAATTCAACATGGATAAGGCAGCAACAGCAAAAAACGGGTCAAAAATTGGTCAGGTAGTTGATTGATAACTGTACAGTGATGTGCTTTGATGAAATGGGTTGGAGTAAACCTTAAAAACTTTTTCACACACCCACACACACACTCAAAGGGGGAAACAAGTGCTTTTAGGGGTAAGAAAAAAGCAGAATTGAGTGATGACTGAAAAGAAATACAGAGTTTGCGGTCTCCATTGGGAACACTACCCCACTATTACAGGCAACAGGCTGACAACAGAATAAAAGAGGTGGAAAAAAGCAACAAAATCGATGGAATTTGAAAAAAGAATCATAGCAAAACCTGCACAACAAGCATCATTTCTTCAAACATAAAATTATTACCTACATCCTCTCATTATGAAAACAGCATGGTAAAAAAAACTTTCTGAAATCCAAAATACTAAAAATACAGTCATTCTTTTAGGCACCACAAAACAATCAGCTAGTTTAGGTTGCACTGCACCTGTAGATCACTCCATTTAAGTGGCACATTTTAAGTAGATTGATACAGTAGAGGGCCCCCTTCTGTAAAAAAGGCTGCGACAGGTCTAAGTTAGAGTCCCACCTATTTAACAGCATGTCACACAGTTCAAGGCAGACAAAACTGAATTTGTGGAAACATCAATTGTAATGGACTGACCAATCTTATCTTTTCTTAGAGACAAAGGCATAAAAAAAGATCACAAACTTTGAGTCTGAAGTTCAAAACTCTGCAGAAACCACTCTTCATCTATGCTTGGACACAATTTGGACCACCCCGTTATTTACTAAGAACTAGCCAGTGACTGTACCTCACAATCCCAATTTATGTGATACTCCACACCATACCCTGTGTGGGTCAAACTCTCAAATTATGATAATATTTTTTTTGTCTAAGGTATTTTTATATTAATAAATTAATTTATGGATCATAAACAATACTAAATGTATCCTACAGGTTTTGATCATGTAATAAAATCCAATGTACTGTATTTGATCTCTGTGTGCTTAAAGCCTTCTTCTTGCACCAACTTATATCTTTTCTCTTCAGCTATTTTGTTCTGTCCTTCTAATCATCTGGCTCTTTTTAGTGGTGAAAATGGCATGACAATAGAAATTAATTATTAATAATTACCATCAAGTCCTGTTGCAGGGTAAAACAAAACATTTTTGCTTCATGCTGCAGTCCTGCTTACCCTGTTAGGATTCTAGTTTGTACAACCACCCACTCACTTTGCTTCATCCCTTACTTAATCCCCCATACAGTACACCTTCATGCTACTGTAAACACTTACTAGAACTTTAAAAAATAGGGACAACAGATGCACTTTTTGCAAACAAACAAAACAAACTCTACAGTTCAGATGTGACCACAAACAGCAAGATCACCCTGTTTGAAACATGACATGTGAAACATAATTATGTGTATGCCTATCTTTTACCTGTCGGACCTAACGCTGATAGCTGAGTAACCCTGTTTGCGTCTTTTTATTTCATGGAATTCAAACACAATTACAATCACCAGGTAAAGATAAGTGGACTTTAAGGCCATGTCCCATTTAAAGTCAAACTTTTGAGCCCATATTCAAGATCAATGAAGTAAAAGTGTTTCATTCTCAGAGGACAAGTTTTGGGTGGAGTATCACTTAAATGTTTGTCTAAATTGCCCACAAGTTTTTGTGAGGGTCTCAACTTCAATAATAACCTCCTCTTTTGATATATTCCATTATCTAATCTGATGTTTTCCTTTGACTGAACTTACTGTGTAAAACAGAGGCTCCATAAAAAAAACTGTGAAAAAAGCAATTTTGCTGCGATGATTAATTAATACAAGTGGTCAAGAAAACACTGTGCAAGACCTGTGCTTTAAATGTGCTTTTAGCTGCTACACAAACTAAAATCTATGCAGTCGGCTTTATAGCTTGTCCCCTTATACTGACACTCTGGCACAGATGAATACTGTATAAAGCCCTCATGGGAAAGCAGAATAAATTTATTAACACTGCTTCATGTGATTCCCTTTTCATCCCATCGTTCCCTGCCCAGCCTGTTTGTTTTTTGCAACGGCACTTATGTAGAATCTAAAATAATTTTCCCTTACGTAAGGTCAAAACTTTGATCAAGTTACATCAAATGATATGCCACAAAAATAATGATTTTTGTTAAATGAAATACTTGCATTGAAAAAAAGCACAGAGTAAGAAACCACAGCATATTCTGTATTCTAAAATCAATAAAACTTTGATCAGTTCTCATATTTGTTCATTCACTTTTCTAGTCCTGAAGGCACTTAATAATAGACATTTTTTAAAAAAGCATCAAGGACAAATCCAACAGCAACTTTTTCCCTCTGAACCCTTTCAGCTTTTTCTCCAAACTCACTGCTGTGCTCAACACAGGTCCAACCCACCCTAGCACTTGGTGAAGGACTTAAGTGAGCATTTTGATAGCCACTGGTGCCATTGTTTGTGTCAGAGTGACAAACTCCCTTTTCTTCATTCATGAAGACACTTCATCCAAAGGAAGGAAAATAATCCTGCCCACACCGGGAGCAAGGCGTGGAGAGGCAGCAGCTGAGGTGGAGCAGAAGATAGGAGGGATCAGAGACGAGCATAAAACTCCTCATTGAGTTTTGATAGCTCACTAGCCTCCTCTTCATCCTCCACCTCCTGAAGAGCGAGAGGAGCAGGCTGCACCTGGGAGGGTCGGTGTGCTCTGGGCTCTGGGCTGAGTTCAGAGCTGGGTGGAAGGTGAGGGTCTGTGGCAGGGAGGTGTGGAGCGTCCCTATATCCCTCCTCCCTTAACTCTGTGGACTGAGGTGCTCCTAAAGGCCTCACAACACTTGGTGATGGAGGGAGGGGTGAAGAAGGAGGGGGAGCTGCTGCCTGGGCAACAGATCCTGAAGTCTTATTGGCTGATGTGGATCCGCCACTGGTGCCCTGGTCTGTTCCAGCTTGACTTATGCTTTCCTCACATTTGGGGTACAGAAAGGTCCTCATTTGACCTTTGCCTTTAACATTCACTGTACCTCTGTAGTCAAACTCCAAGCCCATGCTGCTGAGCACAACATGGCTTTCCTCGCTCACCTGAACCCGACACTCCACGCCAGTGGAGTCCATGCGGCTCGCAATATTGACTGTGTCTCCCCAGATGTCATAGAGCAGCTTAGTGGTGCCGATCACCCCGGCTGTCAGTGGGCCATGGTTAAATCCAATACGGAGCTTGAACCCAAAACCCAGCATGTTCTTGTTGAAGTCATCCAGGACGCCCATCATCTCCAGAGCAAAGTTGAAAAGTGCCTTAAGGTGAGCATATGGAGAGTCATCCTCATTTTCAGCCATCTGTCGGACATTTAGACCAGACGCTGCCATGTAGGTGGCACCGATTGTCTTGATTTTTTCCACACTTTTGAATTCAGGTTTGCGCAGGAGCTCGTCAAAGTCTCCAATGAGCTCATTCAGGACCCGGTAGCACTCTTTACCACCCTCGTAGCTTTCCTCGTAGAACTCACTAAAGTTTACAATACTGGCAAAAATCACACCAACACTGTCATGGTTCTTTGAGTAGCTCTGGGTAACCTGAGGATAAAGAGAAACAAAAGATGACCATGGTACAATGATCCTGTTATAAAGTGTGGAATGTGCAAAGCTGATAATTTGATAAAATACTGAAAAATCAAAACTTTTATCTCCTTCATTTAAGGAAAAAGCAATAATGGCGTATATTTAGCACTGAAAAAGTATATTTTCCAACCTTTTATTGCTGCTTTCAAAATACTTTTTCGCAGCTTTGCATCATTATAATCATGGCATTAGCAATAAGCCTCCACATGTGCGGTCCATCTGTTGTGATAATGAAATATCTGGGTGTGGTATTTCTTATTTTGGCCTCTTCATAAAATTCATGCTGGTGAGTTTTAGCCATAGAGCACAGTGTTTGTGTGTGTGTGTGTGCGGCAGGACAATATAAGAGATAAAAGATGAGCAGAATAAAGCCATTTGTGGAGAATAAAGCAAACAAATCTAATAAGTCTGGCCTAAGAAAGCATATGCACGGCAATGTATGTCTTGAATAGATACAGATACCCTGATACAGTGTTTTTTTCATTTTTTCATGAGGTGCAAAGTTTTTTTTTTCTTTTTGTAAAATGGTGTGTTCAGGATGACAAAAACAAAGAGTTCTGCATCAGCCGTGTTTCTTTAACCTCCCATCCAGGACTGTTGCAGAATAACGGTATTCTGTCAAATATTGATATTGTGCTAAAACTAAGCAAACAGTAATATTACAAGTTCATAGCTTACATTCTTTTTAAGTGGTCGCCACAAATCATGAGACAAAAAAGAGATGAAGAAGAAGCAGTAGACTGCCAGAGAGCTAGATGCTCAGGCTCATATACAGCCCTACACCAAACTAAATTTTGTTTTTTCTTCTTTCTTAAAATGATAACAACCTTGAGTTGGTCAGCAACGTGGATGGGGATGATATTTCCCAGTAACCACTCAGCCTGGTCTCGCAACGTCTGGATCTTAGAGCGGTGTTTGTCAGCCTCCACGTTGCCATGATAATGGAGACGGTAGCTGACCTCAAACTCACGGTTGAGGAACCAGACCAGGAGCAGAAGAAGGAAGAAAGCCAGGACAGCCTCCGGGATCAGAAGGTCGAGAGGCCTCGGTGAAGGAACAGGGTCAGGACCAGGAATAACCGACGCTAAAACTACATCACTGGACGTGGAGATGTTCAAACTGAGGGGTTAAAAGAAGACAAGTAAGAGTGACTGTGATGAGCATAATAACAATCAACGATGGCACAGCAAATAAGAAAACACATAAACAAGATAAAGAGGAGAAAGGAAACCCTGACACTTTTTTAAAGGCAGCTACTTTTCATTAGCTTCTATTTCCAGCCTTGTTTGTTGTCCGGTATGTTGTTTGGAGTTACAATAGGATTCAAGATTCCCAGATTTACAGCCACATTCAAATTTATCCAAGAGGAAGAGATATTCATTTTTCCTCTGACCTAAATAAATCAAACCCAATCTTGACAACAAGTTTACTATCCAGCTACATTTATATACCCCCAAGTCCAAGTGAAGCCAAAAACAACATGTTAATCATGCTTCTCTGGGGTTACTGTCAAAAAGCATTGTGGATGTTGTGCAGATTAAATAACTGCTGTTGAAGTAGATGAGGGGTAAAGTTAAAATATAAAGAAATAAATCAGTTAAAAAAAATATGATCACTGCTAATTAACGAAATACCAAATTTTCCTCTGAATGAAGCAAAAGCTCATCAAGCAGTTTCTTTGCGCATCTCTCGACACCGCAGAGCATGATTCTACATGGACTTTATCTTATGAATCTCTGTGATTAATGAAGTTATTCTTATTTTAGTTCTTCTTACATAGCAGAGGTAGCTAACTTGTGAGTCTAACACGACATTTAAGCCAGAGGAGCTGGATGACTCATTTATACCACTAGTGACAGCCATTGCTGCAGGTAAAAAGACAGAGAGAAAGAAGACACCAAAGTGAAGAATAAAAAGCAGAAATTTGTGAGAATGAGTAAAGGCCAGAGAGAGCTGAGGTTATGAAAAACTAGAGCTGTTGCTCCTGTTGACCATCCAAATGTCATTCCTGCATCAGACCCTTCTGTTTCCACGGAGACACTCACCCATGCACTGGCAAGCTGTTATTACTGGAGCTGCAAAAGACAAGAGTGGTGTCAGTGGAGAGAAAAGCAGGGTCGCACACAGGGACACACATGATACACACACATGAACACGTGTGTAATAAAGGTCAGATTTAATCATCTTAATTGACTGAGGAACGGAGACAAAATGGTGAGTTAAACTGAACCCTCTCGATGAATTGTATGTGTTTGGGAATATTACTGAATGTGTTAATGCAATCAGAAAGACATGCATGACAATCACAAAATAAAGGTACTCTACACAAAGCCACAACATCTCGTTTGTACATTATGTTTTCCTTTATAGGCTTTGCAGACATGCACATTGATTTCTTGAGTACAGTGTTTTGACATTTTACCCTGATAAACAATAAACTGTAACATATGAAAGAAGGGGACAGTCTTGGTTAAGGATGCCTTGTAAATTGTCTTAAATCTGCATTCTTTCCAATGGCCAGAGAGGGCAACTTCATTGAAATTATATGGAAAAAACTCAACCTCTGACTTGATTTAATGTCTCAGTAATAACTGTCCTTATGGTAAAGCTATTCTTTACTGCCTTTATTAAGGACACACGTCACAGTTACTTTGAGTCACATATGCATCCTGCCAAGTGAGCAGGCTCATATATTAGCCGATTTTTAGGCCTCTTACCAACTCTCTGTTGCTCTTAAGCTCAAATCTTTGTTGAAAAGTGTCACTTTTGACTCCAAAACCAAAACGGTGAAAGCATGAATGTTGACTTCAAGGTTTTGTAAAAGGTTCGGAAAATGGCTGAAGTAACTAGAGGAAGTCAATGATTTGAACAACCCTAGCCTTGTGTCAGTGTGAAGCAGACGCAAACAGTTATTGAAAGTTCAACAATTCATACATTCGTATCTGTTAGATTTTCTTCAAGAACTCCTCCTCTGCTTAGCTGATCAGTTACAAAGTGTCGCAGGAGTTTCATTTATCAACAGACTTTTCAGTTGGAGCAGTAAATCCTAATTTTTTTAGCAACAAATAACTCATCAAAACTGTTATTGTCATATAAAAAACAACGAATTGGACATGAATTAGCACTATAACTGATAACTTACTTAAGGGAACCATGTGTAATGTGTTTTGATTTTAAAGTTTGGCGTATGCCCCATCTGGTTACAAGGAGGAGGCAGGCTTTATAAACTCTGGAGCAGGCAGTGAGGGGGGCTCCTAATTTTAAGCTTTACTTTTGGAAAGCTGTCATATCATCAGACTTTTAACACAGTCTGTGGTGAGTCCTATACCTGTGTAAGGGGCTGTACAGCAACAGCAGCAGGGCGACCCCTGTAATAGTCGCCAGGACTGAACGCATCCAGAAGCTGAGCTGACAGAAGTTGCAGTACTGGATGATAGCCAGGATTGTGGCACAACACAAGAACATGGTCACCTGGAGAAAAAGGGAAAGTGTTTACAACAAAAATATAAAACAACACGAGACTTAACAATGAGAAAATGCCAAAGTCTACTACAATGCAAAACCTGGCTTTTGGATATCACTATGAAACACCCTTTGAGGTTTGGAGATCAGCTGTGAATAATTTTTTTCTCCAATATATTTTATTTAAAAACAATTTGGGCGGTCAGAAATACACACCAAGTGAGCATTGGTATATTGAGGACTTTCACAGGTTGTTAGTGATTACATTGAGAAGATAACATTTTCCCTCTCATCCCTACACAAGTCCTCTCTCCTCCCATCATGCCCCCCCCCCAAAGCAATGTTATTGGGCTTTATATCTTCAAAGGCATTAAAGTCCAGAAAACTGCATGTCTAATTAACAACCCTCCCTGAGACTAGAGCTTTGATCTGCAAGCCCTGAAGACATAGAAAGAGCAGAGAAGAGACAGAGCAGGGTGGGGGAGACAGAGATAGAGAAACAGCATGTTGAAAATGCTTGGAAAACAAGATATCAAAACATCACACATCTTGCGCAGAGCCAGTGGCTCAAAGCTAGGGGAAGAGAATCAAACTTGTTTCAAGCTCGGATATGGCCTTGACTCAAAACTTTGCAAAAAGGTTGAGAAGTTTGGTCGTTTTCAATCTTCTCACATGCAGGAATCGGAGATAAAGATACTGTATGTCGACACTTCTGGTGCCAAGGTCCACAGACAAAGCCTCTTGAAACCTGCTAGCTATTTTCCTTTACAGCTTGTATCAAGGCTAACCCCAGCTAACAGCTCTGCAGCTCTCCAAGGATCCCTGGCTTCAGACCACCACAGGGGCAGCGTCTCAACTTCTGGACTACTCTCTGCTGGCTTTATTAAAGAGAGAACAGTTTCACACTTGCACAGTCAGCATAAATACTCGAGGCATACTTAGGAGGATTATTAAGACATTGATGGATCCACAGAGGAACAAATAAACCAAGAATGGATCACAGCTGCCAATAACCACATTAATTGTGCATCACCTGCTATCTGTACTTGCTACACGCCTATCGAGCTGTCCTGCTCCATGCAGTTTGCTCATGTTTGGCCTTGTTTCACTTTTTTGATTTGTCTTATTATCTAACCAATAACATCTACAGATAACTTAATGTACAATGCGATCACGGGTTTGTTTGTGTTTTGGGTTAAATGTATTAGATAATTCCACCATTTAAAGACACAGGTTGACACAGTTATGACAGACCAACATGACTGATTCAATTTCTTTTATAGTTCTAGTTGGTTTCAAAGTTGTCAAGTCATGAGTAAATCACTTTGTTGTGGGAAACTGTGCCCCATATTATTCCACCTTTAAAGCTTTTGTAGCATTATCTGTGTGGTTCAAGTTGCTACCATGTCTGGGGGTAAAGCTGCCGGCAGAATTTAAGTGTATTTCCTATGTATGTGCAAAAAATAGCGCATGTGGTGACTAGTTCAAGTACCGTGGGAAATTTGGCTAGCTACCAAAATACTTATCTATTGTATGTGTGCTTGCTTCCTAATGCTTAATGGTGTAGCTGCTCAACCCGATAGGGAGGACATCTGGGGCCCAGTGCTGGTAATTGGTGACAAATGTTTGTGGTGTTGTTGGGTCTTTTCACTGACCAACTGGATTTTAAGTTTTGAAGCCAATGATAGCAAGAACAATGTAGGAAATTCTGATTCACCCTAACCTTTGATCAACTTAAACGCAGGCAAAGAGGTGAACTCAAAGAACTTTCTGCTTTGAAATGATCATTTCAACACCAGATGTAAAGGAGATGCCTTGGTTTTTGCAGTCAGTCTTGAGAGGAACTCAAGGAATCAGTTTATTTGTCATAGACTGTATATAGAATGGACGCCGTCTGCCTCCTCGCTGGGTGAAGCTACCGTGAGAACAGTACCCTCCAATGACAAGCTGCAGAAAAGGTCATAAACCCTGCCTCTTCCAATTTTTTACACAGAATATAATTTTTTCCCCTCTCTGCTTGTGATGTTGACATGTAGTTACTGTCAGACTGGTTTGTGGTCAAGTCCTCTTTTTTCTTTACAGCTCCATTTTTTGAAAGTTATTAGGGCTTCATGTTTTCTATGATTGACACTTGATACAGCCTTTGGGTGTATGAAGATTGCGTAGCTCACCCGGGGTATACACTATTTGAGCCGAGCGTCATCACAGTGACTCTCGACGACTCTCCCGCTGAATGCATTCAACACTACCGCACAAGTGGTCTTTCCAGGAAGTGGAGAAAATCCCGGAAATACTGAGAGCAATTCAGCTTCAAATTCGTAGAATGATGGAGGGCAGAACCAAGTTGGCCATGGTATATACAGTCTATGTTTTTCTGCACGACCACCTGGGCTTCATTTTTCAAGAGTGGAAGTAGCTGCTCTGTAACGGCCACTACCATCTCTCCACATGTGGTAAACTATGCCCGTGTGCTGGGTTGACCTCCATAAAGCTTTGTGCTGATGTGGTCCCTTATAATATTACATTTAAAAAGGTCAAAGTCATATCTATAGATGTGATTTTTTTGGCAACAAACACTTGGAGCTGTAGTCATGATAACTGGAAGGTTGAACAGCACACCCCACACAGACATGGCAGCATCTTAACACTTAGCAGGTTGTACAAATATTCTCTAACTGCACCGGCCAATGCCGCCTATGTTGGTGAATTGCACTGATCTTATTTTTTTGCACCAAGGTACAGGTTTAGTAGGCTTTAAACCTCTCAGTCAGTTTTGTAAAACAAAGCCTGAGTCTTTAAGTGCCAACTCACAGTCTCTTCCCTTTTACCCCATCATCCAACCTACTTGATTCATTTTCTTACAGTAACTGAACAGACAAGTTTACCTGAAGGTGCATGTTACTGCTGAACATGAGATGGGACAAGACGGAGATGGCAGGAAGGGAGACTAAAACAGCTCCAATAACATGACGTGGGATCCATCCAGAGACCGCTAGGAGCAGGGAGCGGGTACAGTTCATCACCTCCTCCAGGTAGAAGGCCATACTGCAAGAGTAGAGAACAGTAGAGGAAAAAGAATTACAAACAAGTCAAATAAACAAAAAATTCAGCAAAACTTCATAATAAAAAAGAAAACAGTTTGTACAGGTTTTTTGCTTTCATTATATTAATCAGATTCTTGACCTTATGAATTTCCCAGCTTACTCAAATGTAGTGTGCAGCAGACTCTCATTAGTCTTTAATTAAGACACATAATGAAAACACAAACGTGCAATAAAAGTCACAGACAGGACCAAGATTTATTGCTCACTTTCACATGGCAATAAGTGAAAATTAATTTATTTTCCCATAAGATACTTTCTAAAACCCACAAAAATGCACAATAAACTTAATCAAAACACACCTCCAGCTGTGCAAATACTGGAGTATCAGATAAAGAGAATTTTTTGGGGTCTGAGACACCACTTGGTACAAGGTAACATTTTGCTAATTTCTCTGCCAGTACAATGCTTGAACAACAACTGGACATGAGCCAGTTGCATCTGACCAAAGAAATTAATACATTGTGGTTTGAGAGCCAGCCTCCACATAAAATAATTTGTTTTGGTCTCAGTGGAGAGTTAAAGTGCTGTGAGCTGGTCTGTGAGTGGTTTTCAATACTACATCACTCAAATTCAAGAGATACAGACTATTAATCAGACCGGGCTCTGAAGCAGGCAATCTAGAGACACAGTATATTCTGATTCAGGCAGTGATTGCACAGCACTGATTATCGCAGTTTATTTTACATTCTGACGTTTCAGGCAGCCAAAAAAAAACACAAGTATAGGCAAAGAAAACAAAACAATCACTGTTATATTGTTTTACAAGAATGGCCAAAAGTAAAAGCATGAAATAAATACGTTATCTTGTATGAATATCCTGTAATCTGTCTTCAAAACCTTTGAAAACATGCACTGAATCTGTCATCTGCTCCGAGCTTCCTCACCGTATGGACAGCACCAGGGAGGTCAGCTCAAACAGGCCCGCCAGTGGAGCCAGGACCATGGCGGCAACAGCAGTGGGGCCTGCAGTGGATGGGCTCACCAGAGGTGGAAGGAAGCAGGCCAGAGTCAGTGCCAGGAAGACAAAACAGCTGAGGAGGACGTCCAAGAAGGAGCTGAAGGTGGAGCTTGCAAAGGTCTGCACCTGAACCTGGTTCTTTACCTAGAGGGGGAGACGGAGGTGAAGTGATGGCTTGGTCATGTAGTGAGGGTAATGTCATAATTCAAGCATTGAAAAACAGCAATGCTTATTAAAAATAGTTCTAACTTCTGGAATTGAAAAATTTGCTTTGATTCTGACCCAAATACATATCTGTCCGTTAGTTCAGTTTTAACAAAACTACCACAAAAAAAAAAAAACGTTATTAAATTTCAGTTAAACAAAGACATTAATATACACTGTATAAAGTGTAGAAAGGATTTCAGGTAGAAACACGCTGAGTGAAATGAGTGACTGTGGCTTTACATGACAGGAACTCAGAGGTTGAACATCTGTGTTGTGGCTCTGCAGTAACACTGGTGGAACAGCAGAGGGCTGCAGCTCTGTCAGGTCACTGCAGGCCAAATTGAACTGGTCCTGGGTGTGCGCGACTGTGTGTCACACTAATGTGGCATGAACGTCATGAAAAGGGGTCTTACAACATCTAACATTTATTGACCTCTTTATACAAACACAGACTGGGTTCAAGAGTCAGGAAAACATCAGAGGTCTTCATCTGTCTTAATTCAGAGTTTCTTGAGGTTACAACTTTTTATATGTTTAATATATGTGCATTATTTACACTCCAGGGGTAGAGAAGTTATGAAAAGCTTGAAGTCATAATGTATGAACATGAGTCTCTTTTGTTGAGAAGTAATCAAATATTGGTAATGAGGAAAGGCAGTAAAGCGGTTTAATTAAAGTAGCATATAGATCAGTACAAAGTTCCTTAAGATACGATCATGTAGTAAAAGTGTGTGTGTGTGTGTGTGCGTGCGTGCGTGTGTGTGTGGCAAGAGAATATAAGAGATAAAAGATTAGCAGAATAAAGCCTTTTGTGGAGAATAAAGCAAACAAACCTGTGTGTGTGTGCGTGTGTGTTTACCTCCTCTTTGTAGCTGCTGCGGTATGCTTTCTCCAGAGGTCTCTCAAGGAAATTGAGGCTGAGTTTGTTAATGGGCGGTTTGAAAAAGTAGTCCTTCATCAGACTATAAATGACGAGACCAAATGATAGATTACATCCAAGTTAGAACTCAAAATCAACTAGACAGATACTTAAAAAAACCATTAAAAATTCAATGCACCAAATAAGGTGCAGTTTGTCCCGGCTGTTTAGATGTGCAGCTGTGTGAATAAAGGCTATAGACCTAACAGCAGACAGCATAAGTTAGATCTCAGCCTATGACCCTTTGCTGCACTTCATTCTCCACTCTCTTTACCCAGCTACCCAACAAGGTATGCTGCCTTCTCTAAATTCTTAAATGCAGGCATCTATTTTTGTTTTCTTCGCCACTCTCACCCCTCTTAATAACCAGTTGACTGGGCTGAACATGATGCATTTTGCTTTGCCTGAATATTACTCCATGTAAACAAACCTCAACTAAGAGGAATAGGAGTTTTTACCAGTTTACCCACTCAATTAGAGCAGAGCAAAGTATGAAAGGTTTGGTGCTTAAACATTGTATTACCTGTCTTCCTGTCACACTTGTGAGACAATTAAATGTAAGATTCAATTTCTCACATTTCACAATTTCTAGTATGGATTGACAGATAAGCTTTAATTCTTCAATAGCTGTTACAGATTAAAAAATCCTTCTGCAGACCTTATCAAATATGGTCACTTCCTCATAACCTCTAGCGATTATTTTCTGCTCACCTGTCTTCTCTAATAACATCCACAAAGTGGACGTCGCTCTTTTCTCTGAAGTTCTTAGCACGCAGTTGGATCAGAGCTGAGTGATCCATCCCTGTTCCTGCTGCTCCTGGGCCGCCAGCCATACCCAGACTGGTGCCGGTCCCTGTGCTGGTGCTGGTCTTCTTTTCTTTCTCTTGGAGCATGTCACACAAAGAGCTTTGGCTGGCCCGCACCGGGTCCTCCAGCGGGGGACTTAAGAGACCGTTGGCTGCTCTGGGGCTGTGACCTGGGATGAACTGGTTGCAAAGAAGACAATGGAGAAAAAAAGGGGAGAAAAAAAACAGAAGACAGACAGATAAGTTCCAAAGATTGTTGAGTAGCTCAAGCCATATTTCCACCATAAGTAACCAGATCTCTCGGTCCCAAGAGCTTCTTTTTAAGGGGCTCAAAAGTCCTTCCATTTCAGTTTTTTCTGTGTCTCCACTGAGGATGAAAGATCCACTGAGATGGAGAAAAACAGACTACAGTGCAGAGAGGCAAACCTGTCTTAAACTGGTTCTAGATGACATCATGCTGATCTCATCAATAAAATTTCATTTAACTTTATGTTGTTTTGAATAAACATGTCACCATCTAATGCACAACGCAATAAATCAAAAATGCTACTGGCTGCATGTCACTCCCTAAGCATCTGTGATGAAAGTAACTCCCCTGGAACTTTTCTTGACCCCAGTAACTGAAAAACCTCTTCGCTCCTGTTGCAAGTTTTTTTGTGGACAGACTCCACCAAACACCCGACATCATTTAGACATCTTTCTTTCAGGCTAAATCACGCTGGCCCGTCATGGCCATAATTCAGCCCAAAAATAGATGTTGAAATCTGGGCTTTATTTAGATGGTCCGAATCTAAACGTTGTTTAGACTTATGGTGAAGACGTCTTTTCAATGTCCTTTCAACGTCTTTTCAATGTCTTTTCAACAACTTTTTGCTGGGTGGGACAGCTTCAGGCAGTAACCGCTAAAAGGGTGCATGTGCGCTCTCATTTTTCATGTACATGTGGATGTTCCACCTTTGCACTGCTGGTCTTGTGCTCCTCCTGACAGCCATTCAGCACAGCTACATCTTCTCCATGCTCTGCCCCCAAAGATGAAACCACACCGCGGGCCACACAGGGAGGCTGGAGAGATAAGACAACACAGAGGCGACAAATTACATCACACAGTGACAGTTTGAAAAGCTACATTAGCAGACCAAAGTGTTTACAGGTGGGGTGGGCAGGATTCCGTTAAAATGGCATCTTTTTTGTGGTGTATAAAAAAAGCTTTTAGTATCAGTCAATAGCTGTTAGTTAGAGACTCTGGCGGAATAACAAGCACTTCAAACAGAGGTAGACCAGTCAAGAGCTAAGAAGTTGGGTCAACATCAGCATAAACGATGGGGGACGCTTTGGGATCTTACGGACCCTGTAACCTTTCTGCTGGACAGGTAAACCACTTTAACAAAGTAAGCCAAGTGTCTGTAACAGAAGTGTTTCTTGTCAAAAGAGACCTGCTGCGTGTTGTAGCACCACTTAACTGTTTACTGCAGGTCCTGGAGTATGTCACTTTACCCTAGTTGTAGAAGTCCTGCAAACATCGAGTTTGCTGGTAGTCTGTTGGCATCTACAGTAGCACCAATGCTCTTTACTTTCATGTTGACTGAGCCCCATTTGTAGTTATCTGAAGTATTTATCTGCATTATATCTGAATTTAATTGAAACGATATGAGCGAGCAGGAGCGTCTGTTTGTGGGCGGGGCTTGCTGGAGCAGAGACGGAGGGGAGAGAAGGAGCTGAGGGGAAAACTGGTTGAGAGGGGTAGAGTTTTCATCCAAGATTTCTCCCAAAAAAACTGGCACTTCTTCAGGTCCTGCCTACCCCACCTTTAAGTCTTACTGACAAGACCTAAGGACTAAGTATAATCAGTTACCACTGTCACCTATCAATAAGGCTCAGAAACTGTGAACCTGACAGATAGTTTCAGAGAAGGACAAAATAGTCCTTCTGATTACTTCTTCTGAACATACCACGAGCCTGTCTGGTTGTTGGTGAGGCATCAGGGGCTCAGCAGCCTGAGCTCCCCCGGGGATGAGGTCTGGTGTGCGGGGCTGAGGGCAGGAGGGAAGGCTGACTCCGGCTGAAAGTCCCAGTTGAGAGCAGCCACACTGAACATCATGTTCCAGCTTCCTGCCTGAGATCAGGTAGGTTTTCAACCCTGAGGTGGGACACAAAGACAGAATCAATCGCATTGTTTACAATCACATATCAAAATCAGGAGTTGATTGATGGGCTGTTTGGTGCCTGAGCAGATTGTTGGGTCACATTATGTTCATATTGCTTTGTTTCAAATGTACTACTTACAATTTCTGTCAGTGTTTATCACATAGAGTCCAATCAAAAATATTGGATCAGAGATCAGTGAACTGCTGATTTACGAGAATTGTGTGAAAATATTTCCCCAGTATCAGTCAAATCTTCAACAGCCACTTTTTGTTGATGCTCTCACACTGACCAGTGGTAATGCAATACAGGGTGTTTCACCAACTATGTTTGCACATCAGCCCAGAGCTCTGGCCGAGTTCACACTGGTGTTGGGCCAACAAGGAAATATACAAACAGAGGATTAGAGCAGTGGCTCATAGCCAGCTGCTATCAGCCTGTCCAAACACACAGTAACCTGTTAGCTGGCCTCTTTGTTCAAACAGCTAAAGGTGCTAACCCTGTTAGCATGCTGATGACTGGAGGGCATAAGGAGACCTAGTCCAGGAGTTCGTCTGATTTATACTGACTGCTGTTATCACATTTTCTTGTTTTATGCATTATTTACTTGACACAGACCTCCATTTGGCAGCTCTGCTCAACAGGAGAAATTTTTCAAGGCAGCACAGAAATAAGTCAATATCATACAGCTTCTTTTGTGTTTTTGTAGAAACACCACTGCTGTCCATTTCTGCATCAGTGTGTCTTTAAAGCTCCGATAGGGAGATTTTTTGCCTGTTACAAAACAGACTAGAGTTAATACTCTCAGTGACCTACTCAAGCAATTGAGATAGATGCTTTCTGTGCTGTCACAAACATGAACTTCTTCACAGGAGCTTAAAAGGCTTCTGGGTCAGATACATGGTAACTTTACCAGACTATGTTGTTTACATATTTCTAACACAATTTCTAACAATCAAATTTAAAATAGATCATATTTCTAGTAGATCACACCTCCAGCTGTGCAAACACTGTGTAGATGACATTTCAAATGTCTTAACACTGCAACACTTAACACTGCAATGAAGTCAATATTTTCCATGTAAGTTCTTTTATTAACACTGTGTTCCTCATGGCTTGGGTTTCATTTTACAGAACAGAGATACTGTCTGCAGGTTCACTGACTGTTTTCTGTTTAGACTGAAGTGTTTTTGTTGTGAATGAGTCGAAGAGGTCAAGCAAAAGCATTAATAAAATATTAAGAGAAAAAAATATATAAAAGAAAGCATAAAGCAAGCCAGCTTTTCAGAACTTTTATCTCTATGTTTATTTTCACTTTACTCTGTGATGTGAAAAAGTACTTTACTAGTAAAAATGGCACAAAAAAAGGAGGTCTTTGAATCAGTCCTGCTGATACATCCACGTTGGACTGCTTTCCTTTGAAATCACAACAGAATAACTCAAGAGTTGCACAGACAACATTTGAAGGTTTGAATTATGACAACATATCCATTAGAGAAGCTCCTCATGACCCGGTTGAATGTCAAGTCAACCTGTCTGGTGTGCAGAGAGAAATATGAGGTGATGTTTCAGCCTGTGCGTGAGTGTGACTGATGAGCAGCGACCCATATGTGAAAGCATGTGCGTCAGTCTGATGCAGCGTGGGTGTGTTCAGACGTCCGTTTGTGTACTACAGCGTATCTTCAACATTTTTAATGATTCTAACAGCTCTTAAAGACACACAAAAACACAGATACACACACGCACGCATACACTCCCCCTCATGTCAAGTCTGGCTCTCCTCTCACTGGAGGCCTCTGCAGTTTTACTCTCACTTTTCATCCTCTCTGTACAAGTTGGTCATTTTCTGAAACTCTGAAATATTTGTACTTCTTGGGTGTAAAAATTCAATATTACTTAAATAAAGTACCCGCTTCAGTAATAAACCAGAAATGAGATAACTTGATGGGCAGCCCTCAGATTTGAATGGTCAAAAAGAGTCTTGTTTTGTCAGTCGATGTTGACCTTTTGTTTATCAGTCTCAAACAGAATTTGAACTTCTCAAACCAACATTAAAAACTCCTCAGAGATCATTTCTCATAAAGTTTTAGGAGGTAACTGAACCACCTCCTCAGGTGAACTCTTTTTAAAACAAATACCACTTTCAAACAGTTGCTGACACGTTACAAAACAGTCTTTCTCTAACGCTCCTCAGTGGGCTCAGGAGGTCAGAAAGAATTGTGAAATGAGTCTCAGCGAGCTTGTTTGTATCCTTCAGTTGAGAGTTAACCGCAGATGTCTCATCCCTTCAAAAACAAATGGACCTATAATTTCAAAAGGTTAAAACACTGACTAAATACATTGAAAAAGAGGTCTTTTACCAACAGCCCTTTGGCGCGTCAGGGATGGTGGGCAAACTTCATTTCTTTTTTTTCTTTATTCCAAGATGTAAAGTGAAAATCATGTAATGATTGACTCAAAGGCCATGTTGATGTGACGCAGGAGTTCAGAGTGTTTGACTGCAAATGTGTTAATGTCTAACATAGAATGCAGGTCAAAAAAAGTGACACATCCATGTATTGTAGATTCATCACACACAAAGTGAAATATTTCAAGACTTTTTTGTTTGGATCTTGATGATCTTAAAAAATCTTCAAAAAGTCCAGGTCCTTGTCCGTTATTTCAGTCCACGATGGTCCTCTGGACAAGTGTCGGGTCAGCATTTTTCCCCATGGTTATGGTTGTGTGTACTGAACCAGAGTGAGAAAATAAAGATTCAGCAAACTTTTGAAGGTGTTCAGAGTGAATCGGGACTGAAATATCTGACAAGAAACTGGACTTTTTCACAATATTCTCATGTTTTGTAAAAGTGTTTTTTTATCCTAAACTGTAGGACATAATCATCAAGGTTAAAACAAAATACTCTTCAAATATTTCACTTTGTGTGTGATGAATCTGATCTATATGGAAATATTTGAATTATATCATGGAACTTTTTTGTCTGTTCCAATTTTTAAGCTCCACCTGTAATACTGGCTCTTATGGAAATTAAAAAGTACGATAATTTCTTTGTACTAACTAGACAGTGTCAAACTGTTTTTTTTTTTCTTTTCAAGCTGCAGCTGGAGACATACTTCTGCTAATATCTTTAGGTCTGAATTTTTAACCCTTGTGGTAAACAATTTAAAGTGGTCACATTATTGACCAAACTTCAGCCACTTTTATCGATTTGGCTCGTACTGTGAGGGTTAATCCACAAAAATCCATTACTATAAAACAATTTAGTAGAATTTAAGCGGACCACCATGAAGGCCACAGACATGACAGAGTTTCACCACAGCTTTTTGTCCTGCTCCCCTGTCTGCCTAAATCTAATCAGCTATGAATGCATAACGAACAATGAACTTATCTCTGGAGGCACTGTGTGTCTTGTTCTGGGGTTTGGGACAGTGAAGACCTGGCACATGTCCTCAACCTTCAGGCCAATAACAATCCTAACTTTGAGGTTTGAGTCGAAGCCAAACAGGAGACAAAGGCCATTTATGAGACCTCAGCTCACTCACTCACTCACACACACACACACACACACACACACACACACACACACACACACACACACACACACACACACACACACACACACACACACACACACACACACACACACACACACACACACACACACACACGCACACACACACACACACACGCACACACACACAATCATGCAAAAGTTCATAACTGCCGTCCATTAGCTCTTAGACAGGAGCTGTGTTTTAATGGGTGTCAACAGCGTCCTTCTGTACAACAAGTGAAGCATACAGCTGTGAATCGCCTAATGATGCCTTTCATCCCTCTTTCTGTTGCGCTCTTGATCTCGCTCACTGACTGTAACACAGACACACACTCACACAGCAGATCTGCTATAGTGAACCATTAAAAAGAGACAGAAGCTCAGCAGAAGAAACTCTGTGCCAGTATGATAAACTTTATCATCCTGCATTTTAAATTTGGCCTGAGTAACACTAGAACTTTTTAGTTCAATATTTGGGTGACTATTTCATGGTTGCTCTTCTTTTCTATTAAACTTTTTTTTTCAGGCAAATGCTTTGGCTGTGGACACAGATTTGAACACTGTCTGACGTTTTGCAATGTCCCTTTGTAGCTTTCGTATGGTCCTGCATGTAAGGAGAAATGTTGTCAAGTCAGAGGAAGTTTAAGTTAATATCAGCAGAGTGGCAAACGGCAAAGAGATGGCGAGGGGGAGGAAGAGACGGAGAGTACTTTGAAGGTCACTGAGTTTAGCATGCCTCACATAACCCACATTCCTTGTCTACTTCCATTTCAGCTTTCTAACTTTATCAACAGCCTGCGCTAAACTGTAAACCAGGCCTCCAAATGGGACAGCGTTCAAGAGCTCATAGACAATCCAAATGTGTAGTTTTCCGACCATTAAGTCCACAGCAGGTTAATGCATGTTTACTCTAGTCCAGATGCATAAATGTTAACCACTTTTAAAATAAGTAAAAGGCGCTACATGCTCTGTATCATCTGTATTTATCTTAGCTCAAAGGCATAACAGAGATAGTCCTTTACTACTGAGTTTGTGCAGCCAGAGCCAATGAAATACACTGCACGGCCTTCTTTTGTGAGTGTGTGAGTGTATGTGTGTGCGTGTGTGTGTGTGTATTGATGTACTCCAGGCTCTGTAAATGCAGGACTCAGGGAAAAAGAAAGTGACACCAGCACCCTAAAGTCTCAATGCAGCCCAATGATTTTTATTGATTTATTTAAACCAGCTGGCTGGAGCGGAGAGAGTTCAGCTGAGGACAGATGCGACCACTACAATACACAGGCATGCAAACACACACCACAAAGGCTAAGAAATGTAGTATTTAAATACCAGAGCTGTCCAGAAGTCCAGGACTCTGACTTGAGTCCAATACAAGTCCTCATAGTCTGGACTCATTCACTGAAAACTCAGACTCCAGCACTGGCTGCATTCAGACTCTTTGGATAAAGACGTGCACTCTGACTTATTTATTGATAAAGTCTGTTTTATTAACGCTCTTAGTTATTTTTGAATAAGGCCCCGATACTTTTTCTGTTCGGATCATGTGTTTCATTCAGCAACAGTTCCAACAAGACGCTTGCTACCAATCTTGACTTCGCTTTCAAAGACTTTACAGCAAATGTGAACGAGCCGAAAAGAAAAGAGCAACATGTCAAATATGTTGAAGATCCATCAAGGAGGAGAAATGTCCGGACTTCTTTCTCAAGGGTGGCTGAGGCAAGGGGGGCCGGAACATAATTTCTCTCTGTCATCGCAACCTATTTAAACTATCTTTAATTCTACAATTAAATGCCAAGAAAACAGTCTGGTAGTCTTTCATAACATAATCCAAACTTTTACACAAGTCCTGCCTTCAACGAGGAAAGTATTCTAGTCACTGTCCGGGATTTGGGCCTATCAGATCTAGTGATGTGTTGGTCGCGAACAAACTGGTTCAAAGAGCCAGCTCTTTAACGTGAATGATGGGAGCCAGCTCCCATCTAAGAGCCTCTTTTTTGTTTGTTTGTTTTTCTTTGTTTTCTCTTTTCTCTCTATCTGTTTTCCTCCCACAGAAAAAAAACTACAAGGCAGAATCTGCTTTGTGTAGCTGAATGGTTCTGCAAGCAAGTCAGTGCATTCATTGGGTGGTTTCAGAGAGTTACAAGGGTCTTTAAATTCAATGAAAACAATTGGCTACAGCAATTTACTGATATTAGAAAATGTAGCGTTTACTTGTGAATACTTCAGCACAAAAATACAAAAAAGTATATAAGCCAAAAAACGCAAAATTTAGCCAAATTAGAAAATGTATAAGTGGTAAAATGAAGAGCCGTTTCCGAGCTGAAAGTGCCGGTTCTACTTGGTGAGCAGAACCGAAAGATCTGGTTCACTAAAAAGAGCTGTAATTCCCGTCACGAATCAGATCCAGTGCCAGTGCCCCCCTTTGGACACAGCCCTGGGTCTAAGTTTTTTTCTTTTAATTTTGTTAAAACTCTGATCAAGACTGGATGGGTTGCAGGTTTTTTTGGACATTAAAAAAAAGACTTAGTTACCCCTTGGCAGCAGAATCCATGACAGCGTCTCCCCATTAAGAGAGGCTCATTGCACAAGTATGAAACTAGAGGATGACATTTTTCGGGAATTCCTGTGGGTCACGTGATTCCTGCGGGAATCCCACGGGATGGGAGTCATTTTTTATGATGCGTCCATTTTCCTAGTCACCTCTCAGTGAGAGCCAACACTATTGACCGCGCTAGCAACACAAAAGAACTAGATCAGTGGTTTGACTTCCTGTCACTACCGGAAGTGGAAAAAAAGAAGAAAAAGAAGTGAAAATTATGTGTGTCGCTGCCGGCGACGGCAGCCGCTCCTACTCGGCTGCCACTTTTACCTAATTTTTTTACGGGAGTGGGACAGGACAGGATTATTATTTTTTACTCTGGTCCGGGATTGGGACAGGACGGGATTTTTTCTCTGGGAGCGGGACGGGACAGGAGTGAAAATCCACTCCCGTGTCATGCTATAGATGAAACACAGTGTACTGCGCTGTAGCTTCACTGGTGATTAAAATCTTTGAACAAGCCAACCACCGGTCAAGATTCACACAATGTAAAGTTCAGAATGAAACAGCAGTTCTCACATCATCAGGACTAGTTTTGAGACTCCACTCAGGCTCCAGGTTTGTTGACGTAACTACAACATGGGTTAATACTTTTGAGCATTAACAGAACATGAGAGGACCCGATTTCCTTCTTGTTTCCAGTCTAAGCAAAATTCCTATTCAGGGTCTCAGTAAACTATATGACAGCTGAAAATCACAGCATGCCACTCATCCATTAAAATGATCCAATTAAAAGATAAGACAGCTCCATTTTATTCAAAAAATCTGATTTCTAATAAAGCATTACTGCTGCAAAAGATGCCACATTTAAATAAACCAATACATCAGATCTTTTGACATGACCAGGAATGAGAGAAAGGGCCAGAAGGAAAAGGGTAAGACTCAGTTCACTCCTAATGTAATTTAAGCCGGTCTGAAGTCAGATAAGGTTACAGATGGAAGCACTCTCTGTCAGATCAAATCAAATAGGAATCAGCCCAGTGAAGTGAGTGTTCGCCATTTATTCTGAAGTTGGAGCTTATCAAGTCTCACCTCTTACATGTCGGTTTGGGCTCAGGTCCAGTTAATTTTTGTTAAGATCAGATAAAATACGGGCTTGGGAAACAGTCTACTTCATATCTGCTGAAAAACTAAAGGAAAAAAATAGACCTTCCTGTTGCCATAGACACATACAGCTAAGCATAAGAACTATGCACCTTTAATAAAGAAGACGTGATAGGAAACCTTACATCTTAATGCATATTCAACCTTAGTCTGACCCTATTACCACGAGACTACAGTTCTCTGATTATGTCTCATTGTGTCTGCTACCTTGGAGACTGCAGCTGTATGCAGAACTGCCAAAGCACAACAGGCCGATTAAAAACATTCCCTATAGTTGCCTTAAAGAAATCACTGCAAACATATTAAACCGTGATTTTAGGATGTCTCTCCCCGACACCACCACTCAGGTGCAATTAGTAAAACTAAAACTCCTGACTGAAACTGTTAAACATCGCACATGAAGTGACCTCGGATGCTGCCCTTCTTGTACACCCCATCACAATGACTCACACATCCTAACTGTATCTAAACCCTGGTGGGCAAAACACACTGCAGACCTGTATTCCCTCAAAGAATAAAACTGCCACATAAAGCTGTGTTCACACATGTTTCAGAGTGGTTTGCATATGCAAATGCACGCAGCTGAAGTTTTTGGGCCAAACTTTACTTACACTTTTCTTACCAACTCCTTGTACAAATTCTACTTTAAGTAAGCTTGAACTGAGGTTAGAACTCAATATTGGGGTGTCATTAATCATATCATGCCACAAGCACAAGCAACACATAACTAGAAGAATAAAAAAATCAGAGGTTGGACGAGGAGAATCATTTTCAAGACCAGAACAGCAAAATTGTCTGCACATCTGTCTGTATGCAGATCGCACTGGTACAAATGTACAAGCTGTCGTCATAGTGTAAGTCTGTGTTGCCCTGTCATCATCATGTTGTTAGCATTACACTCATTTCAAACACAGTTAATTCAATCAGTTGCTTTTGGCGATTTTACTGGCATATTATTTTTGTCCCAGTTTACAATCAGCAGGTAAAAGTTGCTCGTGTTAGCAAGAGGCCCATGGGATGTAGATTAAGTCACGTTACCGATTGTTTGGAAAGTCTTGTCTTCTTTATGTCGATTCTTCTTCTGTTGAGGTTTTGTTTACTACCTGCTTCTTAGCAATGCATCCATCCTATTCATTTATTCCAGTGTTAAACCTCTTAACAGCACCTTACATAAATGTAAATTTTCACAGAGGCATTCTGAGATGTTTCGGCCTGTGTAGGTGTGTGAAGTAACCACACAAACCAAACACACGAGAGGTCACAGCCTCTCACACTCCAGACACCCTTTCCAGGAAATATGCTGCCTCTGCCTGTCTGAGACATATTGAAGGGGTGATAAATCTGAACACACACACACACACACACACACACAAAAGTTGTCATATCCTGTTGGTATGACTCATCCAGGGTTATGCACTGCAGTGATCCTTTTTGCCTCTCCTTTCCTGGTGTGTAAGAAGACACCCCAAATGTGTGACACTGTAATACACGCACGCGTGCCGCGCACACACACACACACACACACACACAGACACACAGACACACACACACACACACACACACACACACACACACACACACACACACACACACACACACACACACACACTTACTAAATATAAAAGTTGTACACACGAGTGGAATGAATGAATGAAAGACTGAATGAATGAACATAAGTATGAATGGGGAGGAAATGAAGCTGAGTTGTTACATTCCACATGTACACCCAAAGGCCATACACACCAAGGACACACACACACACGCACACATACACACACAAACATCAGAAAATTACTCTCTTGTGAACACACTCCTTGCTCACTTGCACAGTCGTGCACACAGATACTGGCACACTGCAGAGACAATCAGGGAATAAATAGAACAAAAGTTATTTTAATGATTTTAGGAGTGACTGCTTTGGTCATTTCAGTCCAAAGCAGAAAATAATTTTTGTGATTTGTGTGATGACAATATGAAGAATAAAATTTGTGCTGACCACAGCAAGTCAAAATGCTATCTGTCCACTTTCTACACCTGCAAATTGAGTTGATCAAACTTTTTACTGCTCAACGTGAAACTGTCCTTGCACATATTGTAGTGATAAAATCACAGAAACATTACCAGTATAGAAGACTCCTCTTCCCATATGTCCTACCCAGCAACCCCTCAGCCAAACCAAGCAGAGTATTTCCAGTTAAGATGGCACATCCAACACAAAAATCAGCCACAAAACAGCCCATGTGTGAGAAGCAGATTTCTGAGAATATCAGCCCTGACTTCTCTTGAAAATGTCAGGAGTTCATGTGTGAAAAAAGGGTTTAATAGCTGCTTTGCTCTTAAGGAATTGTTCGATCAAACCGAGCTTAATCTGACCTGGCCAACAGGTCGTGATGGAGAGCCCTGGTCAGCCTGGAAGCAACAACAAGTTCAAGAGACTGCACTTGTGTAGATTTTTCCTAGTCTTTAGCTCTGACACTCTACATGTCACATTCCCCCAAAGGCTGCACAATTAATCGATTTTAAATTGGAATTGGATTATTTGATTATGACGATGTTAAAAAAATTAAAATGATCAAATCTATTTTCCTCTTTATCATGTCTCGTGCCTCCAGGCCACTGTAGGCTCCCCCTTCCTGCAAGAGCGCTCCCCAGTTCCCACACACACCAGTGTAAACAAACATGGCGTTTGCAAAAGAGGGTGATAATTTTCTGGCTAAAAGGGGCAAGAGGAAGTCAGTCGTGTGGAATTAGTACGGCTTGGCAGTTTTGGACGAAGAGCAAACCACTCCCCGCTACAGAGTCTGTCTGAAGGCGGTATGAACCTGTCCACATGGAAACTAATTCAGGAGTGAGCACAAAATTTTTTGTCATATTGGTGTTTCATCCACATTTCGGGTGACTGTAAACTGTTCTTTTTGAAAATGGGTCAGAGAGTACATAAATCCATAAACAACTACCGTTACATCTCTGTGTGTAAACCTATCTGCATTTTTACCTCCGCCAAGGAGGTTATGTTTTTGGTAGCGTTTGTTTGTTTGTTTGTTTGTTTGTTTGTTTGTCTGTTAGCAACTTTATGGAGAAAGTAACAGACGGATTGACCTGAAATTTTCACCAGAGGTGTGTCTCAGCCCCAGGAGGATCACATTACATTTTGGTGGTGATCCGCATCACCTTCTGGATCCAGGAATTTTTTGAAGGATTCTTATTCATTGTGAGATAGGGCAAATTTTGGAATTTTTGCATTTAACTCTATAAAAATGGCCAGAGTCTTTAGTAAAAAATTACACAAAAGGATCTCAATGAGTTTTATGAGGTGTCAAAGGTTGATCCTGATCCAGACAAAATTCCGGATACTGTGAGCTGCTTGGTGGAGGTCTGCGCTCTCCGAGTGCTTTTCTAGTTTGAAATGTTTAAGTGACACACAGCGTAACTCTTTTATGGCGCCTGCACGTGTCCGGCCAAAACAACCTTGATAAGAATGCTCTGTACTCTTCTTCTGTCTCATCGTTTTCAGTGGTTTTGTTTTAAGAGATGATACGAAACCTTTTTATTTTTAATAAAATTTTATAGGCACTGAATAAGAAAAAAAATCAGGATTTAATTTTGGGCCAAAATCATGCAGTCCTCATTCACCCTTTCACACACTGCAATGCGAAAAGCCGAGCTGCCATCAGAACTTATCTTTACAAACACTAAACACAAACTGGTGGGAGTTAAAGCTTAAGTGTGGACTGGCACATGATTTGGCACCTCAAATATGTGTGAATGTTCATCCCCCTGAGAGTGTCTGGGTGAAGGTCTCAGACTAAAGCTGACATTTCAGACAATCATGTATGGACTGTATCAATCTGGACTCTGCACTTCCTGACAAACAACCTCTGACCTTACAGCGGCTTCTAGCTACATGATCAAAACAATCCTCAGTGACCCAAAGGTCACTGGCTCCACTCTGGTCCCACACACAGAAAAGTGGACATGTGAAAATAGAGTGTGTGTGTGTGCGTGCGTGCGTGCGTGCGTGCGTGCGTGCGTGCGTGCGTGCGTGTGAATGTGAAAGACAAGTGGGGAAAGTTAAAAAGGAATCAATCAATTTGGTACCAAAGAAACAGACTTGAAGCAGACTTTAGAGTTTGTAAAACTTAAGAGTTCACTTTGTCGTCTTTTATCTTTTCATCTTTTCTCTCGTTCTTAACTTTTATCTTGCTGCTGAGAACAGACAGAAAACAAACAACTCCAGCACTAAAAATAGACCTAAGCATGTTTTTGCTTTTCATAAACTTGGCCTTCTATCTCTCCATCTTGTACCGAACTACCACTCTAACCCTTACCTTCAACTTCTTCTCTTATGTCTTGCCAAATCTATCATTTCCCTTAACCTCTCCATATATCTACTTCTCTTTTTCTGGTCATCCTACTTCCACTGAAATTTTCTCCCACTATTTGTTTTCTCTTTTTTTTCAACCCCCTTCCTTCCTTCTTTCCTTCCTTCCTTTCTTCCTTCCTCCCTTCTTTCCTTCCCTACCCTCTAAGTTTCTCTCTGGTCAGCGGTGGGTCTTGAGAACAGCAGATGCCTCCATATTTGGACACGCTGATGAAACCGAGGGATGAGGCTCTTACAAGATCCTCCTTCAAATACCCTTCCATTCCTCCCTCCCATCCATCCATACCTCCTCCCTCCTCTTCTGTGCCATCATTTCAGAGAGGGGAGTTATTTGAATGCTGCGTTTCTCTTTTTCTCCCACCACCCCATCTCTTTAACTCACTGTGTAGCTCTCATTTGCAAGATAAACACCTTCACACAACACAGAAATTTACAAATGAAGAAAAAAGGATTTTTCATCATGCATCAATCAGCCTGGTATATCAGTGGTTATGTGCTACGCTGCCATGGAGTCAAACAAACAGTATCAAATAGGATACTGAAATACCAGAGGCCTGTTGCACCAGCTCTGAACCAGTCATGTCCTTATTTAGAGTCGACCCTGAACCATATCTTAAAACTAGCTAGTTACAGACTTAAGTTGTGTCAGTGTTTTGATCCAAAGACATAAAAATTCATCTTAATTAGTGCCATGCACTGTCCAAATTAGACAAAATATTATTGCAGATATAACAGTTTCACTTGTTGTGGCCAGTCCCTGAGAATGACCTTTCTTTTTTCTCTTAACACTTCATTTATAAACAGGTTTTATAGCGCAGAACAGAACATTCATACCTTCAAAGATCTTTTATCCATTGGTTGGGTGATGGAGGTAATGTATCATCCCATTTAAATAGAAGTGAACTTCAAACTAGAAAGGGAAAGGCAATGTTCTCCTGAAAGTAAGGTTGGAAGTTCAAACCTGCTGGAGCTAAGAATACACCAAAAACACCAACCAAAGGAGAAAGCAGGCAGGTACGGACAGGACCACAGCACATGATACATAGTCACTGGGGTCTGTTTACACCTGTCACATAAAAGGCTCAGGTTTGGAAATATTCAGTCAAGCCTGGCTTTAGAAAAGCGCAGCCAATGTAGTACCTTGAATTGAATAAAGGCATGCCTTGCACAGACAGAGGACAAAGGGCAAGTCCTATATCTCTGCTGACAGAGGATTCCTGGATCATTTCCCCATTGCTCTGATATATGTGATGCAAAGAGATGACATCCATCCATAATGTGAGAATATAACATTGAGATTTTACAAAAGAGTCTAGGCAAGATGATGAGGGAATGGTTGGAAAATTTCATGTTTTTTCCACATAAAGTCCCTCATTGTAGGAAGTGGAAAAAATGGTTACTAGTCAGCCCTAATGACCTGGGTGGTTGCACAAAGCAAGCACAAGTGTTACTAATATACAGATCCCCAATATTATGTTTACCAAGTTAGAAAGCCTTTGTCTAGTAAAGATGGCAGAGATGATTGTTCACTACAGCTGGGTGAAAAGATATATTCTAAATATCACAAAGTGGTAAGTAACATTTCCATCAAAATTGTTCATAAGTGAAGGCAAAGATGTGCACCACAGGGCAGGGAGAGAAAGGGGTCCAAATGGGCTAACAAGTAAAAAATTACTGCAGTTAACTCCTGATGATTAACTTACTGTAGCACAGGTATGTAGAATATGACAAAGCATTGTAATTGGCTGATACGAAAGGCTTACATCCTAAATCTACAGTGACTGTAGTGTACAATAATAACACTGGCATCAAACAACCACAACAGACTGCAATGATGATACTGATGAAATAATAGTTGATATACACATCTAAGGGAAAGAAAGCAAAAAATGCACAGCAGACATGATACCGCTGGTTAAAGCCTCTGCTCCTCCTCATCCTGCAGGTTTACCTTTCACTCAAGAAAAACTAGCATTTCACAGTGGACTCAACGCCATAGCTGTCAAGTATCCTATTTTGGCCGGAAACTACCGTATTTTACCCCTCTTCCCGCATTAGTATTCTCCCGGAAATCTCCCTTATTAAAATATATGTATATAAAAAACATTATCCTGCCTCTCCAAACTGAACTCTGTGGCTAGCATGCCCTAATGCTGCATTTTAGTTACCTCGGGAGTCAGATGTCGGAGCTGAAAATGACGTCCCACCCAAGTTCTCAGTGTTTCAGCTACCAAGTCTTAAAAAAAAAAAAAGCTAAATTGGAGGCGGAAACAAGATGGCTACATCTACCAAAGTTATTTCAGCACTTGCCTTATATTCTGACAAGTCAACAGGATGACACTTTTTTGTAATCAATACCAACAAAGTACGTAGAGGACAAGATGAGTCTGCTTTGTCCACAGGGGGCACCAAAACTGACACAAGTTGAGAATTTCTCACAGGAGCTTGTAAGAAGTCTTAATATTGAGGTCACTGTTCATTTTTACTTCATGTTCGCTTGCCAATGACAGAATATTAACAGTATTGAAAAGGCAGACAGAGGACCAGAGCTCTTATATCTTTAACATAATGGATTTATGTAATTCTTTCATCAGTGTCTTTATGGGATCCTTCTGAGGATCCTGACAATTTCTTCAGCCCATTTGTCCAACTTATTGAGACTCAAGTAAAATTTGTCATCCTGCTGTCTGAAATAGATGTCACAGTATGAATATGGTGCTAACACATGCTAACACCAGTCGTCCACTTGTCTCTCAGGCTTCCACTAACATTACACTGTTCTTGTAACGGTTCACTAGTTAGAGGACACAGATATCTTTTTGTAATCATTCACCATCTGTTTGAACGTATTTTTCAAAGCCCCTCAAGTCTGTGTGTGTGTGTCAGTGTGTGTGTGTGTGTGTGTGTGTGTGTGTGTGTGTGTGTGTGTGTGAGGCATGTCGTCCAGTGGTTTGACAGGAACAGTGACGCACTGCGACTGACACTGCGTCACTCTGGTAAACACACACATACACACACACATATACACACACATGCACATACACAGACACATGCACGGCTCTTGAAAAAGCATTTCGGTGCTCTACAGAGGCTTTGTAAGTTGCCCTACGCAAGGATGTCACTCAGCGACAGAGAACAGTCCTTGAGTGAAAAAAGTGACGAACCTTGGTTACACTGCCGAGGGGACACTGATGACGGCCGACACGTCATTTTGCCTGAATAAATGCCAGTTTCTAACTCAAAGCATGACGGTAGATAAATTTTTAATCCTACCAACTGTTGTAACTGCAGACCACAAAGAAGTGCCAAGCAGTCCTGAAAACTTCGGAACATTTTCAGTGCTTGTCATAATCGTTTCTTTTAAAAGCAAGAGAAAACTTTTCAGAAACCAGCTGTATTAAGACAGATCTGAAAGTGTCCATCTGTATAAAAGAGCTACTGGTCCAGAAATAGAGTTAGTCAACTTATCTTTTTCTAATCTAAGTACAAACAGTTGGTACAAATGTGTACAAATAGTGTTTAGATTTTTCAGAGACAGATTTTCTAGTAACATGAGGTATATCTTATGGTGTTTAGTATGCAACAATGGTCTACTATATTGTTGGATGGTTTTCTTAAAGATATACAGTTGTACTTTGCACTCCCTGCCTCTACACACACACACACAGCCATCCGCAAGACTGTGGGAAAATCCTTGGGAAAGGGTCTTGACCTGAAAAATCAATTTTTTTTGTCGTTTTCTCCTCCCTCCCTCGCTCCCTCTAATGTCTTAGACAGACCACCAAAGAACAGCAATGTAAACAGTGTTTCTGCTGTGACTTTACTGATCCCGATTTTTTGAGACTGGCACTCTAATTTGTAGACTTATACAACAGATGTTTTGGCCTGAAATAATAATGTTTTTATCTACATATACATGCATGTTTAAGTTCACATTTAAACTATGTGAAAACTAAATCTTGTTTTCCCATACTCTAGAAGAAAGACAGCAACTTTGAGACATGGAGTGAGAGAGAACAAAATAGAAAGGATAAACAAAAGTGTGTGGTGACTTAGGGTTGTTTCAATAAAAATGTACAGCTGCCATTGGGGGAGCCCTGGTCTGGTCTTTGAGCGGATTTGGCTTTTGACCAACATATAGCGTGTAGCTTGATAACAAGTATTTTATATCTGTGAGGGTTCATGATAATGCTGCATAAACTAAGCTCTGTATACCTTTTGGGCATTGAACACAATACAGAGCTACACCACAGCACCCTGAGTTACACCCTTGGTAATAATAGTACGGCCCACCCTGGATGACTTCTGTCCCCCCCTCCAGCCTACTCTCACTCCCAATCCTAAAAATACAAAGCCTTGTGAAGCTTTCAACTAACTCTCATGTAAAACCATCCAGGACTCTTAACTGAAAGATTAACAAAGCCTGCATGCAGCGACAGTCAGGGGCAGTGAGTCAGAATGATGACAAGCAACAATTAATACAATCCTATTTTCGAAGTATAAGTGAACAATACAGCAACCCAATATTTCCAAGTGCGGAAATGAAAAAACAAGACTGCAAGATTATGAAGGACAAGCTGACAGGGAACTTCCACTGATAGAGTTGCAGATGTGTGAGTATGAGGATGGCAGCATTACCACAGTTCAGAAAAATTTGGATACACCAATCCAATCCTGGTATCAGGTTCTAGCCGGATACTTGCCTAAAAAGCTAGATCGGATATCGTGATAGAGGGCCAATCCAGGAAGCCAATCCCTCAGCTCAGTTCTATGCTCTCTTGTGTTTACAATAACCATCTCAAGAAGCTCGGCAGTTTGGAGCTAACTGTTTCAAGCCTGGTTCACCAATGTCAATAACAGTAACTTGCAGTATGCAAAGCTCATGTTTTTGAGGGAGACAGTGACACAGCATTAGAAAACAGAACAGAACAGTTAATGTTTGCAGCAGCCAAAGAAAAGACACCAAAAACTTCCCAGTGATATTTTCAGAGTGTAGAAATGACAGAGGAGATTACAGGACAAACAGTTGACCAGTTTGGCAGATTTCTTTCTCTTTTCTGTGACTGTATGATCAACTGTTATCAATGATTTAGGGGTTACAGAAATTGACCAAAAATAAGGTGAGCATAATATGTACTACTTAATAATACTGCATTATACTACAGGTAACTTTTTATGACTTACTCAATAAAGTCAGATAAATTATGTTGATTTGCATTATCCTTCTTTCCAATTATAGAAAAGCCTGATGTTGCCAAAACATAATTTCTAGTTTTACCCACACCAGGTCAATCATTTATAGCCTGTATCGGATCACTTTAGTACCAGCTGATTACCAAAGCCTGTGTATCAGTATCAGGACTTAAAAAGTCAGATGGGTACATCCCTAAATAAAACTGGTGTCTGGCTTTGAATATCTCCCTCTACCTATTCTTAAACTTGGGATTCAAAGTCATAAATTGAACACAGTCATAAATACTTTGAACCCATTAAGCTGGTTGCTTTGTCACTTAAGATATAGGGCTCTATTTTCGTGTCCGCCCGTGATGCGGTGGAGTGGCGTACCCCACGCAGTGGTATTTTCTTCTGACGGAGCCTGGCGTACAGCCAGTTTGGTATTTTCGTAGACTGAGGCGCACCAAGGCCCGCCAAGCTGGGCATGGTGGCGCAGCAGGGGGAGGTGTCGACAGAATCAGCTGGCGCAGTGACATTTTTGTGCTCGCTGGTGGCGTGTAACCAGTTCTGGTCTCTTGATCTCTTTGACTACTTCATGAAAATTATAATACGCCTCTCTGGTGGCGGATTTAAAGGCGAGGAGAGGAGCTTATGTGATTGGTGAAAACAGGTCTCGGCTGTGTTAAATCCACTCCACACCCTCTCTCCTCCCTTGCTACGACTTACGCCGCTGGGAGGAGCTGAGTTGGGGGGGCGGGGATACTTATGCCGGGCTGCGCCGCTCACCAAAATACCAAATTGTGCTTGGGAAAGCTTTGTCGGCGCGGTGGGCCTGACTTACGCCGTGCCTGAGGCATGTCTCCGGCGAGGCACGAAAATAGAGCCCATCGTGTTTGTGTAACCTTCTTAAACACTTGATGTGTGTCTCTTAATGCTGGAATCTGCTTTAAGCTCCCGGCTAAAGTCAGTATGGTCTCCCAGGAGAAAGTGCTATCTTACACATTAAAAACTGTTGCTTTGTCATACTCTTTTCAAAATTGATTATTTCGTTGTTAGGCTGGAGGCCATAACGTAGGAGCAGCTGGTTTTATTCTGCTTGTCGACAAAAGCCAAAGTTTGCCCCTACACGTGTCTCAAAGGTTTTTTTGCTGCTGTGCCTGCTTGAAACTGAGCTTATCACAACATTTTCTGCTGACTCTTATACCGCAACAAACCATGAAGAGCCAGGGCTTCACTGTGATGTACTCCACATCCTCATACTCTCTTTTTAACTCAAATTGAAGAGATGCAACACTTCTATGAGCAAATACTTCACCACCTGGCTGAAACCATCTTCCAATGAGTATTTTCTCAGAGAAATTCAGCTAAAATGTCAGTGTTTATCTTGCCTTTATTGCTTTTCCTTCCTATATCAAGTTTGTGATCCCTCAGAACTCATCCTTACTTTCCCCACACAGGCCATAAACTCTGTTTCTGCCTCCTATATGCACTTCAGCTATACAAACGACTGCAAAGGAAGCTCATGGATTTTTTAACAGGCTTGAGGCCACACTGTGTATCTATTATTCAGAGCAGTCGTTTAACTCAGTACTGTACTGATGCACACATACACACACATACACACACACACAATAAGCAGTACAAAAAGCAGCTGCTGTTGTCACACTGGCACATACAGCTGTTACAAATGTGGAATCTGAAGCAGTTGTCATATACACACATGCTCAATAACTGCAAACTGTAGATAAACACGCCTATTCATTCAGTATGTTCAAACTGAAGTAGGTTTACAAAAGCTTTAACACACACACCCACACCCAAACCCACACATGCACACACACACACTGGATTCTTGACCCCTGCTTTTCTGACTCTCATACATTCTGTATGAGCTGTTCAATCAGTAACCGTAGGACCGGCGTGTTGCAAAGACCTTGGTCCACCAGGAAGTCAGTCGTTAGGACTCTCTAACAATGAGCATGAATTGCAAAGTCCAAAATCCCTCTGTGATAGAGCAGAAGATAACTGTGAACTGTGAAAGTATTACTTAACGCCAGGTCAGGGTCAGGAGAGGCAAGTTGCAAGCTGCCAACCAGACTAGCCTCTTTTACACATGCAGTTTATTCCTGAAAATTTCCTGACACTGTCCAGGTGAACAGCATGTGTAACTGCAAACAACCCTTCTCTGGTCACCTCTAATAAATCAGAACTTTTTCCTACTTTACCCTCATTAAAAGTATGAAGTAAGAAGTCAGGGTGAGCTAGTGTAAGAATATATAGCAAGTAATTTTCTCCAAAAGTTCTCCAAATTATAATGTTCACGTTGAGTGGGTTGTTACTGCTTTATACCATTTTCCACTAACCTCGGTAAACAGAACTATAGTACCAGTGGGGAAAGAGTCATTATGACAATATCAATTCATTAACATCCCTCATTCGTAATATCCTCCCTCTTCCTCCACCAGGAGTATTTTGGGTTTGAAGAGTGCTGACATTCTCCCAGTGTGAGGTTCATGTGTGAAAGCCAAGTTCTTACAAATGACAGGACCTGATGGGCCTAAATATTATCAGGAAAATGTCAGGAATTCACTCCTGAAAGCAGCTTTTGCCTACATTTGTAAAGCAAAGATACACAGGTTTGTGTTTGTATTAAGTTGACTGAATGAGACATTTTGTCAGACACATACATGACAGAATAAGTATTGAAACCAGCTCTGTATAAGTTGTGTCCATAGTTAAGTCCACACTCACTCATACATTTACTATAGTTTGATGGTAACTTTAGTTGGTTCAGTGTTTGGTTGCACCACAGAGGCACAAGGTTTATCTTAGCTTGTAGAACATCAAGTTCACACCAACCAACATATTGTCACAGAAATAACATTTTTACTCCATTTGGCCAGTCAGTGAAAAATAAAAACCTTTGCTCACCAGGCCAGTTTGTTCAAAGTGCCTGCTGAGCTGGAGTTTTTTTTTTTTAATGTTTATGAAATTGGCTGAAAATAAGCCAACAAAACCATAAGTTACAAGATTAATAGTAAAAGTAAAAGACTAGCCATGCAATGACTTCTTTGTCTATTGGGGGTACCAGAACTCACATAAGTTGAAAGTTTCTTACAGAAGCTTTAAGTGACTCTCACACCACAAATTTCTCTAAATAGGCAAACAGCGCAACATAGATGCGATAAAACAGCAGGTTAAAGCCTCTGTATAGCCTCCTTCAAATAAACATATCTTTAACCCTCACATACTGTTCAGGGTCAAATTTGACCCGTTTTGACTTTTAACAGCAGTAAAAAATATCCTAAACATCATTTTTTAAGCCTGAATCTTGATGACTTTTCCTGAAGTTGCCCAAAATGCATGAAATTAATTTAAAAATATTCATGTGTATTTTTGTTTATGTGCTACAAATTTTTCCCCTCTAAGGCTGGTCAAATTTGATCTATATTTAGATGGATTTTAGATCTAGCAGTGTGGGACAAGTGACAAACAGTAACAACAGTGTTCAATATAAGGTTTGTTGTTCAAAAAGATATATTCAAATCATTATGAAACTATCATTACCTTGACAGAGACACACACACACACGCACGCACACAGACATACAGTCACACAGACACACCTAGACAGAGGTCAAAATGACCTAACTAGTCAAGAGAACTTTCTGTGACAGAAAGCTGCTCTTTGAACTCTTTGAAGGGGCAATTTTGACCCGGAACATACTGTGAGGGTACAGGATTTGAACAGTATGTGAGGGTTAAAAACAATGTGCCATGACGAGTGGCATTTAACAGAGGACTTAACACCTACACAGAGCTAAGATTCAAGGTGTAACTTATGCCTACAGAGAAACTACATCAGCTAGTGCAACCTCTAAAATGCTGATTAAGTGTAATTTTTTTCCTAACTTAGAAATCATGTTCAAACTACGCTACACTTGAACAAACTGTTATTTCACATTCTGGTTAAAGATGATAATGTTTCAGCTTTATCTTCTAAACTCAAGTGTCTTGTCAGAATGAAAACAAACAGATAATGTGTCTCAACATATTGTTGTTGTTTCATTGGATGACTAACAATTCAAAAACATCAGCATGTGTGCCTGTCTCTATCACTTACACACCTTGAAAGACCGGATAGACCTGTCAAAAACATTAAAGCCAGAATGAGCTGCTGACTCATGTGTTTGGTACTCATTTAATAACAGAAATTAAGTCAGAGCCGTGGCAGAAATAGAGAGGTTTGAGACCAATGGCAAACTGCCTGTGAGGACTAGTTAAAGATTAAGTGTTTGTGAGTGTGTGGGTTCACACTCTGAGAGGTAATCAGGCTGGAACAGGGTTGGGCACACTTATCCACACTACACACACACACTCACACAGACACTTGACTCGACACATTCTCAAGCAGCAGGAATGACAAACTTCTAGTGAAATATGTGGAGTTAATAAACAGAAAAAAAAAACAAGAGAAGGGAGAAGGAATGAGTGAGTGACACTGTAGATCTACTAAAAGAGAGAGAAACAGGGGATGACAGACTGCTATTAGAGCTCTATTAGGATAGATTGAGCTTCAGAGGAGATAAGACGAGAGAGGAGAAAGAGCACTATCTATAAAGAGCTAATGTTATCAGTGCTTGTGGCCTCTTCTTATACTCTGCTGCTTCATTAGCTGCTTACTGTCTGTAAAATGATGATTTAGCTCTAGCATTAATGATAATGGAATAAGGATGTACCTAATATAATATTGTAGAAGGTACACTGCAGTACAATTTGTGCTATGTACTGTGGAAAGTCAGACAGAACAGAACGACGATGCTTTTTCATCTTTAGAGATATTTCCTATTCATCATGGAAATATGAATAATCCTGTGGGTGACTGATCAATAAAGCAAACAACTTGGTGGACACAAAAAGTAAAAGGAGACATACTGAAGACGCAGAAATTAACCATTTCACTTTAAACAATACCTAAATAATGCCTCATTATGTTTTAGTGAACTAAAACATCATGACACCTACGCTCTGTCTGTGTAACTATGGTGAAAGGACCAAGCTGGGAAGTTTTATACTGACAAAATGGGTAAAGTCAATTGCATTTCAGGTACGCCAAGAATGACAGAAATCAACTGTTCAATCAACTGTTCACTGCAAAACCTGCTGCAAAAAATTGAGGCTTAGGGTTAAAGACACTAAACTTAATACAGCATCATCACCCAGCAATACACATCACAGTAGTGGTTATGCATAATGCATAGGTGGTATTACCTTGGTGACAAGCTACATCATGACACATAGAGATGGTTCTGAATCCAATATAAATGTATCTGTCACAATTGGTGTTGTAGCAGGAAAGTTACTCTTTCAGAGCAAAGTAAACAAAAGCAGCAAACACAGCAGCCAAACAGCATGACTCTGTAGAGAAAACTGTCATCTCAAAGGCTTTAGTCATTGCTTCTTCCTGTATGTGTGCAGAAAACATGAGGTGTTGTAGGTTAAATTATCCACTGCAAATTTTTGCTAAACTTCAAACAAACCAAAACATAGGCATCCACCAGTGATTTTAGTAATGATAGTAGTAATGATTGCGAGTTAATGAATGCATCTGAGACAAGAAAACTGAACAGAGGAGCTGCTGTTTGTCTCAAATGATTATTTGGAAACAGTCACAGAATTCCGTACAATCTCACGAGTGTATTTCCACAGAAATTGAATTAGCCTTGATTGAACTATAGAGAGTTGGTTTTGAAGATTTAGATGTGGGATGATATAAAGAGGGCAGAGTAGCAGAGTCAGTGACCCACTGGGACTGGCCAGGTTATGGTTAAGAATCTGCCATTTGCTTCTGCATATTTAGGTGACACCTTTGATTTAGCACAGGCTAACCAGCCTGAGGGCATGAACTTACCGCTGCCACACGCCACACTGAATGAGACACAGTAATTTCATCGTGCACAGACAATGAAAAACTGACAAATGAGTAGGCAAGCACCTAATTTGCATAATATACAACACAAAACATAAACATACACAACACCTCCTGACTCACCCAGAATGGAACAGACAAGGTGCCAATGCCACCCTAAAATACCACTTAGTCTGTAAAAGATCCAAACCTTGAGTCTGCAGATATACGTACAACGTGCAGCAATACTAAAGCGTTGCCGCCCACGACTCAGAAGCTAATTGCTAATGAGCTACTGGAGCTCTACAGAAGAAAAGTCCTTAGAAATGACACAAGTAACATGATTTTGGCAAACAAAAAATAAAAAAATAAAAAAAAATAAAAAAACTTCACCATCACAACTCAAAGACAACTGAAAACACATTAAGTAGTAAAAAAACAACAACAATTGGAGTGGGACTTTACGACGGTGGTGGCATGGAAAAGTAAAGGTATTGTGGTAATGTGGAGAATCTCTGGAAAATGGCAAATTTAAGCTGAGCCAACCAACATCATAAACATATCTATATACTGTATATTTATATACATCATCTTTTTAAACCACGTCAAGAAAAGTTTCTCTGACTCTGTGTAGAAAGCTGTTCATTTGTTGTTCATTTGTTGTTCATTTCGGTCGACAACAAGCGCTGCATCAATTTCTCTCAGCTTTCTCACAGCTGTTTAAAACTCTCTTTCTCACTGCCAAACACGACAAACTGTTCAGGTCACACCTTTCTGTGTGCAGAAAACTTTGAGTCTTTGATTCAGCAAGAAACTCGATGCCATCCTCCCCTTTTCCCTCCAACAACAAAAGCTGCAAGTCAATATATAACTCTGTGACCGTTTGCCAGTCTGGAAGAGAGAGTGATGGCACCGTTTAGAGCCAAGTGTGAATACAGTCTGACATAAGGCCTGACAATAGAACAGACAGACTGTGTTTGCAAGAGAACTAAGATTAGACGACCCAAGAGGAGTTCCCTGCTGGGGAGACTAGCTCCATTGATGCTGCTTCACAAAGACTATTGAGATGGACTAAAAGAGTCTTTTCCACTTTTTTCACCCTCTTTTTTGTGTCAGTTTATTTAATTCCCACCGTACAAATGGTGCTTTAAGTTTGTGAACACCTTTTTCCTCTGTTGGAATCGTCACAATATGTGGCAGAAAAAAAGCAGGCACACCGTTAATCTCTATCTCAAACTGAACGTTTTGGCTGACCACAAAAACAAGCCACAAACAGAGAACCAAACCAAATCTGATTGACAGCTCCACCGAGGGAAAAGCAGCTCACAGAGGTCTGACACTTCAACTGAACTCTGCTGATTGATCTATACTTTGAAACAAGGTTTTATCCCGATAGAGGCTTTTTCTGTGAAGTAACGCTGATTTTATTACATTAAAAAAATGAGATTAAAGAAAACTCAAACAGATCAGTGTTTTGTTTGAGCTGCAGTCACGTTAGCCATTTGACAAGTACATCCCAAATGTACTTTTCCTGTGATTTCCGTGCAAGAGTATCGATTCACAGCATTGCTATGCAAGTTGTCAACATTTGTTTGCTGCAGGGATTTCCAATCCATTTGTTGTTTTGGGAGATTAAAGGCTGTAATCTCAGTGACACAAGCCTCACATCCAAATATGGCGCTCCACCATAAATCTGTAGAGTGCTGCTCTACTATGACAAATTTACAATCAATACAGAATTACTGATGGCATTAGATAGTCAACGAAGCAAGCAATGTATGATCCTGGATGACAAAATAGCTTTGCATTTCCTGACTGAATGCCCAGTGTTTAAAACTCCACTCTGTAAAAGGGGGTTTTGACTGTATTTCAAGATTGAATAACTGATTGATATCCAGTTATATATCAACCAAAACATGCCTCTCCTTCTGGTGCTCTGATATTTTAATCTTGTCGTCTGATCTGCTTTTGTGGACCAAAAGTTTCAAGTGGACTAACTGGTCAGGTAACATATTTCAGTGCTGTCTAGGCTGGCAGTGACCCCGTCGACTCAGATGACCCAGTGCTGATGTGCATATGCTCAGACAATGCTGGCTTTCAACCTCTAACCTACACATGTGCAACTACATTCAACTGCTCTCTTTCTTGAAATCTTGCATTTTTGGCCTCCTCCAGCATCCTGATTCTTTTTCATCACAAGTTTATTGCTGTTAATACAATCCCATTGAACCCTTTCTGTCAGCACAGGTACTCTCACCTTACTTAGAAAACTCAAAGCAAAAAGGAGACTCACCCTTAAGTTTCTCCACCACACTCTCCCCCGCTCTCTCCACCACCTGTCCATCCTCCCTCTGGTAACGATCATCCAGGAATCGGGCAGTAGCTTCAGAGAGGTGGACTTTACCCGCCACGCCGAGCTGCTCCATCAAGTTAGCCAGATTGACATCATTTGACCAAACATCAAACTTGAAGCGCTTCATTCCCAGGATCCCACACAGGACGGTGCCAGTATGGACACCCACCCGCATGTTGACAGTTTCACTTGTCTCCTGGCAGAACTGCTCGATGGCCTGGATCATGCCCAAGCCCATCTCCACGCAGCAGTTGGCGTGGTCTGATCTAGGCTCCGGGCAGCCAGCAACACAGTAGTAGCAATCTCCCAGAGTACTGATCTTCTCACAGCCAGTTAGTTCACAGAGCCGATCGAAACGTCCGAAGAGGTCATTGAGAAGGCCCACCAAGGCCGGAGCGGACTTGTTGGCAGACATTTTAGTAAAACCCACAATGTCTGCAAAGAGGATGCTGACAGGCTCCATGCGCTTCATATTAAACGGCCTGAAGATGATCTGTCCTCGAGGGATGGAGGTCTTCTTTCGCTTGTGGTTGTTGTGACGGTGGTTATTGGGGTGTGTGGCACTTTGGGTTTGTGGAGCTCCACCGCCTCCTCCACCACCCACTGAGACAGCCGAGGCAGAGCAGGCACCAGAAGAGTAACGCTTCCCAGAGTTCTCGCCACCACCCTCATCATCACCCTGCTTCATCAGCTCGTCTGCGACTCGTCTCGGCATGACGGAGTGGATCATTCGCTCCTTCAAGGCCTTCTCCACCTCTAAGTCTTTGCCGTGCATGATCGCCTGGCCCACTTTGAGGAAGGTGCTGCGAGACCGCACCTCTGACATGATGAACAGATGGATGCCTATGACATGAGCACACAGGTGGAGCAAAGCTTTAGCTGGGCCCAGCCAGTGGAGTGTGTCTCCTCCCCAATTAGAGCTTGAATCCACCACCCCCGTCCTCCATCCAGTCGTATCGTAACTCCTTTGAAGCAACGGCAGCCACTCTAATGCCTCAAACAGTATAGAATATAGAAGCCCCAGCATGATGGAGGCATACAGGCGAACATGGAGGACACTGTAGAGCAACAGCAGCACCTCCATGCACAGGGAAAAGGTGCCCACAGGAGAGATGCAGGGAGGAGTGGGAGGTGGTGCTTCTCTGTTTGATGAGAAATACGAGGCATTCCCGCCACCAGCCCACTCCAGCTCAGAGAAGCCAGCAGTCTGTATCTGTGGAGCTAAAGTGATGGCGAAGGTGATGGCGATTAGGAGCAGGGAGGTTTGATTGTACAACCAGGTGTAGGGCTGGGTTAAAGTGAACAAAAAGAGGAGCAAAAGGAGGACTAGAAATGAGGCTGTGGGGGCTATAAAGGTCACAGGGTCACAACGGTCGCTATTGACCCCAAAGTACACCCCCCAGAGCACAGCTGATACCGCCAGGTAAAAGAGAACATAACGGAAGCGCCGCTGTGTCTGAGGGAAGCACCTTTCTTGGCATGCCTCCTCTAGGATGGCGGAGTCAAACTTAGGGTCCCAGCACTGGGCAGCAGAGCGTTCAAAAAGGGGTGGGGCTTCTCTGTGCACCCTGGAAGTGGGGGTCAGTGCCGGTCTGGAGTCTGCAGAGCTGCAGCTGGAGGAGATGCTGTATTTATGGAGGTTAGGGTTCATTTTACTCACAGCGCCATAGCCTCCAGCTCCTCCACCTGTTCCACTGCTGGCAGCCCTCAGTGGCTCATGTTGATGCACGTGTGGTGCGCTATTGGTAATCCGCACGGTCACGGCGCCATCACCGCTGGAGTCGCAGCTCACTTCCGTGCCATGCATGAGAAGCTGCCGGTGTTGTTGCAGAGTGGCCATATTGACTGATGTGACAAGAAACGAGGGGGTGTTAAATATTAATAAAATCTTCTCATGACGCTCAGGCAGTCAGACAGAGTGCGTGGGCGCCGTGTGTGCACATGTGGCACGCGGAGTGGGGAGGAGAGAGGGACAGAGACAGAGCAAAGGTGTTTGTTGGAATAATCACACTGCATGTATGGTGAGCACGGCACAGACGTCTTTGCTACGCAAACAGCAGCCTGCACACTCACTCACACAAGACGCGCCGTTCCAGTTTCTTGAGCAGTTCATTATCCGAGCCCGGGTTTGCGTCAGTACTCACATTACATGTATCCTTCTCCAAAGAGGCTCTGGGTTTGAGCCCGGCTTTCTCCCCAGCTGCGGTAAAAACACTGTCATCACTCTTTCTGCCTCTTGAACTCAACATCCTTCTCGGAAAGGACAACGTTGTGATGCAACGGTTTTTTAATATGCCTTCATCAAGCCATTCCTGACGTTACATGACTGGAAATTACCTCATCTGGATGTGCGCAATACCGATACTGCTGACATTACAAAGTCAAGAGAGGAAAAATGCCCAGATTTCTCTTCATTCCAAAAGAGGTTGTTTGCGTGGAAAAACTGTGTTCAGGTCCAGGGCTTCATAGTGTGAGCAGACCCAGATTCAGGCTGTCAACAGTTGGCGTTGTGCACAGCAAGTGGCTGCAAAAGTTACACTGTCCCTCTTATCTCAACAGCACGCGCGACTAATGCCCCATTTACACTTCCTCTAGCGTGTAAATCACAAAAATATTGTTAGTGTAATGCAAAGCTAGACGCGTTAAAAAAAAAAAAGTTTGGATGATTTCAATTCCCTTATTGTAAAGTAGAAAACGACTTTAAGGACAGTGTTTTCATAAAACAAAACATATTAGTCCTTACTTTGAATGCACTGTCCTCTTCTATCATACATCAGTTACCTGTGTGTAAAGTGATTGACTCACTTCAAATTTAAACTGTATGCACACTGTCCTCTCTGGTAATTAACAAAGCAGATTATTAATGGAGCTTTACCTTCCTCTACACCCCCTCACATGCATGGCTCAGAGTGCTGAGGATTTGCATTTCTTCCCCCATACATTCTTCTTCCATCTTAATCCTGGCGGATCCTCGAAAATAATCCAGACTGAGTTATTTTGGAGCCATGTCCAGTCCTGGATCCAGATCATAAGAGGCCTGACAGGCAGGCCTATTCCCACGGATCCAGCCCCGTCCTTTCCTGAACTCCCTCTCCGGATCTGTATCGTTTATTCCCCCCCTGCCTTCAAAAGAGTTGGTCGGGGAGGGGTGTGCGCTATTCAAAGACGCATAATCCAAAAGGAGAAGCGCAGAAAATACCACCCGCTGGCCCAAATTAGTGTAGGTTTGCCTCTGCTGGGAGTGTCTGCAACTTGTTGCGCGCAGTTGGCAAAATGTACAGCTATGAGGAACAGCCTCAGACGGAGCAGGCTGGTCTATAAATAGTGATGATCAAAACTCTTGCAATAACAACACCCACGGAGTGTAACATTTGTCTGCTTTTTATAAACTTCATGTAGGTAAGCTTTAGCTCTTATTCTAAGTAGTCTTTAAAAATTATCTCGTAAAACTCCTGTGGTACGTCAGCGATAGGCCCCCTCTTGTTTCCGAAAGCTTCCAAACTTTTTTTCCCAGGCCGTATTTCCTGAGTTTGGAGAGGAGACCCAGTTAGGAGTCTCTAGTTATTTGGAGCTGAGGCTGGATTTCCTCCTTTCGCATTCCCCCCGGAGCAAAGAAGCACAAAATCCCCAGAGCGATAAAGCAACCCTTTTGATATGTCCTCGGCGGGATTGTACAAAAAAAATCGCCCCACAAACGGCACTGACTCCTTATCCCAAGCAGTTCCTTAGGTCTGGATAGCACTAGTTTTCGCTGGCATGCATGTGTCCAACAAACACAACACTATGCGCTCTGACTGTGGTGCGTCCTCTTCCGTCCGCCGCTGGTTGCCTCCCTTTCCCCCCCTGACACAGCTCTCTGCTGGAGTTGGGGGCTAAATAAAAACAGACCGACAACAGGACTTTGGCGGCTGATGTTCCGTCTTATCCGGACCAATGTAATAACTCCACTCCTGTGCCACCATCTTCGCTGCGAGTGGGTCGGAAATCCTCCCCCAGCTGTTGTGGCGGTGAGGGTTGGTGGGACCAGCCTGTCAAGCGCCACACAGTAAGAGAAAACACCGTTTCCGGTGTGACCTTTCAAGGAAGCTAGGCTGTTGTGACTTATCCCGTGTATTTACAAGAATCATAAATATGCGAGAAACACACTGAAATTATACATTTAATCAAAAATATTTACCAAAAATGCACAAGGAAGCACTTCATAATTGAGCAAAGGCGCGACATTGTGTCTGAAAAAAAACGAGATTCTATCCCTTTTTTTAGGGAGTAGGTGTTTTTTTTTTAGCAGGGTTTCATAATTAGAGCCTGAACTTAAAGTTTTCATTTGTTTCCATGGGTCCTTTAGCCCATAACTGAACGTCAGATGCAAAGGTTAAGGCCCAGCCAAGGATATCCCAGTTTTCTAAAAATTAAGCTAAAGCACATCCAAGTTTAGCTCACCCAGTCTATCACTATAAATTTAATTTGACATTTAATAATGCCGAAACTATAAGCTGCATATTTCCACTTTGGTTCTTAGGATATGAAATTGAACCAATACGTATGTGAATAAAGGCTCAAAGATAGCCTAGCCTAACAAGACTACTTGCTAACAATAGCCTAGCTAAAACTGCAGTCATTGAGACAAGACTAAAACAGACAGGTTTCAGAATTAACATTAACTTATTTCAAATTATTTAAACTTTTTTTGTTACACATCTCATATCCATTCTTTAACAACTATGCTCGATGGAAGTGGATAAGACATAAAAATGCAGTCAGCTATGTTATATATTAAGTCATACTGGTTCACCAACATCTCACCAAAGTCCTTTTGTTTCTGATGATTTAGCCGGTGTCAGAAAAGTTCTTCTGTTTGGATGTTGAGAAAAATATTTAGACTAGTCAAAATATTGAAAATGTATGTTGTTTTATGAAAGCAGGAGTGTGACAATGATGGCTTATTACAATGTGAAGTAAATTTTACCTCACAACAGTCAATGACCGATAAGCCCTTGTAGCTAAACAAGTAAAGAAAATTTCCACTCAATATGCTACATAGCATCTGTTTCATTTGTTTGTTTGTTTGTTTAAAAAGGCAAAAAAAAAAAAAAAAATCTGTTCATTTTGTGGCCCCTGATAATTATTTTCCAGAAATGTTGTACATTTCTTATTACCTTGATATATCCAGCTAGTTTTCTCATCATTACCTCCAGATAACAAAGCCTGTTTTCTTGTGATGACTGGTCATCTAGAAAACAAACCAATCAGATGGACACTTGTCTTTGTCAGATTACAGTCTACCATGCTGTCATTGCACACAGTAATGAGGTCTGTAAGTCCATTTCTGTGTTTGTTTTGTGCTTTTGAAACATTGAAAGGAACAACTAGCCTATTTGACATCTGAGACAAAGAAACTAGAGCCAACACATAATACCAGGAAAAAAAACTGTAAAGGCAAGCCCATATAAAATGTAGACTGATGGATGCATGTCTGCTCAGGGCTGCCATACAAATCGAGTTGGTTAGTGCTTTTAAACTGAAGGCAGCAGCCTGAATAATTTCTGGTAGGACTGAAGTGAATCTATGAAACTTGACAGCTTTGGTGGATGAAAAAATGCACTGAAGAAACTCAACTACATTCAAGTCACTGCCAAAAAATAAAATGTAGGAAACCGCACAACAGCTCATATTTATATGTTGCTTAAATGTAAGAAATATGTTTCTAAGGGCTGATGAGTTAAATAAAAAAACTTATGGTGTCTGTTACTTTTTAAAGCTCTGTTGTCACTTTTAAAAAGCTTTTAAAGACTGACTTATTGAACCAGGTCTTTATCGCTCCCTGTCCAAACTAATGTTCTTATTATGCCATTGTCTATTACTGCCATTGATTTTATTTTGAAGTTTATGATTGTCATTTGAAATATTTACTGTAAAGCACTTTGTGAATCTTTTCTATGAAAGGTGCTATACTAAATACATTTTACTTACTTACTTTCGAAATATATGAAACAATGTCTTGAGTGACCTGTTCCCCTGTTTTTCAGGAGCCCTGCTTGAAAATAGCGAAATTCATCGCCATGAATGGGCAAGATGCTGTTGTCTGCTGCTGTCTTACATGAAAGCATCACCACAAGATCATGACACATGAGACTACAGGCAATTGTATTTCCCTTCAGGGATCAATGAACTTCTTTTTCTTCTTCTTCTTCTTCTTCTTCTTCTTCTTCTTCTTCTTCTTCTTCTTCTTCTTCTTCTATTGTGGATCATCTGAGAATGACCTGGGATCATCGTAAATCAGTTTTAGGAGAGAATCATAAAGTGCAGTCCAGTGCGTATATTCCCATATAGTAGAGCCAGCGTTTCTGTGAAAAAGACTTAGTTTTAAAAGACATCAAACAAGACAGTCAGCATCTGGTTCTATTATAAAATTATTCTTTGGAAAAAAAAAGAAAAGAAAAAAAGACACTTCAAAATACTTCCATATATGTAGCAACATATATGCAACCTACATCTTGGCACATGTGTTGTCCCTGTATGTAAATATAATGCTATGATTACATTTGCTGATGATTATCAATACTAATAATTAACTTTAAGCTGTTATCTGCCAATGCTGATACTATGCTGATAAAATTGTGCAAGTATTCTGAAGTATGTAGCCTTTAAAGTTTTTCTGTTTCCCTGTTTTTGACCATATTCAAATTCAATTAAATCTTTTTCTAAACTTCAGTTCTACTTGTACAGCACCCTTCACTATTTCTGTGTCTAATAATAACATTGTGCTTCTGTTCTGTTACTTACTGTATTTTTATCTTGCTGTGCAGCACTTTGGAAACCTTGTGTTTGTTTAAATCGTGC